ACGCAATGCAGTACGCTAGATTCGTGCGTATTTATAAATGAATGAAATGAGCTAGTAAAAAGCCTAGGTAATTTATTTACTTGGGTATAGTTGCAAGAAAATCAATATTTGAAGGTAGTTCAACACACGGAATTGTTTTGGACAGAAGTATTGGAAACATAGGTTGGTTAATAGCAAGGCACCGTCTCTTGACGTTAATACCTAAAAGATGTTCGGCCAGACGGCTTGAATAAATTCACTTAAATTTATTCTGCTTATTATAGCCGTAACATGTTTGACAATGATGAATACTGTTACCTTTTTAACTTGACAGTCCGCGACTGAGGTAGACTCGTACCCTACGACCATGTATACCACTATGGAGTACGCAAGATGATTGAAAAGCGCCGACGTCGTTTTGTTATAATGCAATTTAGTTACGTTTGAAGGCCTTTAAGGAGGTGAATTGTGTGACTGGACGCAAAGAAGCAATCAAGTTCTGTTCAGTAGAGGTCCGTGCTTTACTAAAGCAACACCACATGTTATGTGGCTTAGGTATCATTATAGAAAGCTATGCCCCACACAAAAATCCAACTAAAAGGAAAAATATAACGAGTTAAAGAAAGACTATTCCACTAAACACTGGGCCCCTGGTTATCTTGTCGAGCACGTGTCACGTGTGCGCACGTAGAATTACTCTGTCACTGTCAAGCCTTGCATTTTAGTAGCCATACAAAAATAATACCTTAGTCAACACAATCAACACTATGAACACTGCAAATTTGTGTATGTCGTTAGATACCCACTTTTTCGTGGTCCATAAAAAGCAAAAACGAACAACACTATCAAATAGATTTTTATCAAGTATTTAGGCTAGATACCATGTAAGTTACCGAAACCCTTATGACAAAACCTATACAACTGGCCCACCGAAGCATGTTTAAGGGACTTTAAATATGCTCTAAGCCACGAGCTCGGATAGATTTTGAAGTGAACAGGAATTTTATACAAGTTATTCTAATATGGACAAAAATTGATCTTTGACAATTTGCACAAAAATTAACTGGGAACGGTTTTCCAAATCTCATATCTTTTGAAAATGGTCCTAACGTCTCAGATGGGTAGAAATTATAAACATGTTTATAAAGTAAAATTTTTTTGTATTCGTGTAAAGTTCGTCGGTCCTATCAAAAAAATTTCTGTACGCAATTTGTGCTAACAGAAGCCAATTATACATTCAGCGACGTGCAGTGAGTGTTTGCTCATACAAGATACAACTACTATCACGATTAACGTTAGCGGCAGTCGCCCCATTAATTTAGTAGTAGTAGTCGGGACCATTAATTAAGGCTGTAGAAATACCTGCACGTGTAAGAAATAACTGTTGTTTTTACATATCAAAATTAAGCTTTTTAAATAAGTTCTCTCAATACATGGATATGGCACTATGTTATTCATTTCAGTCTTTCCATCAATGTAGACCACAATTGCATTTCACTAATACAAACTTAACTATTACTACGTTTTTTGTTGACTAAAACAACAAATCATCCAAGTTGATTTAGTTTAAAGAAATTCATCAACCTTACCCTGAATTCTTTCGATCGTTTCTTTCGCCTTTTTATCCATATGAGCATAACTGTGCTACAATAATTACTTTTTCACTGGAGGTGTTTAACAAGAACGCAGAAGCGTGCCACGCAGAATCTATTATTACGTAGCTCAGTCATACGCCGAGATACGCAATTTGCTCTAATTCACTGTTCTATCCTTTCGCCTTCCGACATGTCCTTTAGATGATTACTGTTGCTAATTAGGAATGCTACTTCCTTTCCCCCGTTCTTGTTGATTCTCTTTCATATTGCAACCTTTGCCTCCTGTATGCTCCAATGCTTCCGTCTTACTCAGTCCTGTTGTCGTTTTATTGTGCCACGTTACTTCTTCATTGCCAATTTCACGACATACTTTCATTGACATCTAAGCGTGTCCGTGACATTGAAGACGAATCTGCCAAGCAAAAGGTAAGTTATATCTGAAGAAGTCTTAGGTTACTAAAGGGAAGTTCCTGCCTATCCAATTGGTACTTTCACGTGATAAGCAGTGAGACACAATAGTAAAAACGCCTCGCTGCTGGACTTGTACAATAGGGACGCATGATATGATCCCATTTACTTGAAAGGAGCTCGTTTCCACCTCTTCGATTTGAAAACGATAATTTCATAGATGACGAATAGTTCGTGAGACTCCTAACGCGAGTAATCCCTATGCGCAGCATAATTGGTCTATTGATTGACAAAATTGATGGTTAATCGTTTCCAGTTCAGATTCTCAATTGACCCCAGCCTATGAGCCGTATGTTCTTAAGACAAAAGCATTTTATTCGATGGATTAGCCCACTTGATAACCGATTCAGAAACTTGATATTAAATTGAAATATAGGTGACCTACAAAGTTAGGCTATATTCCTAAATTTAATAACTTCTCATGATATCTTCCAATAAAAAGCTAGAGCTCAAATCTTAAGTAACTTTGTACAATTGAAAAGAGTTATTTTGGTAATTTAAACGACCTCTAGACATACATTCGAGAAAAGTATTGCAATATATAGGTTATTTCGTACGTACCAGCGAAACCATACGTATGAAAAGTACTATTACGCAGTTGTTTGCTTGGAAGCGTGTGTTTTACGGTGTTACTTTCTATAATCAAAAAACCTAAAAATATGAATTATGATAATAGTACAATAAATTACAAAATGTTTGTTTTAAAGTAAGTACACCTGCATAGGCATTTTACTCTCTTGTAACAACAATTTATTATCATCTAAATATTAATTAGTATACTAATCATTAACACAACTAGCTGAAATGCTCAGGCGCAACCAAAAATTCTCTTACCTGTAATTAGATTCGCTTCATATGGATATTTTCCACCTATTAATATTCTTAGTTTTAGAAAAAGATCTGTATTCTTTGTTTTCCAAAAATGTATTTGACTTTTGTGCCCCAATTTCTATAGTTCATTTTTTCGCCCCTGCTGCTGCTGCTGCAAAACGACTCACAGAAATATAGGCTCGCACTCTGAGCGGGGCTAGAGGCAAAAAGCCAACTCGTGGGTCCTTTTCGAACGCGTTTCATACCTCTCGTCTACAAATGATTATATTTCTTTATCATAGTGATACTACTTATAATGATACTGAACCACTGCGTTCTTTATATGCTCAATATCATTTATTCCATCCCTCCCCTTCTACACTTACATTGTTATCGTTGTTCGGTTTATCTATAATTCTCGTATTTTTTACATACGATTGTGAAATTTTCCATCTTCATCATTGAAAAATTCTACTTTTGACGAATATGAAATGCAATCAAGTCAAAAGTAGAATTTTTCTTCTCATAATCAATATAAGAAAGCAATCCGCAACCGAGTTTCTTCTATTTAGCCGCTTGCCATTCGTTTCATTCAGACGGCGGCTCGGCATCACTAGCTATCAACGCAGGCAGAGATTTTTCAAGAAGTTCATCTGCGCTGCTTAAAGAAGTAATAGAAATCACTTACTTTTTTTCAAGCGGTTCATCAAGACTTCAGATAGCATTCCGCCTCCATATTTCAGAATTTCATATATTTGTCTCTACATTGTTTCGTCAAGTCGTTATTTTTATTTGGCTGCTATTGTTATAATTGATATTCTTTTTTCATTCTTCAAATTACCATTACTCAAATTATCATCGCCAACACATTAATCAACCGAGAAACCAACACCTTTTACAATCTTATTCCTATTATTAGCATTTTCATCACATCTCGTCGAGTACTCGACTAATGCATAATCATTTTCTTAATTAATGATGATACTACATCATTCAACGGAAGTATTCCGTTTCATTGTTCTGTCTATGTATACGCTTGTGAATGCACTTAGAAAAAATCGGTGTCTACATCACAGCCCCTAGTTTTTTTTTGGTAATCTCATTAAGCTCCGCATTCATTTTCCCCCGAAAAGAAGAAAACCACTCGATATTTTTTAATCAGGGATGGGGGATCAGGGACCACGAGAAGATGTCGACAGATACGGGAAGAAGGGTCTTGGGTCACCACAGCTCCCGGGCAATACACGTTCGATTTTCAAATTGCTATCATACAAAGACAATCTTGAAAAACGATATCGACAGCGTCATGCGTTTGGGTGTAGCGCCGTCGATGAGCACGATGGAGTCTGCGAAATCGGTAATAATTGGATTGTACCCTAGGACGAACCTTCTTAAGCCCTCTATTGAAATGGGATACCTTGATGTCAAACATTATTTTGAATTATATAAGCATGGTAGTCTCAAAAGACACGAAGTTTTCGAGGCCAACAACGGCGCGACTTACTTGGTCTTATTTGATTACTCAAATATTGTTCCCCCGGCACAAGTATCACCAGAAGAAAACTTTCATAATCGCAGCTCAGGTGAAGACGACCGCTCAGTTTCCGATGTGTCTGTGCTGAAACTATGTTCGCCTGCGTCTTCAAATGCGAAGACATCGTAATTTTGCTTGATTCGATGGTAAAGTGATTTGTTCGCTATATTCGCGAAAAAAAATCACAAAGCGGCTAATTTCCTTTGTAGGCTAGCAACAGCACGAACAAAAATTCCGTATAACATAGCTACTACCAAGGTTAAAAATTACTGATTGTTTATTTTGTAAGAAATTTTGTCATTGCTCATTGATTTATTATAATATATTTTATTTGGTCCCTATAAACGCGAGTGCTAGATGCGGCAGGACTATTTTTAACACATTGTTTACAGACCGCGTATACACATTACGTGAAACAACGGTACCACAGCTGAACGTGCCGTCCAACCCAAAATTAGGTATTCATTTAATGTGTGCGTACATAGCAAGCATTTTATATAACACATCTTTATCATTTTTATTTTATAACTATGTATGAACAAGCACCAAAGAAAAATACCGTTTCGCAGTTCTCATTAAAAACTTCTTTTCTCTTTAAATGACAATCAATCTTGTTTTTTTTTTTCTTTTAAACAACATTTGACACTCATCCTTTATCGCTATCAGAAGACCTTAGAAATACCGGATTGGTCAAACAGGTCGTTTTTCTTTGTCTCAAACGTATATAAATTTGCAAATTCATTAATAGACGTAAGAAATTTGCTTTTTTCATTCTGTATTATATCTTTTACCTGCCGCCGTGCATCCATCCACCCACTCTTCCGCTGTCTCAATCCAGTTTACAGTGTACTGCTTTACTCCTTGTGTGATTCCTGTGACACCATCCAATTACGATTTTTGCTACTGCAACACGACGAACTTCCACTATAATGACTTCGTTATTCCATCGCTGCTAGCTATCACAAACAAGAGAATAATGAGATGCTGAATTTTACCGTGTATTGCACCGGCGTGCACAATCTTACCATTATGACGGATTCCACGAGCACAGCATATCTGTACTCTATTTCTTTATCTATTTCAGTTAAAATGTCACGAATTGCCTCCAATATACTTCGCTGTAATTGTTACTTGTCGCAGGTTTATTTAGGGAGCCGTTCGAGATTTTTGCCAACATCACCGTAGCTAATCGTCAGTTCTATACCAGGACCGTTAGCAATTAATTACTGCTAGTTACAAGTCACTGTTGTATTGCTTTGCCTGTTGTTGTCACCAAAAACTTCGATTTCGTCGTCAGAATTGCTAATTTTCTATCTTTACCACTATGTACGAACCGGAGTGTGTATGTGTTACTGTCTCTTTTGTTGTAGGATAATTTCTGTCGTTTTCATAATTCATATTCAAATTATTCAATTTATATTACCAGCATAATTTAGAATTGCTATTCCTTCCTAGTCATCATATTGCCTCTGTGCTGTTATTTTCTAGATAGTGGGTCAGCATTCTTGGGGTCTTTTGTTGTCACCCAGTTCAATGACCCACTATATTATGAATTTGTTCGAGTAATGCAACACATCGTCATGAAAACGTCACTACCGCTTTTCTTTCATCCTTTTTCTGCATCGCTTGATCAGTTACTGCAATATCATTATGCTACAGCGTATATATATTCTTAGAATTCGAAGCATTCGTAATAATACGTATAGCATTGTTTACAGATTGCGCTCCCGTACGGCTACGGTGTGTGGCCGATTGATCACAGTTGGCGCACAGAGTAACCATCGAGCCGACGGTACCTCCCCGAATTCGAGCTGCGACACACAACAACTGCCATCTATCCACAAATGGTCAGGAGCCTGTGGAGTTGGCCGGGTCGCTGCGACGAAGAGGCAGCGGCAGACGTGGTTTCTGTTTGTCATCTTCATCTCTTCGCCATATTTGCTCGTGCTTTCTTGCTGTGCTAGGTCATCTGAAGTAGTTTCATTCATTTCGTTTTATTTAATCATTGTTATCAGCATTGGTACACTCCGTCGGTTCCTTTCATGTGAATTATTTACGCTCACCAATTTACTCGTTTTCAAGTTTACGCATCATTTAGCCTTGATACACAGAGTCACGGAAACACGTTTCAAAAGCGTGTAGACATGTTTTGGAATTCGTTGCCTCTACGTGCTTTCGCTGTTTTTTTCGTGATTTTCATAGCTTCGTTACAGGGCAGCTGACCGTTGTTGAGTGCTTTTTTTCAGTACGTTTCTGTACAATTAACGATATATATCACTAGCTACTGGTCTAAGATAATTCTAAAACCGTAGAAAAAACGCACCTTTTTTATAATAAGGGCGAAAAATGTCTGCAAGGCAGATTTGATCAAATTTGAGTCCCTCAACAACAGCCTCTCCCAGGATATAATGTCGTTATATAAACGTTACGTTTTCACCAGCCCTCGTTTCTACTTTCCGACTGTACTTCTTTTCTCATCCGATCATAGTGTCATCATAAATAATCGGTTTAACGTCAATCACTTATCGGTAGTGGTTTCTCATTAGATTCTGTTCAGAACGTTGCCGTAGCCCGTTAGAGCGCTCGTTGATGGCCGCGCACGAAACGTAAAGTAGCATTTGTATCTTTCCGTCTGACAGTGGTTGCGTTCTAGCATTTGTACCTGCGACCTCGTCTTGGCGAGGCTTCGCATAAACGTTCGACTCTTTTAACACGCCGTCATAGTGCAATGCGAATTTCATGGCACGCAGAAAGCGCCCCCATGACTGGGTCGAGTACATGATGTTTGCGAGCGTGCAGCTACAGGCATTCGTCAACGTACTGACTCGTGGCAGACTGAGCGAGCTGAAAGGCAGCTGTTTGCACAACTTGAGGATGCTGCCTGGCAGCCAGGTAGGCAAGCAGAACGGCATAGATTTTACGGGACACTGAACTGAGTGTTGCTTTGAACTGGTTTTAGCGACGTTCCGCTCGGATCACAGTGACGGATGAGTCTAGGTCATCAGAGTGCGACAGAGGAACAACCCGCGCTGACGAGATCACGAATCGTTGGTCATTTGTTCGGCGCGAGTGTGACAAGGGGGTCATTTGACTACATGGAAGCCAAACACTAAGCAGTCCGGAGCGTTCCTTGTCTCCGTCCCCTTACCGGATCAGATCACAGTTGCTATACACATTGTATTTATACATGTTGTTGATACGTGTATATATATATATATATATATATATATATATATATATATATATATATATATATATATATCGGTAACTATCTTTTGTCCCGCGCACAATTGTACCGAACCTGCTGCTGCCGCTTTTGCTGCATAATGGACACCTATGTGCTTTTGTCATGAATCAGATTTTCTCTTCCCTTCACGACGCAACCTCTCCATTATTCGAAATAAATATGTGGAGTGGATCGAGATTCCTGGTGTTTGTTTTTAATGATGCGTCGCCAGCATGGGTTGATTATATTCGTTATCTATATATTAATAAACTGTTTGTATATCGACCAGACTTCAGAAATACTTGTTGACTCGATAATCGTTGGCATCTTGAGTGAAGAAGGATTCGCGACACTGCTTCCGAGTGTCTTTTTCTTCTACTGCTGCTAGTTCTAACGATTGTGTAATGGTAGTAAATGATTGATGGACTATCGTGTTTCAATATCCTTGCAACTGTTTACTCTTCTTCATTACTGAATGATGATTGGATATTTGGTAGTATCGTCACGTGTAAATGTCATCGTCGTTGTGAAGCCCTTTCCAGTCCTCAGTTGGTCATCCTCGCTTCAATCTATCTGTCATTCCCTCCATGTTTGCCTTATTCTTCCTTATCACCACGATATCATGATTAATAGTCATCGTCGTACATGATTTCCTCGAGGGCACTGGCGTCCGACCCATACACCACATCATCGTACATGTTGTCCATAAACCGCCATAACACTTCCTGAAATCATTAAAAAGGACAAGAAAATAACACGCTTGAGTTTTTTCAATTCTAACAGAGTTTGCTTATGTATATACATTTATCGTATACAAATTTTACGTTGGCATGCTGTTTGATGAGGACGTTTTTTTTCTCTTGTCATGCGCTGATGGTTGACTGAATAATGCACGTAAACTGCACTATCTTTATCAGACTTCGTGTGTCACAGAGCACTAAAATAGGTTTCTTGAGTTTGAGTGCTTGCATCTACAATCGGATGCAGCGATGTGTGTCCGATCTAATTTTTTAATGAAAAATTATCTAGCCAAAGATTATTGAAAATTAAAAAGGTTATTCGTAATGTGGATAGCCAGGCGCGGACTATTGAAAATAAAAAAGGTAATTCATAATGGGGATAGCCGGGCGCGGACGAAGTCCACAATAAATACGATGAACTTGCAACATTTGTTTTCGCAGGAAAGCGTTTAATGAATCCCCGCGCTGTCGCGTTCCAAACTCCCTTACAGGAACATTGTTTCATACTGTACCCGCTTAATGCTCGCCCATACACTACGGTCTCTATCTGACAGCACGGCTATTTACCCTACGACGTTCAGCTACGTAGTCGAACCCAAATAATAAGCTTATGGTACATCATATTACCATAATTATTACATTTATTAAGGTTGGCCTTATAATTATTACTTATTGCAATGGCTCGCCACAGGCGCATGTGGTTTCCAACACCAGAAATGCGCGTTGCTATTTTTTTTTGGTTGGTTGATTGGTTTGGCGCTTAATGCGCACGTGTAAATTTTGGCTTGTATAGAAGAGTTCCAGCAGAAGGCGGCAGTAGTAGAATTGGTGATACGAGTTGTAGTGGCTTCAGTGGTAGGCAGAAGTGCACTGTAGATTGGCAATGCGGTCGTGGTGCTTCGCCTTTATCAGCATACCTCGAAGATCTGCACGCTTCCCTCGGCGTCGAAGCGTCGACGGGTTGTAGGAGGGCCAGCGTCAGGAGCCGGCGTGCCGTCTGGAAGAGCGTGTTTGTAGAAACATTTGTTGGCGAAGGGGCAAGTACTACGGCCCTGCTTGAAGTACTTGCACGGCTTTGTCGCTAACGCGTTCTTGTAACCCTCAATAAGCGCCCGCTTTTCTTCACCTCGGTCGACGAAATATGAAGAAGGCGTCACAAAGTCAGATGGCGTCCGACACTCGGGACAGCCACGGACAGTCTACAGCGCAACAAAAAAAAAACGCAGAAATGCACGTGGTAGTAGTAAATGACGATTTAGACCTATTATAAGAACGTACATCTGTAGAAGTAAGTGTAGACACAATGTAGCCATTTATTTTTTAGTTTCTACGCAACAGCATACTAACAGGAGAAATCGTGCGCACACAGCTGTTACGGAATACTGACAATATAAACAGTTATACAATAATATAAAGATGTTTTTATATCAGGTAATCAGAAATATATAACTCTTCAAACTTACCTTTGTATCGAAAGTTTTAACCTGTCGCCATTGCCGAATACACTGCAAGCAGAAGACATGTGCGCACGATTCGAGGATACCGAACCTTCTACTCGAAGGAGGCTCTTTTTCGAGGACTGTCTCCATACAGACGCCACATGATAGGGATGCTGATCGAGCAATGGCCGCCGCTAGTTCAGCATGCTACAAAAGCGAAAGGAGCACCAACCGCCATCGGTTTTATTACTAGAACCATTGGATGTAAAAACAAAGTCCCTAGTGCGTTTTAATAATTTTACCATTTTGTATCGACAGTATTCGCTAATTGATGATCGAATAAAACGTATTACAATAGGCTACAAATGAAGTAAACTATTACTACTACACTCGCTTCATCGTCCAAAGCCAAAATCAGTGCGTAGACTGTTTGTAATCAACGCCGATTTAACAAACCGTTGAAAAGTCACAGAAGTACCGGCTTCCGTTTTGCACCGTCTCCAGATTTATCTATAAATACATCTATAAAAAAATATAAAAAAGAATAATAGCAATTTATCATACTAGTTACCACAACATCAATGAAAGAAAAACTAACCTGTTGCTGTTGTTTTAAACAATCCTTCCGGTGCTGTTTGACGAGGTCAGGGTTGTGTGGGTGGAGGATAAATTTGTTGCAGGCATCACAGTATTCACCGTGAACAGCACGGCACCGCTTATCTGGGCACGCACCCGAGATCATATGATACTCGCACAAAGGAAGACGTGATAACCGCGCACGCTCCGCCGCAAGCGGATCGGCGAAGGGCCGTACTGCATCGGCAAACGAACGACCGTCGACCACTCCTCCAGATGATCCTAAATTAAGAGGAGGCAAAAATAATGGATAATAACTTATCCATAGCAGGTTTACACCCAAAGATAACTGAGTACTACATAAACGAATAAAATACTACGTAAGTGATATTAAAGCATTATAATGTCAAGAAAATTGTCATTAGTACTACATTAGGTCAAATAATACATATGTTTAAAAAAATGTGGGTGGAGAAAACAGTACATACTACGCAATAAATATTGTGACAGTAACGGGGAAGACTATTAGCGAAATATTTCGCAAAAACAAGTCCTCGCACTGCCATAGCTTAATGGTATACCTATCCGCCTGCTATACTGTAATCTCGTCGATAAACAATCGCATTTTTCCGCACTACGGATTCTTTCGTGTATAAAATACATGCCTACCTGATGCTCCTGGTCCATGGAAATGAAGGCTTTGTCCCCCACTGCTACTGCTGCCTCCATAATGTCTGCTGCCGTCGGTGGCCGGACTACGTGGTTGATGGGAGTTTCTACCTCGAGAGATCACTTCTCGATGGCCGTTGGAAAGCCTGCGAACGTGATCGTCCCGACATCGTTTGCCGTACCGGCATTCACCCTTCTGGAAGTAGCTGCAGAAGTCCCAATCGCGGATGAAAAGTCATACAGATTTATAGATTATATGTGGTTGTTCTTCCGTATTTCGACACAGTATTGCGTTGTCATTAAACCGAGTCCTACACCTCTTATATACCTAAAAATTAGTTTCGATAGTTTTGTGTTCTTAGATTTCAAACCCTTTAAAATTCAAATCAAACGAATACCGATATTTGTTTTCAGAAGTAGCACGTACTACGTAACACGTACGTGTACGAGTGAACTTCTCGTGTTCTCATTCAAGCATATATAATGAGTGTTTCGCCAGGCTTTAGTCAATAAAGTCAATAAATATCATACCCTAGCTCATGACTGTTGAGTTAAAAGAAACCGAATCTTGCTACGATCTGGACCTTAGTTCTAATAATCCGAAATTTACTCGGTAACATCTAATATATATCCTTAACTCGCTAGTTCGAGCAGTCTGAAACTGTCCTATCCTTAATTACCATTTTGCCAAAATAAAAAAAATGTAGATTTACATCCTTTTGATACAAATCTACATTTTTTTGTTACGGCCAAGAAGAAATTTACCACACTGGATATTTCTTCAATATCATATCAATAATAACTAAAGTAAAAAAAACTAAAAAAAATCACTACCAGTAATTAGACGTTTGACGTAATCCCCAACGGCGGTCGCGCACGTAAACATTCACAAATAAAAATGAAAGTAATATCGGTGAAAACTGCCTTGTTTAGTGGAAGTAGTACAGATTTCTGTGAAGTGCTTGCTGTCGTTTGAAGGTCTACCATTGACGAGCCACGAGCCATCGATACCATATGTCTCATTCCGCTTAGGCTACCTCGAGCACGGCAATACGCACTGACGGACCACGCATATACACGTTTTTCAATAGCACTGGGGATCACCATATTTATCCAAAGAGAAGAGAGCCAATAGTAGAAATTGTCGAATCGGCCAGCCACAAGTAATCGAAGACAACGCCATGTTTCGAGAGCATGTAAAACTTACGTTGATATATACAATAAAGTAATCGCGCCACATGAACATATGGCTAATGACCTCGAAAAATGGTTACACTCATGGAGTAAATTGATAATAAGTCCGTTTAGCATTCGGTTGAAACCATCAGCGCACGACCCAGCGGGCGTATTTTTCACTCATCAACAACAAATATCTATTGCTTACAGAGCAGTGCCGTACGGCGAATCGATTACGACTGGACAACAATTCAGATTATTTTTCAGCAACATAAAAAGACATCTAACTTTTAGGAAAATACAAGCTATACAACTACTCCTAGCTTGCATTATTTAACTCCAACCCAGGCGTTTCGCTTTTTCAATTATTCGCTGTAATTTACAGTCGGATTTTCTGTGATCTATATCGTAGGAATGCTCCATAAAGGCTCGTTTAGCACTGGAGCCTGAAACAATTAAGCAGCATTATGTTCCAATCCTCTTAACAGGTTTATTATGCACAAACATGGTCATCTACACATATTTATATATATCTATTTACATTACCATACACCAGCAAAACAACATGAGTTTACTTACCGGCAGACATTGTCGACAATTCCGGTTGCTCTGTCGTGGGAAAATCTGCACTCGTTTCCATCCCGACACGCATTTGCAAGAAAATATCTAACCGCACAAAAATATAGTGATAAGACTATCGTTAATCACGTGTAACACTGACTGCTTTGATCGTTGGGCAGAACTAATGCGGGCCCGTTTATGCGAACGGTTGTGTGTGAAGTTTATATGAACACCCTGTTCACTGATCGATCATCAATTCATATTTTCCATTACCAATAAGAGCACCAACAGCATCAGCTGCAGCAATAATGGCGAATTTGCCACACCAAGTGTCGCAGACGTTTTTGTCATATGGACACTTACCCACGCACACATCGGGCCATATACCTAACAACACACTTCACTAAATCCTGCCGGTTTGATCGTAGCAGTAACTGCTGTAGCAAACCCTTGTATGGAACATATGTTGCTTATTCAGCAGCGCATCAAATAGAACATGCGTATTTAGGCTGTACCCAGGGGAAGGCGAGGAACAGCCCATGGGATGAAAACAAACCAAGGGATAAGCCATGAAGAGCAGTGAGAATTAGGCCATGCATTCTTACAAAGCAGTATGCACGGCAGTATTCTGGACTGGAGTCTGTTGCTATGAAAATTCGTCCCCAACTTCTCGCAACAATCAACCATAACTACTGTATCTCGAACGATGCCACAATGAATGCGTGAAATTCACGTAAGAACCAACTATTCTTATGCTGCTGACTGGCTAACTGGCGGTCGGTTCTTCGTATGGAGTTTTGTGTAATCAGTTATAGGCAGATCGACACCTCATGTAGGACACAGCAGTTCTTTCGTTGCCAAGGAAATTTTTTTTTTTCACATAGAGGAGTCAACGCTGGGGTTTTAACAAGGACAGTCGCAACTGCTTGCCTAGATTAGTCACCTTGGTTAGGAAGCCTCACGCCAATATATGCAATGAGAAACCTTCAAATCGTCATAAATTCTAATTACCTGCAGAGAATACTTTTTGTGGCCACCTCCGCCATCTTCGACTGATGGACTAATGTGCACGGGTAGGCTCAGTCTAACTCACTGACTGTGGCGGACACTTTTGAATAGTTGTTGACACTGGTTTCGTTATTTTGGCTGAAAACGACGCCGGCCTACGATTTATTGTCAGAAGGAATACAAGCTTTAACCGCATTGGGTTTCGCGCGCCAGTCTCGAGTGTTATGATGGAAGACGTATTTGCAAGTTGTTCTCTGTGAAATTTTGGATTTTTTTTCAGTTATGTTGCTTTCAATTTTGCTGGACCTACGATACAGACGAATGTTTACATTCGTAAGCAATGACTTAACATTCCTTATTAAAAATATGGCAAATCTAGCGCGAACTCCGGTCCCCAATTCTATACAGGCAGTACATTTTGAAAATATACGTAAACTTCGAATAGTTGGAAACGCATAGTAAAAATTCAAAACATCTACTAATTCAAATTGTATCCGAGTCTGAAGGCGATTGTTATAAGGAAAAAAAATACTTACGTTCAAAATCTTTTGGATAACTGCTTTTTTGCCAGATATTTTCCAACGTGTGTCACTTATTTCCCTTATAGACGAGCAAAAAATGCCCCAAGAACTATTCCTGACTCGACACCGACAAACCTAGCACCCAGCATAGCGTTCACAATACAAATCAAATTTCAAATTTGCGCGCACTTCTCGCTGCCCGCCAGCGCCGGAGCTACCCGTTGGTTTTAGTCCGCAAGTTATATCCCAGCTGTACTGTCAATAGTGGGTGGGTCTGTGTCGCCTACCTGATTTTGTCACAAATCGGCAGAATTTGCAAGCAAAATGGATGAGGAATACGACGCCATCGTTCTCGGCACCGGCCTCAAGGTAAATGCATTCACGAGATTGGTTTACAATAGTTCAGCCGCCTCATAGTTGGTGAACGGTTCCGGCATCGTGGCAACGATCGGTGTCGCCTCGGCACTAGTGGCTCTCTATTGCTGTTGCTATTGCTGATACATTGATATTTGAAACTTGGTCCGAGAAACTCCAGAGCCCAGCCGGCGTGAGCCCTCCGTATACAAGCGACGGGCACGATCTCTCAACCGTACATCGGCCTGAACCGGTTCCATGTTCCCCAGCCGATTGATTGCGTATTGTGACCGACGATATACGAACGAAACGGTGTTTGACAGCTTGATTTCTGTCCGGATTCGGCAGTCTCGTCCCTCCTCTACAGACCCGGGATGCAGGCGACGGCGGCGCACTCGTTACAAATAACTCTAAACGCCGGATCGTACAGCACCGGGTCACGGACGTTGCTCTCGAATCGAAAACGTAACGTTATATTAATTATTAATTGTTCTTTACAGCTAGGCGTTCAGTCGACTATTGATATTAGCTAAAATTATGCCGCTGGTAGAATCTTGGAACTGTTGCCGGCTTTAATTGGCTCCTGCTGTTATCGTATGATTAGCTATTGGCTAAATCACGAAACCCTGTGTTGAGATGTAGATATGGAAATTTGATTTCAGTGAAATGTCAACATTTCGCGACCTATGCTAGGCAAATTTTGCTGTTTTAAATGCCGATAAGCAAAAGCTCTTACTACTTAATAACACCGTTCATCTCAGCCTGTACCCATTTGGCTAATAATTTATCGACGATCAACTTTTGTTATAGGTGACGCCTACTCGATAACTGAAGATTAGCGGTATAATTTATCTTTTTTAGGAGGCGAGTGAACTTTATTGCTGTACGTTTATTGAAAGACCATCAATTTAAAGATTATTTACTGATAAAACGCGATTTCCGTACCATCCTCTGGAGTATTAGTTGTCAATATTAAAATTCCTATTTGTCAATTATTTTAATTTATCGATATGAAAGTATTTCATTTACAATCTCTGTTTCTAACTAAATTGGGTTCTCAGTGTCTATATTATTATGAAAACTTATTTCCTTGCTAATAGAAACGCGACACATAGGCTGTGTTTCATGCACCTAAATATAGTAATTATCTTTGCATATGATACTTGTTTATTTTCACCGATCTATTCTTTTAGTAAGCAAATTTGTTTTTTTTTCACGCTGTTCTAAAAAAACTGAGTTACCTACAACTATACACTGATTGCGGAACTGTTACTTCGATTTCGATTGTACAGATTTTCTATGGTGAGATTGAATAGCAGCTACTTATTCCGTTTTGTAGCATACTAGTAATCCGATAGCGTAATAGAATCAGGATTTCGATATCCAATGCTTTCCACCAACAGGCTGATGAACATAGAGGTCTCTTATACCATGAGGCCTTGTCGTTCGTTTATGATATGATGACCACTATCAACAACGGCATAGTGAAATTGTCTTTCTTTACTTTAATCACTTAGGTATGATTATTTAGTTTTTTGCACGTCATGTGGTTTTAGTTAGTACTGTTGTCGGTGTCTTTATGACTGTCATCTATTGAGCCCCGTGGAAAATGTAATTTCTTGATCAACGATTGTCTGTACAGATCGACCTCATCCGCCCGTACGAACTGATGGTAGCTATGATTGCTTCGTTGTGTGGTGTTTGTCTTCCGTCGCGGTCCAGTTTCAATATCGTCCACTGCAGTAACAAATAACACTGAGTTGCTGAGTCGCCGAAAAGCCTTTCATTTAGCAGACTTCTGAGTGCTCGTTTGCCGAAACTAGTCAAACGCTGGCATTTGCGATGTCTGTTTCTTTTCCATCGCTTTTCTGTCATTTTCGTCTGCTGTCTGCAATAGTCCCGGTTGGCAACAATGTTGTAGGGTTGCCACCTGGACGCGACGAGCCTGGCTAGATCAGTCATTTATTGTGGCTGACGACTAACCGGCCAACGTCCGTCCGATCGGGTGCTGTCAGTGGTGCAGGCAGCCAGCGCAGTAACAGTAGTAACACTTCTTTCTAGCAGCTGATACTCTGCTCCTGCTGGTGGTTTGCCGGTGATGCTGTCTGCGGCAATCAGGAGGAGAAGCGAGCAACAGGCAGCCGCAATAGAAGACTGATTGCGTACTGCAGAGCGACGATTGCGGCGGACATTGCTAGTTAGGACAAACTTTACGCTAATGGTCAATATTTGTTGCCGATAGCAGAGGAATGGTAAAATGAGAAAATTCCTGCAGCAGGTAGTGAATACGGGTATATAAAACGGCGGTGAACTAGAAGGCTAAATGGAGCATCAATACAATTAGCAGCCACCGGCTCCGTGTGGTTTCGTCTATAGGCCGGGAAGGTACGAACAAAGGTCGGTGGGTGGGTGGGTGGGTGATTAGGTAGGCAGGCAGTTCCTCAAGAGTGGCCACGATATTGTTAGTAGCAGAGCGTGATGTATTTCCGGCCAGCAGTAACTTGCTAGGGTAGAGTAGACCATGAAGGGCGTTTTTCAGGGCCAGCGAAATCAACGATAGCAACAATAACCGTATTGCCGCCAGCTGCTGCTACTGCAGCGAGTACCAGCTAGAGAGACGTCATTATGTATAGATGGGAATACTCCTAGCGTAGCTACCGTAACACTTGAAAGTCGACCGCCTGAGTAAGCAGCGATGGCAGCGCGATTGCGAGGTGTTTCGTTCACCTCGCTGGAATAGCGGTGAGGGCTCTTGCTGCCGGCTTGGTAAAGCTCTTTGTCCCTATTGCAAACAGGTCAATGGCTGCTGCCAGTGGTAAGTCTGTTGCTTCAAACAGTGGTCTTTATTTCGGTTGATGCTGGCGGTTGGTAAAACCTCTAATGATGTCTGAAGTGAACACGATCTGTGCGCTACTAGTAGGGATCTGTTACGGTCTGGGGTCTAATAGCGGCTTTAGCCCAACAACCGTCACCAAAATATGCCTCGGCGAATCCGATGTTGACACGCCAGTAGTCCAAAAGGCCATGAACATGAGGCCTGTTTATCACTGCTCGGTATGGTTAGGTGCAAGACTGCTATTACCGTGTGCCGCAGCTTTGTTTAACAAAGGTACCTAGGTGGCGGCCTATTGGAAGATAGATTCCGCCGACGCACTGTTTTCTAATAGCGACAACAGAAGCGACAAAAGTATGCAACCAGAAATCGTCTTTGACGTCAGAAGTGGAAGTGCCCGACATTTACCCTGTTGACAGTCGGGGAGTCACAGAGCAGAGAACAGTTTATGCTGGTGCTACGACGCTGCCCCTGCAAAAGAACACTACGTAGGTCTTGTTGAAGAATACACAACAATGGCGGAAGCGGCGACAACGAATTGGCAATCAGGTTGGTTGTCAGCTCGCCAGACAACAAGAGAATGGGAGAATGCGTTGTGCTCTACTGGGCACATTGGATCGTAGACACATTAAACATACCAAGTTGAAGCCTAAATTGACCGTGGTAGACTTGTAGCAAAACTTCTCTTATTAGCAAATCACGGGGCAAGCTGCTTCTGGCTTGACAGAAATAATGTGGAGAACATCTTCGGTGTAGAAGGAAAACCTACAGCGACTGCGTGCTTGTCTAGTTAGCGGACTTCCTCTTAACTAATAATAAAAAAGTTTGATGGCTTTAAACTGTAAATCATCACTACTGATTTTCGCTAAGAAAAAATCATTCAGTCGAAAATTAGTTCATACTAGCCAATCTGTTTTGCAAGCTCTAGGATAAATATTTGCAATTAACGCTGCCTTTCGGTTGTTTCGACCATAATAATGTCGACATTTTCCATATTCGCTCCACGGGCACTGGTTGTATTTAGAATTGTTACCAATTATTTCAGAGACAGCAGTTGGGTTTATGGTCTTCGCTTGACTACCAGTAATCTGCACTTCATTAATAAAATTAAAAAATTTCTTTTAATAGACAATAGTTTCTATAAAGTAAAGTGAAATGATATTGATGCGCACTTTCTTAATGTAGGGTAGTAAATAAACAATCAAATGCTTCAATGTTACTGCCGGAGTAAGGCAGAGAGGCTAATTTGGGCTGGTGAATAAACCTTCAAATGCTTCAACGTTACTGTCCGAATAAGGTAGAGCGGTTAACTGAGAATTCGTTTTCATAGAAACGTACCAGCATACACCACCTTTTCGTGGTTTTCATGTTTAATCGTAATCTTATGTGTACATCCTGCTATATGTTAGATTTCGCCTAGCTAAATTACTTTGTGAGGCAATATGTACACTTACATCCACCTTGTGTCGATACCCATATTGGTAGCTGCCCATAGTCGCCAATAAAAAAAGGTCAAACTTACTTAGGCTTCATTGCTTTGTATGCAATCGATTGTATTCGCGACTGCAGTCTTTACAATGATTTGCATGCATAGCCTTAGATGTGGAACCCTCTAAAAAATCTGAAATCCTACATCAAAGGCACAGTATTAAATTATCACAAGATTCCAGAGAGGTTTGAGATTTATCATTGTTAAGTAAACAGTATCTAATAGCGTAGGGACTCACTTTTGTAAGTTAACGAGAGCCCTCGTGCTCTAATGGACTTACGAGGAACGACGAAATAGTTTAAATTTGAAGTCCTCAAGAGGGAAGTTTTGACAGTGTAGTCGTTGGAATCGTTCAAGATAAGTACCGACAGATTACGATTTATAGGTTCTAATAAGCAATTTGAGCTCGAAAGCCGTGGTATAAACCCTTGTATGACTCGCTACACGTTTGAGCATTCGTTGTTCATGGGAAAACATTTGCTGGGACTAAGAAAGCAAAGTTTATAAGCATTTGGTTCCTACCTTCGCTGGATGCTGTAATTGGGTCATATGTGTATTTCACCGGTTCCTCACACAAGGAAAGTAGACTCGTTTCAAATGAGTTATGTTCGTTGCTTTTCACAGGAATGTATACTCTCCGGTATGCTTTCGGTGTCTGGAAAGAAAGTCCTACACATGGACCGCAACAAGTATTACGGCGGCGAATCAGCGTCAATTACTCCCCTTGAAGAGCTTTTCTCTAAATTCGAGATCCCAACTGCTGGCCTTGAGGAGTACGGCCGTAGCCGTGATTGGAATGTCGATCTTATTCCTAAATTTTTAATGGCTAACGGCCAACTTGTTAAGCTGCTGATTCACACAGGTGTGACCCGCTATCTCGAATTTAAATCGTGTGAAGGCTCGTACGTCTATAAGGCCGGCAAAATCCATAAGGTGCCGGCCGATGAGAAAGAAGCACTTGCATCGGGTCTCATGGGCATGTTCGAAAAGCGTCGCTTCAGGAATTTCCTCGTGTTTATCCAGGAGTTCAATTTCGACGACCAAAAGACGTGGAAAGAGGTCAACCCTAATACTACAACGTCGCTACAGCTTTACGAAAAGTTCGGCCTGGACAAGGAAACGCATGACTTCACCGGTCATGCGCTGGCTTTGTTCAGAGACGACAATTATCTTGCACAGCCGTGCGGTGAGCTTATTCGTCGCGTTAAGCTCTACTCGGACTCACTGGCGCGCTACGGAAAATCTCCGTACCTATACCCCCTTTACGGACTGGGTGAGCTACCCCAGGGCTTTGCGCGTCTGTCTGCGATTTACGGCGGAACATACATGCTTGAAAAACCCATCGACGAAATCGTGATGGAAGATGGTGAGTTCAAAGCTCCGGAAATTTTACGGAGTTAATTTTTAATTCTTTGAATTTGTTCACATAAAAAGCACACTTACACAGATTTTTTTTTAAATAACAGTTTATAGCAGAAGTAGTATTAATGACCTCTGGTAATGCTATAGTCAAATAACGGTTCCGTACGCCTTAAAGTATCGCATTCTATTTTATCCTACAGGCAAAGTAGTCGGAGTGAAAAGCGGTGGTGAAACAGCAAAGTGCAAGCAAGTTTTTTGTGATCCGACGTACGTTGCCGATCGTGTCGAGAAGGTTGGCAAAGTGATCCGCTGTATCTGCTTACTCAACCACCCCATCCCAAACACAAAAGATTCTCTTTCGTGCCAGATTATCATTCCTCAAAAGCAGGTCGGCCGTAATAGTGACATCTATGTTTCAATGGTGTCGTACACCCATCAGGTCGCTTCTAAGAACTGGTTTATTGCTATGGTGTCCACGACGGTTGAAACAGCCAACCCCGAGGCAGAGATTAAACCCGGCCTTGACCTTCTTGGCCCGATCAAGCAAAAGTTTGTCCATATCAGCGATGTCTACAAGCCCAAGGATCTCGGTGCCGATAGCCAGGTGAAATCACGTTGAAATGTCTTTTTTTTCGACAAAGATCTGACTGCACAGCGAACAAAACATAGATCATTGTTAAATTAAGATAATTTTAATCTTACAAAATCAGTCTAATCTAAGCTTATTTGTTTTTCTTATTTAAGCGTCGGTTACCTATCTTCTATTATGCATAGTATGATGAATTGCACAAAGCTTGCGCTGGAAATCACGCAATGTCCTGACCAAAATTAGTTAAAAATACCTTTTATGTCGATATGCTTTTTTTTTTCTCTGAAAATAATATTCTTCATATATAGTTAATGTGTGCCTCTTTTTGGCGTATTTGATCTGCATTTACAGATTTTTATTTCCCAGTCGTATGATGCGACTTCACACTTCGAGACGACATGCACCGATGTCGTGGACATCTTTAGGCGCGCTACTGGTGAGGATTTCGACTTCTCGAAGGTTAAGCACGACCTCGGCGATGAACAGGAATAAGAAGATTAGGAGAAAAGAAAACTGAAAGGAATTCAAAGACTTCGCCAGGTTCGAGGGGGCTGAGAGGGAGAGGCACAAACGTGAAGAAAAACTTCAGTGGGGTAGAATATAGGGACGGGTTTATGGTCCGGTGCTGATGCAGGCATGACAGATACGCACTAGTAACTGGCCCAAGCTTGACTCGCAAAAATTCCAGCCTGATGCCAGGACTAGTGGTGCTTTATGGGTGTGGTGACTGTTAGTCAATTTATAATGAACTCTGGCATGTGAAAGATGTGACGGAGTGAAAGAGTTAACGCGATACAGAAAAAGAAAATAACAAAATGGACCGAAAACCAATAGACAAACAGAAAATGATATCGTGTGACAACAAAAAAAAACAAAAGAAAAATACTGAAGGAATGAGGGACTGATAGAAAAACACATTCGAATAAGTTGGCAATAACACACCTAGAGAAAACAAAACACAGATGGAAGCACGTCGAATCGATGGAACTACAGTGTCCACTGTTGGTACGGGCGCAAGCACATTAGACGAAAAAGATATTCCCGAGACATTCAATGTTTATTACAAGCAGTGATGATGGACATGGTTATAAATGTCATTATGATTATTAACGTTAACGAGCATTACTATTATGATTATTACTTTTGATCTTTATTTTCACATTGTCATTATTTTGTAAGGAATATTGTCTTGTCGTCTCGAAAAATTTTCTTTCGTGGTGGTATTTTGATATATGATTAATATAGACGACAAAATATCCACTAGGCACTCACACTGATAAACACGACGACGATACGGAAGCCGGTAATGGTGAAAAAAAAGGATGAAGAAATATAAACGATATTAACACTGGATGGGAAGAAAAGGCTGCGATCTGAGGGAGACAAAAATAACAGTGAATCCGAGTGATGGTGATACGTAGAGCAATTGCTATTAAGCATATACACTGAGCGTAATTATGCCTAGAAAAAACGTAAGTCGTACGATTCGATACACTAATAAATAACCATATATATAAATAAAAACAAAGAGCGAGTGGGTTTAATCGATTTGTGAAGGAGGTAGGAAGTAGCTGCATATATAGGGTTGAGATGATAATGCTCTTCGCTATAACGAAAATATGAGTGAGCAAATGGAATACATTGAAATGAAAGAAACGAGGTAACACCCATAAAAATCGAACTATACACAAACCATGACGACAAACAAAAAGCCAGCAACAAACACATATAAAGAAATTATATTTAGTGAATGAACCGTATGCTTAGGGAAAACCGGTAGGGGAGATGATAAACCGAGTCTCACGCGGGATTTACATAGGACTTCGGAAGTTGTTTTACTCAAGTAAGTTTTCTTCAGCGCACATTCACAAGCACCTAACAATGTCAGCATTTTGAATTACGATCAGTTGCAGTATTTAGCACTACGAAGGCAAATATGCATTAATTTGATGGAGCCTTACAAGTGGTTCCTGTGACTATTGGATTATCAAGAAAACGTTCAGATAAGTTGGATTTTTACTACGAAATCCGTATGAAAAGATGTATTTAGTTATTATATCCGTATCGCTTTAATTCTCTAAGAGAATTGTGTCGTCGTCTCTCTTAAAACACACCCGACACATTCACATAAATCCACAAAAAGCACGCAAATAGTATCAATAAAAAAACTTAAAAATAGTATCACGATCCTTTTGAGACTATAAGCTATTGTAGGCATAGAAAGCATGAAAATGAAAGAATATAAACTACTACATACGTGAGTAAAAACTACGGGAAATATTCTACGAAAAACATCAATTAAAAAGCTCCCAAATAAAGAAAAGCTACCGGAAGTCACCAAATGAAAACGAAAGTAGCGCCCACTCGTCAAGGCAACAATGACACTTTCCACTTCGTTCCTATACTGAAGATACGCTCGAAGGGAAGATCAGCGGTCTTTCAGATGTTTCCCACCTGGCGCCCTTCATCCTTTCTGTTAGTTGGAGAGAATAGCGCGGCGAAAAGTGGTGTGACATAGTAGTTGATAATTTCTGAAAAACGTCTGGTAAAAGAAAGTAGCTGAATGGCGGTTGACAGGAAACCCGCGCAGAAGTAAGTGAAAGCTTCGTCCATCTAACGGAAACATTACTTTGGGGCGGTGCAAAGCTATAGGGAAAGACAGCGGAATAGGAAAGCGGTACCTATCTAAAGTAAATGATGGCCAGGAGAGCAAATCTATATTTACATTTATAACGATATAATAACGGTCATTAGTATGTGAAGAAAAATAGATCGCATTCGTCAGAGTAGATCTGCATTGCAGCGAAAGGTTCTCGTTAAGATTGTACTACATGACGCGTTCGACTCAGCGCACGATCCATCAAACCGATAATGTGTTTAGTAGTACATCATATTTGCTATAAATCTGGCTATATAGTCAACTAGCTGAAGGACGAACAGCTTCGAAAATTACATCAGTTGCCACAGTTCATCAGGCAGTTACCGCCGGTTAGTTAAGTTTTAGAGCAAAAAATGTCGAAAAATTCTTATTTTAGGTAGTACATCACTGCGTCTATATGTGTGTACGCTATGAATGTCCGAAGACAGACTAATCCTTTATCAACAGCTCTCCTTTACTCGAAGAAGCTTACGATTCTTAATCAAAAACGAAGTAATCACTCACTGCGGATGGAGATAGGTACCTATAGATACCACTATATAAATCTTATTAATAGATCAATCAACGTAGCGAACACACGAAGAATACATTGGGCAAACGTACTTTTTCGCCTATTCTACCACCTAATTTCGATTTATCTAGCACAAATCGACAGCGCAAGGGAAATGTCTGGCGTGCATAACCGTTAATGCAAATAACAGAAGAGTGACAAATAGCATTATCGGTATATAACGACGCAGTCTATGGTATACGAATGGGCAGGTAAATAAACGAGACATATACAAAGCAAAGCAGTCGCGTGCTCGATTGTAACTCACACGAAAAAATAGGACTAGCCGGATAGAGGATTCAGCTGCTGCTGCAGCAGGATCCGTCAACAAAAATTAAGCAAAAAGACAAAAAGCACTGCAAGTGGTCGCAATACCACTGGTTTTTAGAGGTCTGTCTAAACTTGAGATCTTATGGATACTTTAGTATGATTATAAGTTTGCATCTGGCACGTATCGGGTTCACCTGATGTACGCTGTTCTGTATCTTAGCTTTCGTGTAAATAAATTTGGCCTTCTTGGGTTTGTTGAAACTATCCATATGTTGTCTTTGTTTGCTTTCATTGATTGAGAATAGTAGCTATTAAACTCGCAAGAGAAACTTAAAAAGTAACAATTACTAGTGCATTTTTTTGTATCGTGGTTCACCCAATAGCCTACGGTGTGTAAATTGTATTAGTATTTGATTCTGCTATCGACAGCTATACTTACACTATTTTAGTTATAACTTGAAACTCGAAGACAGCGGTTACAACAACCTTAAGTGTTAGTTCCCATACCGATTAAAAAAAAATTCAAATAACCCTTTTGTAGAACAAATCTAACACAAATTGAAATAATAACAAATTGAAATTATAATAAGTTTGCAGACAACAAGCAAAAAAATATTAATAAGTTTGCTCAATAATTAAGTTCGTCTTTATTGGGGTGCCGTAGGACCCGTTGCGACAATCGCAAAGTTTTCTGGTGTATAGATCTTTGAAATAAAGTTAACTCGGTCGGCAATCATTCCCACAGAGCGAAGATATTTCAATCGACCTTCGTCCAGTATGGCTTTAACCTTATAACCAATTTCCGTGCGCCGATCTGGACTCAAACCCATGGCTTGATAGCGTCCAGATTTTTCTTGGTCTACATCAGAAGATATGTGCCCCTTTTTATCAAGCTCTTTAGGCCTCATGAGCCCACAGTTGGCCGTTTCACTGGCCTCAGACTTCTTTGGTTCAATGATGCTCGCAATAAGTGATCTTTCCCCGTTTTTGTCTGGAAAGAGTGTTTTTTTAGCTTTGACTTGAGCTTTCGCCGTTCCGTTTTTGCCTGAAAGATCTTCAGTTTTCCGACCACAGCGATTCTTGGTTGAACGAGCTGGAAGCAATTCAGGCGTTGCACACGCGGCTTAGGATATCACTTTCTAAATGTTAATATGAAATAGCTTGAACTCCGACAAAAATTATATATATATCTATTAAAAAAAAGTAAAACAACATATTTTTCTAAAAATACGCTAAGTATTATAGGTAAGTTATCTCAAAAACTTGATTCTAAATATTTTTGAAGACTACCTGATTCGTTGTCTATAGAAACCAAACGAACTCGAATCAGCAGTAATAGAGCAAGTAAAAAGGAAACTTGAGAATTAGTCTAACCTCAGAATCAGTTAAAATATGCATCACGAATAGGTACACAACTGAAATTTGTTATTATTAAAATTATTCGCTTTAAATTATTCGATGGTACGACTACCAAAAGGTTGCACTTACACTCGTTTCCACAGGTAGCCCAACCTGCTATGGACGCTAGCAATTGAAATTCTCTTTCGCTTATCCCTAAGCCTTCGAGCCAACTTTTTCCTGTATACCAGCGCCACTCACAACGGTGGTGACAACACACTGCCATTACCAGACCTGGAAATATGCGAAGATGATAAATGGGCATGCATATCCCAAAAAAGTTGTTCTTCCCGGCAGTGAAGTCTGCATTCTTCTAACTCTTTTCCAAATATCTTTTTGTCAGATAATATTCATGTCCAACCAGATGTAGCTCGTTATTACGGCGACGTATGCAGAAAAATAATAATGAAGTGATTCGTTGTAGTCAGAAATAATCAATGCGGTTTACCTACTAAACTTAGGAACATATAAGGTGGTCTAAATTCAAAAACTGGTGTAGGCAGACTCCGTTTTATGCTGGGAGTTACCCGTCGGCGTAAATACTAGATGTAAGGTGCGAAACACTTAGTTTAGCAGTTGGATAACATTGAGAACGAAAGTGGCTGGTGGGCACGCCTACGAGGGAACTAATAATAATAAGTAAGTTGACCACTACTTTCAAAACAGTGTTTTTTAATCAAAGAATATTTTGTTCGAATTATTGGATTAAATAAGAACCTCGTTATTACTGTATTCACTGGTTATAGAATCAAGCAAATGTGGTGACCTTCATATATATTCAGTAAGTAATATATATTGTCACACCTTTAGGCAGTTTATTGTACCCAATAGTGCTGGTAATGCATCGAAGCGCAAGATCGATAGCAACCCCACAGAGATGCTTGCAGAATCCCACAACACGGTCCTTATGCACTTTGAATGGTTCGAGACGCTCGATACACAAATGACGAATGTCAGCACGAATTCGATGAATGAATGGTCCCCACTCATCAATAAAGCGGTTGTCGGCCTTAAAACGAAACAGAAAAATATGCAAACTCAACTACGCAAAAACCATACATGCCTAGCGAACGGGTTTATATTATAGTTCATCGAGTATGGAGGTCAAGCTTCCATAAACAAAAGATCATCGAAGATTGGATACCTTATATCTTTGAGAATCCCTGTCAACGAGGACAAACGCGCTTTTCCGTACGGCTTTGTCTCCAAGAGCTCGCATCACCCACGTGGCCAGCTGTCCGCGCCCCGCGCCGAATTCCACAAATATGTGGCCTTCTGTTATTAATCCTTTGTCACTAAACAGCAGAAATTGATCGAAAGAGGATTTGTTTGTAGTGACATTTGGAAGTAGGAGGGAAAATATGTTTTAATTTTAAGGTCAAATATGCTTTTGCTAAATGAATGTATAAAAGAGCTACCAAGAAAATAAATTAGAGTGCTTTATCAATATTGAACATACTTATTGTGCCTTTTTCTGTTTACCGGTTTTAATTCAGTATAAATTACAGATATTTATGGATAGCTTTATGATAGATAACAAGCTTGAAAAAAATGTTTGTCTCCCCTGGGGAAATTTATTAGGTTTATAAGCACCGCATTTCTTACTGTCTTACTCACTCATTTAATCAACATTCTTATTTATAAAAAGGCTTTTATTATACCATTTACGAATACCATTATAATAGAAATTTATATATATATATATATATATATATATAGTCCCTTCCGACTGTCTTTCGAATTCGATTAGAACAGCAAATTCAGGGAACTACTAACCATAGCAATTGGATGAGGTGCCCCTGCTGGCGAAGATGTTTTTCTAATGTGGTACAATCCTTAAATTTGGTAAGTTCCTCCACTATTAATAAATGGCATGTGCTTTCGTATTGCATCACGTGTGATACAGAACCTGGGAACGAGGCGTATCAAAAGGACATCAGCGAATAAGATGGCTTAAGTAGATTGAATCCTTCGATAAACTCAACAACAATCTCGGACACTTAATCGATATTATTTTAACCACTACACTAGGTCCGTTCCCAAGAGCCCAAAAATAAATATACACATCTAATTGCTATCATGTTCTGAAAGTAAATTTTAGCTCCTACGATTCTCTTGATAAAGGCGTCATAAATCCTAGACAATAACACGGACAAAGCGTAGATAAGAAACACACGAGAATATGAACAAAGTCGGAACATCTTAAAGAAATAAGGCAAGCATCTACTGCATAAACTGTCTCATGCATTTTTTTCTATTCTTTGTATTGCTGTTTAAACTTCATCTAAATTGGCGGAAGCAAAGAAAACATTGAAGACTTAACATGCCGGGCGTCATGAATGGTGTCAGTGTATTTTCTAAAAATCAACTAGAAGAATAACCGTGGAAATCGCGTTTAAATGTAACAGACCAAGCAACATCTTTCTACTGACTGTTTATCGCACAGTTTTTCGACATGAAATTGTCTTCAGCTTGAGCTGTACCTAAGGCGCTAGGTTTGCGTTAAAAGCCCATATAGGTCCATCAAAAGTAAAAAAAACGAAAACAGTTTGCAGTTCGATGCTGTATACGATGTTATGTAGCTTACTTTCATAAATTGATTCAATACGTTGTATGAGAGCCTGGAGTTCTTCATCAGAAACAGTATGCACAGATATTTTCTCTTCGGGTGATGGCACGTCCTCTCCATTGATATTCTGCAATGAGCGAACAAAAGCAATCACGTGAGCTGGCTATGGTCATTTTTAAAATAGTGGCCTGTTCATTCACACATACCCATATATATATACATGGATGAACATTATGGCAAATTGATATGTATGCTACCAGGTTAATGAAAATGCAAAGCGTTGAGCAACTCGGTAACGTGACAGTGACATAAGACACTCTTACCGGGTGTCTTATATTATGTCACTGTCACGTTTCTTACCTTTACAAGGTATGGGGGTAGTGGTTTTTCGCGGGCATTGCACTTTTTGATGTGGGCGTTTAACAGATGCTCGTAGCACGAACTGAATAAACAGAACAGCGAAACAAACCTTAAACATACTTAACGTCCTTTGCAGAAACTTCATATTAGAACCATATTAGATTGTATATGTAATTCTCTTATTCTTACTGTTCATGTGATTTAAATGTGTTTATAATATAAGTTATGCATGACTGTGTACCAAGCACGACGTTTTCTCAAATCGTTTTGCCGTAAACGTCTAAATGAAAGAATATTATGAAATAAAGCAAACTATTCTAGGAGATTTTAGTTCCATTAAAAAAACAAGCCTGTCTGCTACTAAACAGACTTATTGACGTTTCATTCATGTATAGCTTACCTATGAGTACGTGGGGAAACAGTTTTATGTTTTTAATAAGCTTCTCGTGCCACCCTAAAGAAAGTCGGTGAATCAAAAATATGTCCGTCAAAACGTACGTTTATTGATAGTTTCGTTGACAAGGAACCTTAAATGACTAGGAAGCGACTTACTGTGATGGATCCAGTGGGCATGGCATCCGAGCGTAATCGCCCTGTGGGTTCAGTAAAGTTTGCATAAATTTTACATTCGTGATTTAGGAATAACTCGTATGAATGCTTTAATAAATAACACTTAAGGTCATGTAGGGTAGCATTCGAATTCTAGCAAAACAGAACTTATTTGTACGACTAACTGCCCTTTGATCCGAGGTCATCAGATGCTCGCCGCAATAATCACAGCCCTTGATTGCGCGTTGCCGGCATAAACGGTTTTTTTTCACCACGACGAACTGGCATTGCCTAAAAAATAATTAAACATTTCTTTCCCTAGAATAAAATATAACTGCCCGACGGTCTTAGACAGTCATAAAAGGACTGGAAAATAGGTCAATTGCGAGCTGTCTAGTCCGACACCTCACTGCTTTCTTTAAACAACCTACACTATAAATACATCGTAGTTGTTAATAGCATCTGTAAGACCTAATGTTGTTTTATACAATATATTTGGTCTCTAGTTCGTTCATGCACTCACAATATTAAGATGAAAGTAACTATTTGAAAGTAATCGCCATTTTAGTCCTATAGCACTAAACGAGTTTCACTAAACAACGGATTTACAGAACGAATTTTATTTTTGAATTCATTGAAATACTAAAGAAATTGAATTAACTGTTGAAATTAACTAAAGAAATATGTTGACGTAAATCGTCGCAATTTATTTTCCATCCAATCTGTTATCGTGTTATATTCGTACTTAGCTTCTGCAAAAACGAACAAGCCTCAAGGGAAGTCCAACAAGTTTACGGAATCACACACGTTACTCACATATACCCATAGAATAATTGCAATAATAATAATAATAATAAAAGTTACAGACAACTCACTTAAAATGAGGATCTGCTAACAGCATCTGTTCTTTCTTCCGATTTTTTTCAAGCTCCTTTTGCATTTTCTTAGCTTGACGTTTGCTGATGCTTTCATTAGAAGCAAGCGTGTGCTTGGATGGTACTCCGCCTAGCATATCAATATATTTTTCAATAACAAGTAACTTTCTTCTAAAATTTCATTTTAGGGACGACGTGAGATTCCAAAAACACCTTTTTAAATATACCACCCTGACCTTCTGATGTTCCAGAAAACCAAGACTAAGTCAATTTTCTTTTGGAATGTCAGAAGTACACAGAGTACACCACACTGCACTCTTATTCAACCGCATCGGTGTAAAAACGTCTTTGCAGGTATTTTTTAGAGCAGGGATGTTGAGATCTTTGTAATGTTTCGGCGCTTTGCGAAGCTTTTGGTCCATGTTTACCGGCTGCTCAGTTGCGTTCGAATCGGCTGCTCGCCACGTGCCCTCGTAAACAAATGAAAGTGCCGTGAAGGAGGGCAATGATTGAATTATTAACAGGCCTTCCTCGATGTCAATTGCGCCTGTTGGGAAGAAATTGAATCGATATTAGTTGATTAGGCTCGCTAGCTCTCATCAGTGACAATAAACCGAGGTGGTGGATTCTATTTGTAGAAAAGCAATTTTTTTAGGAAATATTACTTTGTTGCCCCTATAGCGCCAATACATATTGACTTGAGCACTCTACTCTGTATCTGTGATCCAAATTTAACATAAATAACTGTTTGCACTCGCCAGCTTCAACTATCAGTATCACATTTGTTATATAATCTGATATTTAGAAAAATATAGCGTGATAGGATAGAATTAAGTTTCATTTATGCTTAGATAGAACGTAGAGTTCGAAAAATTTATCATTTGCTCATGAGCTGCTCTAGCCAATGCATCTAATCGACTACATGCCGGCGTCATTGCACGTGTCATGATCCTTCTGACCAGTTCAGAAGCATGATGAGTCGGGAGTCATACCTTCCATGGTGACACGTGTGACGCTATAACCTTGTTACGCATTCGCACGGGACCCGCCTGATTCTTGCTGGTCGAATAATGAGGGGTCATCGTCCTGGGCTACGGGGCTAAAGATTGTTTAAATGCATGTATAATTATAGACTACATGTTTTCAATGGTGACTGGTCAGTGAACAGCTTTTAAACAACTTGCTCTATTGTAGATATTCACCTGTGTTCGTTCTTTAGAAATCACCCATTCCTTTCTGATTATCGGCAAGCTACACGACCTGTGTGAAGAAAGTTGTGTACTGTCGACTATAAACCATTGGTGTCTTACAAAATCCTGAAAATGAAGTTGTTATTGGGGAAAAAATTATACAAGCGAGATTTTTATTTACAGAGGAAAAGTTTTGTAAAAATGATTTTTAGTATCAAAATATCTATCAGCCTGAACAGGGTAGGATATTATCATTAAATTAGAACATTTTGTTCTGACGACAAGGATAGGCTTTGGCGAACATTTTTATAGAGACTATCAACTCGATTAGATATATTTGTAGTTGAATCGGCGGATGGCTCGGCTTCTCGATATATAATACAGCTAGCACGTTCATTTGAAAAACTTCTGAACACTGGTTTCATCGAGCTAACCCTGAATTGCATTCCATATTTTCTCGACAATTGTCGATCGAACCAAATATCAGTATATTATATCTTTATTTTGGAGAATTTAGTTTATTATGCACAATCATTACTATAATCTGCTATATTTGACACCTGGATTAATAGCCTAAACATCGATAGTTACTCTTTTTTACGCACAACGTGAAATGGTCGAACGAACATTTTCAAGCGTATTTCGTATCGTTACGTACAGCGCGTAAAATATTTCATTGGTTTTCGAACTGTTAATGCTTTTGATTTGTACTTCTTTGGGATCAACTCTAAGCCAAAGTCAGCGGCCTCGGTGGATTGACATGATCAATATAGTCGAAAGCTTTTACCTCAATTCAAAAAAAAAATCTCGATCACCGCGTTGCCACAGGCGTTTTTACATTGCCGCACACAGCCAACAAAGAGTCGCTTTTTATGACAGCCAAACTACTGAGTAGATCGCAGGGAGTTAAATTCAACGTGCAATTGAAGTGTGATACGAATATACCGTTCGAATATTTTTTGTGCGTATGGAGAAGAGTTTATTATAATTAGTACTATCGGCAACTTTATATTACTTAAAAAGAAGTGAGAAAATACACAGAAATCTAACCGGACTACACACCAAATAAAAATTTATTTATTTATGGTCTACTAGATTTACATAATATATTACATATGTACAGACCTTTTTGTTGGCCAGTAATGTCAAATTCGTTGCGTTTTAACTCATAGCTTGTGTAATTTGTAATTGACAAATTGCTCTCGCAACAACTTTACGGGTCCTGGGAGTTGTGAATGAAGAGAGTGCGAGAACTAGACTCGGACTTAATGACTGCGGCATAGCGCGGACAAGCTGTGAGATAAAGCCCAACGGCAAGAACTGCAGTACTTGCGAAGCAACGATCGGGTCGCCGCACGTCACAAATTGACGAAATAGTTCCAACGGGAAGAATGACCGCTGGCTGATCACGGGCTCGGTAGCGATTGAATATAGTAGGCGAAAAAGTTCAGCAATAGCACGATCCAATGGTTCTAGAGAATCCTCATTATTATGAAACTGTAGAGCATACGGCGTATCCTCAAGACTTTCCAAATCGGTGTTCATGCGACGATTCTTGTTTTTCGATTTCGAATGATTTAGCAGCGACTCCTGCAGTTTCATCTCCCACACCGCGTACGTCTTGCGCAGATCTGAACTTCCGTTGGTGCCACAATTTCGGCGCAGAGTCAGCGCGGTTATTGTTGTTAGGGTGACGAGCTTCGCAAGCGCCGATCCCTTTGGCTCGGTAAGAAAATCCTGCTTGCTCTCCCATAATAAGTAGTTAGGCAGAACGTTGGTAAGAAGTGCCAAAGCGCACAACTGTACGTCAATTTGAAACAATCCGTACGCGAGCTCAATTGCGCAATTTAAATCGTCCTGATGTTGGTACTTCAACGCGTGGCGTATTAGTGCGTCACAGAACCAAACCGGTCCTACCGTATCTAAGATACCGTTAAGACTATTAATCGTCGTAATATCAATCCAAGCGCCTGAATGCACATTGTCGAAAATCTCCTCCACAGCTGTCCATAGAGGCGTTTTCTCTACAAGTGCGCTCGTATTTTTCTGACCTTTCTGGCTAACAAAGTAGTACATCATCTTCTTTACAATCGACACCATCATTTCGTGGGCGTACTTGTAGTAGTCAAGTACGCCTGAGCTATCATCGACGTTCGGCAAGCCATATATTAACATGACGTTCTTCGGCTTTAGTTGGTCATTACAGTGGAGTATGTTAATATGACAGCTGAGCCAAGCGCTAATACAGACGGCTGGGAAGCACATTTTCGACTTGATCTGCTGCATAATCGATTTTACCATGTGCGTTGCGAGTGTTTCCTCTTGCCAGCCTTTGAGAATCTCCTTCACTGCAGCTGGCACATCGTAAAGCAGATCTGACCATTGTTGGTGTGTTGTTCGAAAATCTAACGGTTCATTCTTCTCACCAGCGCTCAACATCTGGTGCAGAAGAAGCTCCACCTTTTCGGGATTTGCCTTGGAAAGAAATTTTGTTGGGCATGTGTACCGGTTCGGATGCACTAGACAGTCGGGTACCCACTGCGCAAAAACGGAGTCTTTTGTCTCTTCCCTTACGACTGAGTCCACACCGAAGGTCTGCGCAATATGGCACAACATTAGAAAGGTAATATCGAATAGGATGGCTCGAGTTTCTCCGCTTTCGGTGACGAACGCGTTATTCTGATTATTGATATTTATCAATTTTTGCACTAAAATATTCAGTTTACCTGTACCAACAGCAGCAGACACAATTAACTCGAATTTCGACTCGCGAAGCATTTGGGTCAGCACAGATAATAGTGCTTCGGGATTGCAGCCGTTGTCGAGCATGCCTAGGACATTTTGTAGAGTCGGCTCCGCTTTCAAGATCAAAATTGGTGCAGGTGACGGGCCCTCTTTAGGTCCATCACTCTTATGCCTTGACTGTCGCTTCGACCGTATTTCTTGCGCATCCGCTTCGCCAATTACATTTACTTTGCTCAATTCGTTGACGATTAGGCCCATACAGTCGATATTGCATTTCTCGTCAGCGGCATCTAGCAGAGACTTACAGGAAAGGACCATGTCGATACCCTTCAAGAGATCGAGATCATTCTTGCCAACCTTTTCAAGAATTACAGGTAACTTGAGAAACGTGAATTCGGACCATCGTAGGTTATTAATCTGTTGGCTGCTATCCGATATGTATATGCTATCTGATAAGCCCATTACACACGAACGAATAATTTCCGAGTAGAAGACGGGCCCGGGAATGTTCAACAGTTTCCGCGTCAACTGCAGGGCGTCGGCGACATTGTTAGCAGAATTGCATGGGTTTAAAATTGCCTCGACTGTGACGTTGGCTACGAGGCCAATCACAGCACTAGGCTTCCGTGGGCTTTGTTCCGACGGAATCCTGTTCATCTCGTCAAGCCGATTCACAAGTGATAAGGCGACGTCGATAGTCTCTCGAGCAGCTCCCTGAACCCCCGCCAGTTTCTGCTGAGCCTCAGCATGCCGTTCGAGGAGTGACTGATACGCTCCTTTTTCCTCACAGCGACCAATGTACAGGAGGGCCTTGAGAAATGTGTTTTGACTAAAGAAAGCCAATGACGATGCGCTCATCTCGAGTATCTGAACGTATGCCGGTTCCTGTTTGGCAGCTGCGTATAACATGCAGTTGTATAGCCACAGCGCAATGCTTACAGTCGATTTGCACAACGCAATACATTCCTCTTCGTTGCCTGGACATACGACCCGCTGTTCCATACCAACGACAAGGTCCAAGAGCGACTGTAAACATTGCGCCTTGTGTAGCGCGTCGAACCGCGCCACTGATGAAAACGTGGCTCCGTATGATATAACCTGCGAAGACAGGCAGTGCGTGAGATACGACATAAACAACTCGTTCGGGCCGGGCCCTACCAAGGCTTGCTGTAGAATACAGTCAGCTAAATCATACACGTCTCCAGAAACACCTGAAAAATGACTGCAAATTAGTATAGGCATGCACAACACATGTTTTTCGGGATTATCCCGACCAGGGAAGTCATGCGCGGATGGCGCTACTTAGATGTTATGGGGAGAATAACAAGGATATATTTAAGACTAAACTCATCGATAATACTTTTTGTCTCGCTGCATCTTGCGCACTAAAAATGAACAAATTAATTCGTAATAGTAGCTCAACTATTAAGTTGATTGGAACAGATATGTTTGTTAGAGATGGAATAGATGTTTATAACTGTCTGGGAAATCCATATCGCATCGAAATCGCATAATATTATGATGTGTTAATATAATGTTGACCTTACTATTGTATATTTTTAGGTATTATTTATATGATGTTTATTAATAACAAATATTTCTCCATAATCATAAGCCATAGCAAATTATACTACTACTAATTTCTACTCTTAATAGGAGCGTATTTAAACGAGGCTATACATTTTATAAAAGTAGACAACCCATGTTCATTTTAATCTGCATATAACACAGACTTCGATCCAAAGAACAAGCCGTCAAATTTTGCTTTGTGGCGGCAAGACCTTTGCGAGGTCAGTGAATGCAACAAAATATAAACTTGAATTTTTTAATATTACTGTTTTACTGGCTCACATTATATACAAGATAATTAATCACGAAGATGCAGAATTAGAATAATAAATATTATTCTAATTCTGCATCTTCGTGATTCATTATCTTGTATATAATGTGAGCCAGTAAAACAGTAATATTAAACAATTCAAGTAATGTAGAAGATAATCATAAGACACTTGTAAAAGCTACCGCGCCGTTTACTGCTGACAACAATGGTGACAAACGAACCAGAGCCCAATACAATTTGCGGCACGAAGTTGCAATTATTATTAAAGCGTAATATGTAGATACAAGACGACTTACTGCTTTAGTGATTTTAATGTGTGCAAATACCTAATATACTTGCATTTGACCTTTTACCTGCCAAAAGTGAACAAAATATGACTGATTAATTATACATGATTTTGGTGTGACTAGTAGCACAAAAATATTTATAATAAGATATAGTTATTTATATGTCAGGAACTAAGCTTTCGTTTCAAGCTACACAAAAAAGGCCTCACTTCAGCGTCCAATAAATAGGTGGAGTGCTAATGTAAGTACCCCATCAGCGTCGTATAAACCTGTCATTTCGTTCAAATTTATGCCGGAACAGAGGCTGACCAGGTTATTTTCTTAATGGAACCGTATTTATTGCGCACTTAAATGTATCGCATTTTGTTATGCGGCAAAATCAGAATCAGATTCAGGTGTTTGCGCGCGTTGTAGCACGTTTAGCATTATTTAAAGCTGCAAAAGAATTGGTCAGTGTATCTAAGATATAGCTAATCGACAATCTAAGGTCTTGTCGTTGCCTTTCTCGTACTCACCCCTAGGAAGGACGTTTTTAATATTAATACCCCACAAGACATCGCTCCACCTCTCCCGCCAGGCCTGCATTAGGAGGCTTTTGATCGAGCTCGTTTTTGACGTGTCCATTTTTGCCACTTGGCCAAAAACGGAAAAGCTATGCAAGGCACCCTCCTAACTCCGAAGATTCTGTCAGCACTCACTGAGATAGAATTAATACTGCACCTTAGTTGCAGTACCGCGGCACCGGGCTCTTTCGTCTGTTGACAATTCGCCGCTATGGCTAGTTAGCAGACGAACTGTTTCTCCAATCACTAAACAACAACTTGAATTGCTGTCGTAAACCTATTGTGTACCTGTGTATTACATATGCATATTTTTGTATTGTCCTGCTATTTCTTCATTTCCATATAACCCAAATGTTCGACTGTTTATTATATATATAATTCTACTAAATGTTTATTGATGGCGGGTGGCCATGTGGACTATCAACTCTTTTTATAAGATTGCAGCGCACTCCATACGCCCCCTGGCGGAATTTATCACTATAAACATTTTTAGGGTCATAAATTACTGTGGTGCTTTTCAGTCTTTCCTAGGTTCCCACATACTGAAAAGTCGTCACATGATTTCTACAAATTTGGCAGATATTGCTAACAAATGCAGCTGCAAATTTTGTTTATAAAATATGCGGTTCATTTTAGGTCTTCTCCAAGGTAAAGGGGTAATTCGAAATGACAAATCCGTTTATTAGGCCTTCCTTTGTGATACAGTAATAATTCGATTTATTGTTTCATCGTTAGCACAATCGTTATAGGTAAAATTACCTATAAACAAAATTAAACCGGGGAGATATTGACCTACATTAACACTGTATACATTAAGATCACTCTTTTTCATTAGATAAAAAAAGCTATATAATTTGTAATTTTGAAATATATCTATCCGTCATGAACGCAGTTTTTTCTATCAGAAAAACTGACTCTATGTTTAGTTCAACGAAAATTGTCCTATATAGATACCATGCAGTGTAACGGGTTCCGGACAGCTAAGTACGTTGTATCACACGCCTCCTAGCGGAGCTCATGGTCGGATTGATTCCCAACGCCTCCGCCTAGCTCCTAGGGTCTTCCCTAAACGTTGTTTACATTGTCATCACAATGATCAGGATTATCATCGTTCGTGCCGTTCGCATTGTAAACTATCCGGCGTTCCAAATCGTCTGATATGTTCTTTCAGCCAGAGTTGGATGGGTGACCGTCAATGCGCCGATGTGAGTTCACATGTGACAGTTTTTTTTTGTGATACTTCTCGTTATTGTTACAAGAGTCACTGTTGTAACTCAGGCTATCATTTAGTCGGAATAGTGTCGAGGACTATTTATCAAAAAGTGGCGCATTGAGTGAATGAACTGCAGAACAGGTAAAGTAGCAAATAATCAGTAAAAAAAAATCGACAGAGATATGGCTCGCAACGCGGAAAAAGCCATGACAACGTTGGCCCGTTGGCGAGCTGCACAACTCGGCGGTGAGAAAAACGAAGAACGCCGACCGTTTTTGGCGTCGTCGTGTTACGATATAAAGCAGGCGGAGAAATGGCGCCGGCAAATTATCTCCGAGATCTCGCGTAAAGTAGCTCAAATTCAGAACGCTGGTCTCGGTGAACATCGGATACGTGACCTGAATGATGAAATTAATAAGCTTCTTCGGGAAAAGGGCCACTGGGAGGATAGAATAAAGGAACTTGGTGGTACAGATTATTCGAAAATAGGTCCAAAAATATTAGATACAGAAGGCAAAGAAGTGCCAGGAAATCGAGGATACAAATACTTCGGTGCAGCCAAAGATCTTCCAGGAGTTAGGGAATTATTTGAATCGGAAGCACCACCGCCGCCGAGAAAAACCCGAGGCGAGTTGATGAAGCATATCGATCCGGATTACTACGGGTAAGCAACCGTGCCTAAATTTCATTAAGCTGAAATTTAGCCAAAAAGAAATTTAAAATGTTTGTTTTTTCTGAAATGCATCTGTTTTAAAAAATTTTCCTTTTGCCTCGATTATCAAAAGCTTTCGTGCCTACAATAGTATCTAAGGTAGCAAAAGTAATATGGAACAGTGTATCAACGACCTTTCATTTTGCTCTTTTTATCACAAATTTTCAGCTATCTTGACGAAGATGACGGCATCCTCAGACCGTTCGAAGACGAAGCGGAGCAGGCTGCCCAGGCCAAGATTGAGAAAGAAGTTAAGGCAGCTCAAATCAACGAAAAGGTTTTAGAACCGGAGATTACAGAACTCATGGAGACTGGCAGCGGGGCCACGTCTGATCAGAACGGAAACGATCGTGACAAAACGTCTAGTGAACCCAAAAGGTCGTACGTCGCTCACGTTGCAGTACCATCACAGAAAGAAGTAGAAGCAGCATTAGTGATACGAAAAAAACAGAAACTACTTGAAAAATACGTGAGCGCAGATTTAGCAAAAGAGGAATTCCATGTCAAGACAATGCTTGGTATCGAAAAAATTCCTGTAAATAAGGACAAAATTGGCTAAACGACCTATTTTCCGGTTAATGAAATACGCTGATACAAAGTGTATGTATCATGAATTGTACTAAATTCGTAATATAGCAAGTATGTAAATAAATTAGATTTTTTTTGTATAAATATGTGACAATGTATTTTTGAAAATCACTTTAGGTTGTTTGCCCCTATCTCGTATCAGCGTTGGTTATACCTAATGACCGTTAATAACTTGTAAAATTATTAATTTTTAGCCCATATGCTCTGTTGTATCAGATTGGGATACATGGCGGAACCACATCTGTTGGTATCTCTATATCGTCTATATCATAATCGTTTTTAATGTGTAAACATTTGGGGAACACAAGCAGCGCCTACGATGCTTTATGCATGGGAGTCGGTGTCGCGCTTGGATTATTTTTTAACCGATTGTTCCATACTAATTCGAGACTGAATCAACATTTCATGCATCTTTGCAGTACACAAAATGGGCACAATACTTTAAAAAATTGGACACAAAACGTGTAGAATATTTAGCTCTCTTTAATTTTTTTTCTGTTTCCGAACTAAATAGAAAGAAACTGCTCTAAAAATACTGAAACATTGTATTATTGTATATTATAAAAAATAGACAAAGAACACTAAGTATTTTTTCAGTATAAAACAGTTTATATGGATTTATTTACAATATTAATTATCACACATCTAGTCAGCACTTATACGAGGGCGGCAGTCGGATATTGCACGATTGGATATGCACAAGTACCAGTTACAAAGTATGTGCGATGGTAAATATACTTGCAGCTAAAATGCTACACTGATTAAATTAAACCGACAAATAGATAAGGCAAGGAATCTGACTAAAGAGACCAGGGCAATGTCATGGGCTGTGGATTCTGTAGATATGTCATCACGACAGCCGAAATTGACAACCTGAAATTTCGAAAGAGAACCATATACGATATCGTAATTATATATATTAAAAACTTTACATTCAGCTTTATTTTTGTTTTGACTGATAATTGAAATTAATTTTCGCTAAAAATGCTACATTTATGTACATTATACATTATGACTATTTCAATTTTACGTCGCTTTCTGATTGTATTTTTTTGTTCGAGTCATTACAAAACGCACCCACCTGCAACAGACGTAATTTGATAAATGTTTTCGTTAGATAGTTTCATGAACGATCTGCATATAGTAACATGTTTAAAATTACAAATAGCTTTTAAGTGAATGTAACACTGCTTTCCCCATTTCTTATTTCTTTCAAAACTTGTGTTAGAATGTCAGAGCATCGTGTTAGGATTCCGAACAGTCAAGTCTGCGAATGCAGTATCTCAAATACTGTGTAATAGTGGTATTTACATAAAGCTACTGAAAAGTTGTTTGCCATCATCGTTGACACGTGAATTAGCGTACGTAACGCTTGAACATAATAGCGCAATCCATGAGCACCACTTCATCTGGAATTCAAAGGAAATAAAGAACTTGTCTGAAGAAAATAAATAAACGGTCGAATCTTGGTGAGAATCACTTTTATTTAAGAGTTGAGAAAAGGTGAGATTTGCGGAACTTCAGATTACAGAAAATCTGGAATGTTTTTCCTTAAGTCTCGTGTTCTTTGTAGTGACTTCCATTATCAATGCAAGCCAATGCAATTGGATTTTCCTATATTTGATATCACAACATTAAGTTTCAGAACTCAAACGGATATCAGTTTTGATAGCTAAAGACAATGACACAAGTTTTTGGTTGCACTCTTTTGCCAATAGCAATAATTGTACAAGCACAACAGATCATAGCTAGAATTGATTCGTACTGCACCTTCATCATGAGACCCATCATGGAGAAGATAATGCCAAGGACGTTCATGTAGTCAGATGTAGCGTCGTTAACGCCTGGAGCAGCAAGGGGGGGTGGCTTATATCTGTTGGATGACAGAACAATGCAAGAAATAATATGTTGATCCAGTCCATTACTCTTCGGGCCTATGCTTCTTTTTAGGATTTATCTACAAAATGCTGCGCATATATTCACGTGAATTAAACCTTAAGCCCAGCACGTTTACTGAATCTATACGAAGCTGCAATGCCTTACTAAAGTTATTACAATTTGTATTAGTTGACTGGAAAATATTTGCAACAAAATTGTTTTGAACAAACCATTGAGTTTCAAATCGAATCTCAAATCGAAAAGGTTTTGTCACAGCCACTCAATGTATGCTGATACCGACTTAGCACAACGAAATTTTAAGGCTGACAAACGGAATCACATTGTCAATTCAAAATAGATGCATTTGGCGAATTTACAAATGATAAAAATCGTAGTTAATTCTAACTGACGGCAAAAGAATTGCACATCTACAAGCTATTAGATTGATGCCGTATATTAACTGTTTCGCAGTGTATGGTGCAGACGTTTCGATAACTTCGTATGCATAAACTTGCGCGATCAGGTTGCTAATCCCTAATCTATTAAGCTAAAAAGTCCAAATACAAATAATATATAAAATATAATATAATACACTCAATACAATGCAAGCACGAAATTGTAAGCTATGTATCTACAAATTACAACAAATTTTGATGCATTCTATTATTATACAAAAATGTGAATGCGTTTGTCCATCCGGGCGAATAGGAGTGCTTTAAGTACATAGTACATAGTTTCCACTTCATAAATCTGGTCGTATGTTCTATCCCTATTCTCTGCTTTTCTTTTCGAATGCTTTTTTTCAGAACACAACAATAATCAGAACATGGGAATTGTTGATGATTGTTTTGACGAATTTTGCTCGAGTTTAAATTACCATGGTGAACATTTACAGTGATATTCGTCGTACGGCTACAGCACTATATCTTACACAAACATGTTCGATTTGCAACACCTTCCTAATTGCGACAAGCATGTTGACAGGCAGATAGGCTAGCAATAATATTTTTATTTCCGAATGAACAATTACCTCGCTTTAGCCAGCCGTTCAAACAAAAAAAAAACAGGTTTACCTGATGATTTTGTCATGGCGAACCGGTGAGTTTTCGGGCATTTTTTCGATCTATTTAGGCACACGCATTAAAATCTCGTATTTACACTTACGTTAAAATCAAGCAATGTCGTCAACAAGAATCGTCTCTTACTAACTTTCCCTAGATGTCGGCTGCTAGGGATATAATTCCCTAGCATGAGTGCATGAACTGATATATTTTGTTATTTCGCACTTATAATAAATTAATATGGTTTAGATGTATTTGGTTAATAAGTATGGGGGTATCGTACATAGGCTTTTGGTTCCCTGACTCGTGACTGAATCAGCGTACCAGTCACGTGCAACTAGCTAGCTAGCAGCGCCCCCGAGCGCGCGCCATCTTGGCAGTACTGTCAGGTGATCAAAAGTCACAAGACCCATCGTTAACTGGATCCTGTGGGTGGTACGTTCAGTTCGTTCACTGCGTGAGTGCGTCAAATATCGCTACTCCTGCGCTGTATTTTTTGTCCCGGTGAAGTACAGTCGGTGTCCAAGGCTTTCGCAAGGTATATCTCTGTCCCTTAGGAATAGCGTTCCCGTTTTAAACTTAGAATGGCGAAGGTTCTAAATCGATTAGAGGCGTTTCGTGAACATGAAATGGCCGTCACCCGGGATTATATCTCGCAGCCGCGCATGATCTACAAGACAGTATGCGGTGTAAACGGACCATTGGTCATCCTCGATCAGGTCAAGTTCCCCAAATTTGCCGAAATTGTACAGCTCGTACTGGCCGATGGCACGCCTCGCACAGGTCAAGTGCTTGAAGTGTCAGGAGATCGCGCCGTCGTGCAGGTGTTCGAAGGCACATCTGGCATCGATGCTAAAAATACAGTATGTGAATTTACTGGTGATATCCTGCGTATTCCTGTGTCAGAGGATATGCTGGGGCGTGTCTTTAATGGATCCGGTAAGCCCATTGATAAGGGTCCGCCCGTACTTGCAGAAGATTTTCTTGATATTCAGGGTCAGCCGATCAACCCTTGGTCGCGAATTTACCCAGAGGAAATGATCCAAACTGGTATCTCTGCTATTGACGTAATGAATTCGATTGCTCGTGGCCAGAAGATTCCAATCTTCTCAGCTGCTGGTTTGCCGCACAACGATATCGCCGCTCAGATTTGTCGACAGGGTGGCCTCGTAAAACGGCCGCAAGCCGCAAAGTCCGTTATGGACAATTCTACCGAGGACAATTTCGCCATTGTGTTCGCCGCTATGGGTGTGAACATGGAAACGGCTCGATTCTTCAAACAGGACTTCGAAGAGAACGGCTCTATGGACAATGTATGTCTTTTCCTTAACCTCGCCAACGATCCAACTATCGAAAGAATTATTACCCCACGACTTGCGCTAACCACCGCTGAGTTCCTAGCGTACCAGTGCGAGAAGCACGTACTTGTCATTCTTACTGACATGTCCTCGTACGCTGAGGCGCTTCGGGAGGTGTCAGCTGCCCGTGAAGAAGTGCCCGGACGTCGGGGTTTCCCTGGTTATATGTACACGGATTTGGCTACAATCTATGAACGTGCAGGACGAGTCGAAGGTCGAAATGGATCAATTACCCAGATCCCTATTCTGACTATGCCCAACGACGATATCACTCATCCGATTCCTGATTTAACAGGGTACATTACAGAGGGACAGATTTACGTTGATCGACAGCTACACAACCGTCAGGTTTACCCACCCATCAACGTACTGCCGTCACTTTCACGTTTGATGAAATCTGCCATTGGAGAAGGCTTCACCCGTAAGGATCATGCCGACGTCTCTAATCAGTTGTACGCTTGCTATGCTATCGGCAAAGACGTCCACGCCATGAAGGCCGTCGTCGGTGAGGAAGCCCTCAGCCCTGAGGACATGCTCTATCTTGAGTTCCTAGGCAAGTTCGAAAAGAACTTTATCTCGCAGGGCCGCTACGAAAATCGTACCATCTTTGAATCTCTCGACATCGGCTGGAACCTGCTTCGAATCTTCCCCAAGGAGATGCTTAAGCGTATCCAGCATTCATTGCTTGCCGAGTTTTACCCTCGTGCCGAGGCCAAGGTTACCGGAGCTGCAACCGCTGGTTCTTCCCCCGCGCCCGGCCATTAACCGATCGACCACTACACCGCCTGTTAACGGTTATAGGGTGGAAGATATGTACCTTCAGAGAGGACGGTCGAATTACGCAAGATCTTCTCAACGTTTTCATCAATGTCGAAGACTGAGTTTGCTGAGTTTTTTTTTAGCCGCGACAAAAATGAAGGAAGGAGTCATATTCTTGGCTCACTCATCATCGTATTGCCCAATGCGATGAGAGCACAGAAGTAGAGAGAGCGTGTCTGTGTCTGTTAGAGCGAAAGTGCTGACAGACAGGGGGCGCGAACCAGAAGTCAAAGGCCATCGATGAAGCAAGCTTAGAGCGCAGGGAATGGAATGTTATCTATTAGTTAGGGTATTATAATTTATAAAAAAGCAGAAGGTAAAGGATCCTACCGATAGTTGCTGCAGAGTCAAATTATAGGATGAGCGGGTTGTTCATTCATGTTGTTTGTGATAATAACACACACATTGCGCGAAGAACAACGACAACGACGATGCTGATAATGGGTGAATGACATTGATTGCGGCTCAGAAACAGATCAATTGGAAATCAGGTCCGCATCCCAGTTAGTCACGTAACCGCCCCAGAACTCCATTTAACAAATAAAAAAAATTGGGGGGCTGCTAATCATATTCTGAAAAGTATAAAAGCCGAACAGACCCGTATTGAGTAAAGCCAGCTTTTCCCTATCATTCCAAAACAACGGCCACTAGAGATAGACGAGATGCAGACCGAGAAGAAAGGCATGTTGGATCCTTAAATTTTAGTCGACTGACAAACTGGCATGATGGTTAGTCGTCGCCGCTGCCAACCAGGTCATCTGCGGGTTTTTCCAAAGTTGTGTTGCATATATAGTCAACTGTAGCGAAAATAAATTCACAAAGAAGACTTTTAAAGAACGCAAAACAAACCAACATAAAACTCAAAAGGTGGATACAATATTGTTTATTGTTCATGTTACGGATGTGTGCGTGTGATAGTTCGAACGAGTTTATAGTTGGTCGAAATTGGATTTGGCAAAATTCACAACTCGACTCCTCGTGAAAAGAAATTCGCGCAAAGACAGGTCGTAGGCATGTATTGCGGCATTATTTTATAGTTAGTCGTGCGTCTGGCGTGAATATATATCTATATAACAGCAACATGACATGATAATTATGAATAATAGATGACGGAACAAACTCTACGAAGGACAAGTAATGAAGTGAACAGATGGAAAATGAACAAGGCGCAGCACATGCTAATTATTATTAAATGAAAAAATGGTGGCGCAGCGCATGCTAATTATTATTAAATAAAAAAATGGTTCTGTTTTTTTCGTGTTTAAAATCAAATATACGAGGAATGCTCAAAAATGTTGGCGAAACTGATCATTTGGTTACTTCGTTTCTATACGCATGTCATTGTCACGGCTTCTAGCTTGTAACGGTAATAATTTTAATAATCTAGACATAACTGGAAGTTCTTAATATTACCACGCAAATATTATAATAATCTTATGGTGAAAAACACTTGGAAGTATTTTATCGATAATGTCGTGTATCTTTAGCTCTTAGAAATTTTTCCTGTCTATGGCAAGAATCTATGAAATAACGTTACGCCATATGAAACGTGCGATTGAGCACCGTTAGGTCTACAATAGAGATTGACAAACGCAAATCAAACTGATTATGTTACCAGTAATTAACACTAGTAAATAATTGTGCCGTAAAAGGTTTATCCGTAAAATTAGTCTTGAGCCTATGACAGTCAGTCTTACTGGCAGAAAAATACGGTGGTGTCTATGTTGACCCTTTACAGGGTGTGAGAAAGGAAAACTTTTCATAGGTAAAATAGCTGAGATATGATGCATATGTCAGTATTATCATAAGTGAGATACTTGTTTAGTGGTCTATCTGGTTATTGTATTTTGAGGATTTACTTGAATTGCAAAATTGGCGGGTTACAACTATCATCATAAACAAACGAAAAAGAGGCGTCGCTTTATTTGATGTAGCTGGACGAAGGAGTCATAACAATATGATTATATGATAAAATAATGTATAAATTATTCAATCATTGCAACGTTGTTCATATAACCATAATTACAAGGACATGATATGGCTGCTTGGTTCCGTTTTAAGAAGTAGGATCATATCGAAGTTAACATTTTACTATTCAAAACAGATACGAAAATAATTCCAAAGCTTGTACTAGTAATCGATAGTAATTAGCAATTACTAAGATCAAAATGATAACACGATGCAATGAGGCGATGACAACATATGATAATAACGGTAATAAACATGATGAGTAATTGATTATATGGAAACCGATGGATGAAAAGGTACTCCATAAGCACAATGAACAGAAGCGAAGAACAACGACAAAGGTGTTAAAAAAACGTTGGTTGGTGTACTTATTTACATCGACATGCAGTACATATGCCCCATTGTTTTATTATTTTTATTTGAATTACTAGTATTTATTAGTAATCAATTGATAGTAATCATATGATTCGTTTCGTTTTTGTTATCGATTATTATGTACAAGCAGCCAACATCAACCGTAAAAAGATACTGACAATAGCCTTTTGCAATGTTGTTTATAAAAAACAATCTACGCCACTTCTAGAAACATGAATAGACAGCTACTGACGATAATTTGACGTGGGGTTTTTGCACTGTGAAGCTAGTACCGGCCAATTTCGTTCAACTAGAATATATAACTTGAAATAATCCAGGGAACTTTTGCTGATCATAGTTAGGTAATGATCCTCAGTTGTGCGTTAAAAAATTTGCTTCGCGCAATATTATTTAATAGAACGGACTCAGTAACTCTACGAGCAAAAAATATTGGAGCAATATAAACTAAGAGCCCAGAACGTTTTATGCAATATACAGGAAACATCGGCGTCATTAGCGCACTGCTGCTGGCTGAGGTCAGAAGCACTTGCATATATATATATATATATATACATGTATCTACAAGCAGCTCTACAGCTTGAAATCTAGTTTACACATCTGACTAGGTTTATATTGTTGCGATATAAATTCTTTGAATAAAATAGAGTTTATGTTCATTTCCAGCTGCCGCTATGTATATACATATACATCTCCCTGCTAGCAAATGTACTCATGGTAGAGTAGCTATCTATATAGAGGAAGCGAAATCAAAGGATTTGCAGGATTTGCCAATACTGATTCAAAAAACCTGTCTCCTAGCCGTTGAAGGGATCGCCACGTAGCCACAAAACGCGCTGCACGATGCTTCACTGTTGGACCGGCCAGGAATGATTTCGTCTTCCCGATTCCCGACGTTTGGCTGATTAACACGAGAGACTCAATAAATGACTAACTGGCGGGAGAAAGTGTCTCTCTGACAGGGGATCTTGAAAATATGACGAGTTTTTATAGGCTCCACAAGGAAGCGGGTCTCCGCTTTGGAGGGATCTCTAAGACTATTTCTTTGCTGCTTGTCCGCGTAGAAGTAAACCTCTGCAAATATGGTGCATCAATGGTATTAAGATTAAAAATTAATGAATGATTGTTATCACGATAATTAATGTTATTAGGTAGGAAAAAAAGCAATAATAACAGTGCAAATTTCCTGCGTCCGCCTTAGATCCCAGAATTTGGTGTTCTGAATATTCTCGTTCTCTCAAACTTTCTTTTTCTTGACGTCTCTTCATGACACTTACATGCGGCTTAACTTGTCTACAGCAGAGAAAGCACAGTGTTTTACATCTAATTTGATACGCGATTATATATTTAGCCGTAGGATTCGCCGCTTTATAGAGCTAGTTTTTAGTTTTCGGCCACCTAGAACCCAATAATTTAGGTAAACGCACCATTCGTGCAGTGGCCGATCTCCTTTTTTGCAGTTCTGCCGAAGCATCGGCTTTTGCACACCGCTCTCGCGAAAATGGCCTTGGCTGTGAGTAGCACACATAGCAAAAGCCTGGGAGAAATTTCTACCAAGCTTATACTACTTCCCGTGGAGCTAGTTCAAGAGCCGAGAGAAATGACCTTCCGCAAAACCTTGACTGAAGCACTCATCAGTGGTTTAGGTGATTATGGAAAAACGAAATTAACCATGGGAATAATACGCATGTTACCTTGTCACAATTCGAGAGAAAAAAAATTTAACGCTTCTTGTTCGATTGTGAAGACGAAATCGAATTGTTACCAATGTTTTGATGGTACGATGATACGGTTACCGGGTTCAAAACGGATAAGTACATAGGATTCTATAGCTAGTCGGCTAATCCTCAATTGCCTACGACTCCTATCTTATTATTAACCCTATAAATTCAAAAACTTCACCTATTATATAATATTTAACTATGAATAACGTTCTTTATTCGTCTTACGTAATCACGTGTTTGAATACGCGTAGGTCACCAGAGCTATTTAGAAAATAAGAGCACATTTTATGGTCCACTTATGATATAGTCCAGTTTTCTATTGTTAATATTAATAATAGAGATCTTTCTGCGCTTTTTTTTCGTTTTATTTGAATTGTTTCTGGTGAGTTCCGGTGAATTTACGGGAGGTAGCCAAGCGCGGGCTTACCCTAAGGCTGAATGCATCTATGTTCTCTCCAGTGTCTGCAGCATGGGTGTTGATGATCTGATTGTTGGACACGAGCTTGTATTTATAAACACATGCGATCCAACTCCGACCGAAGCAAATTTTGCAAAAGACGTCTGTGCTGGATGTGGTGAGGTCAAACGACACATTCTACGATGAATAAAATTCAGAAATTTTTTGCTATTGTAAAAGAGAATGGCGGTTGGAAAAGTTCGTTGTTTAAAATGTACCGACAGGATGAACTGAAAACAGGAACACTGGTCGGAACCGATGCTTTCGGTAAGAGATCATATTTTATAATCTTGTTTCAACTGTTCTGTTGTTTTATCATAGAGTTATATGTATGCATGTTTCCACTAAATGGTAAGGAGATGTACGTTTCTTCATCGTTAATTATAATATATGCAGCGATTTAGAGAATAAACATCAGTGTGGCTATAATAATATCTCTTATGTATTCCGTTCAACCTTTAAGAATTTCTGTGTTTAAACAAACAGCGGCCAGTTTTACGCTTAGTGGGACGTTTTACCCATTGCAAACAACTACATGACTGTGCTTTGTAAACTCGGTACAGGCAACAAGTACTACGAGAATAACGAGTATTTTATGGGCCGCAACCGTTGGGTGGAATATGCAGATAAGGTGAGTTTCTTGTTTATCCTATGCAAGTAAAAAAATCACAGCTGTTTCAAGTAAGACATGACAAGTTGGTTGATCTACATTTAGATCGGACAAGTCGATATTTTTACACATAGTAGGAAGGAAACTGAAAGGATCACTAGAGAGACAATTTGATGCAAACTTTGTAATTACAATAATCGTATTGGAAAGATATTGGAACTGGAACAAGATTCATTTGTTGCGGTTATTTCGCTTTTTAACTTCTTAGGTGAAAATGGATTATGACGGTTCGCAGATTCCTGCGGAATGGCACCGATGGATGCACTATATAACAGACAAGCCCCCAACTATCGAAAAGTACCCGCAATACAAATGGCTCAGTGGACATCAGGAAAATTTTACTGGCACCCAGCGTGCCTACATGCCATATGACACAGTGCCTCAAAAGATCCACCCCTGGAAGCCTGGCCAGAAGTAAACGTAGAAGACCCATTTAAGGAAAAAGCAATCAATATAATCCTAAGGCAGTTATCAGTGAATGAAATACGTAGCTTGAGCCAAGTGAATTTGTTCTACTCGAAAAGAAAAGACACCATCTGAAAACGTTTTAGAAAGGAAAAAATATAAAGGCTCGTTGTTAATGTATAATTATATAAAGTGGCGTAGCTAGTTGATAATTATTATTGTAAGCATAACGGTAAAAATAAATACCACACATACTTGTAGAGAAGTATACGAGGAATTTATTTCGATGATAAATGAGTTCAGTCGGTTTCAGTCTCGTTAGCAAATACCGCCGTTGTTCTCGTACACCCGATGTCATTTCAAATATACTGACTCAGAAAGGTGATTGCTTACCCGCTGTTGTTTTCCTATACATCGATTACTAGAACAATCATCATTATGGTCTTTAGTGCTTTACCTTTTTTGCGTCTAACTCACTCGTATATTTTATTATTGTAGCTCTCCGCAAGTGGAGCAAACGACAAAGATCAATTGATATTCCCTAGTATAGCAATAGTCACATTATTAAAGGATTCATCTATTTGTTATTATGTTGATGTAACGTATGTCATCACGACAACAACTAGAACAGTAGAAAAATAAACATCACAACCTGCCACAACATCAATATTGCTATGAGATATCATTTCTATGATTTGGCTTGTCGTTCATATACTCAATTTTTTCAATTATGATCGTTATGAACGTTATCATTCTGTCAACAACTGTGGTCGTCCATTTAACTCAGGTCGTTAGTTTTTCGGATGGTGTTGGATCATTTGATAAATATTTGTCAATATATAACTTTCATATATTCATTGATTTGCAAAAGCATAAATGTCTGTTATATTACAGTCTATATATATATATATATATATATATATATATATATATATATATATATATATATAGTCGTATCACTGAAGTATGAATAGCACTTTCATTATTTATATAAATGTCATCATACTGTTTGAATTTTTGTGAGTTTTTCGCTTGAGACCTCGGAAACAAGTTACGCCTTCGAGCGTTTCTTACTGTTTTGCTGCTGCTGCTGCTAATGGCGATGCTTATTGTTAATGTCGACCCTACGAAGATTTCCAATGCGCTGTCGAACGATTTGAAGATGTTTCTGTACGTAGCTTTCCTTCGGAGCGCGTTTTTGCACCTCGAGAAGACACTTTTCGGCGACGTCGAGCCGGCCAGAATTGACATGCACTACACAAAGATTGTGCATGGCTTGAACGTTTGTCGGCTCCGTTAACAGTATTCTTTCGTAGCACTCCCTGGCGTGCTCTGTATCTTTCAACTGGTTAATGTAGATGTCACCAAGAAGAATCAGCGCTTTAGAGTGACTTGGGTGATGAGCGAGTAGCTGCTCAAGATATGGCTTTGCATCGAGCGGACGGCCCACGTCCGAGAGAAGCAACGCCAGATTAAACAATGCACTTCGGAACGTTGGTTTATGTCTCAGCGCAAGCTTGAAAAATCGTTCGGCATCTCCTAATTGCTTGTTATCGGTCGCTAACATCGCCAGGTTAAACCAGATCCGTTCGTTGTCGTGGCCTCTCCGTAGAAGCTGGTTCAGACGTGAGACTGCTACCTGACGTAATTTTGCATTACCGGACTCCTGGATAAGGATCGCTGAATTCATTAGCGCTTGTTCATGGTCCGGACTAACGTGCAGGGCTTTTTCAAAATACTGGAGTGCGTCTGAAGACTTGCCGAGCTCGATAAGTACAACGCCCATATTGTAATAGATGTCAGGATTGCTCTGGTCTAACTTCAATGCTCGCTCGTAGACATGCCACGCTTCTTGAGTTCGATTGAGCTTGATCAATACGTCGCCGCGATTGATGTAAGCCTGAATGTAGTCGGTGCGCATGGAAATCGCTTGCCTGTAGAGAGCGTCCGCTTCTTCAAGTCGCGAAGCATTGCGAGCGTATAGGTTCGCGAGATTTAAGAATACATTAAGGTAGTTGGGTGCGATTCGTGTTTGATACTTTTTGCCCTTACGTGGTCGAGGCAACAATGCCTTTGCCTGTAAAAAGGCCTCTTCTGCCTCAGCGTACATCTGCAAGTTGTTGTACGTTCGGCCCACGTTAATGTGAGCTCCTACATCATCCGGTTGAACCTCAACAGCCTTACGGAAATAGCGCAAAGCATCACCGTAAACACCTTCCTGTTCTAGAGCATGTCCAATATTGTTAAACAATTTCGCATTATGAAGGTTTACTTTGAGACCACTCTTAAATATGGTCAATTCTGATTTCCAGTCGAAGTTTCGTTGAACGCTTTTTCCAGCATGGCACAACACAAAAATCACTAACAGAATATTCATAAGCGTCTTCGCTCGAAGGCGAAGCTGACCACAACCAAAAGCTACTAAAAGGCAAAAACCCATGCTGGGGAGGTATAGAACTCGCTCAGCCACCACGAAACCCACCGGAAATAGCAGATTGGATGCCGGTAGGAATGGAAATACGATTAGTGTCATAGAAAGTACAATTACGCGATATCGTTCCCACGTTGCATGTACGCAAGCTGTGTAGGCGACGGCAATTAGAATAACATAGACGATCAACGTGAACAAATTTCGATAATCAAGCAGATTATCAACTAATGGAATTGAACCCATCGTCCAGTCACAACAGAGATGGTAAGGGTTCATTAACAACCAAAAATTCACTGGCACAAGGTAGTTATAGGTAAGTTGTCGGGCAGGAAACTCCGCTGCAGCCGCCGGGTTGTCAAACTTCGTGAAAACTGGTAACTGAGCTCCCATTACTTTTATGCGAAGGTACATAAATATGACACCAGCAACTGCAAGGCAACCACATCTACTCAGAGAGGTTTTCAGCCAGGACGGCACGCCTGATGATATGCTGCGCGTTGTCGACACCAGCGTGGTGACTAGAGTCTGAGGCCGAAGTTGTCGAAGGATAAGCAGTTCATACGTTGCGCATACACCTATAACAGTAATTCCTTGCTCCTTGCACAGTGTGGCCAAACACATAAAGACGACGGTGGCAGTTAGCATCAATGACCGCTTGTGTGATCCTTTGTACGCCATAAATGATGCTAGAAAGAAAATTGCACAAAGAGACTCTGCGCGACCAACGACCCCGGTCACAGCCTCCGTGTGAATAGGATGAACTGCGAAAAGAACTCCAGTCAGAAACGAGTCGTATGGCGAAACGAAATCACTCACAGAAACCGTTAGCATACAGCATGCAACTGAATGAAGGAGTAGGTTCGCTAAATGATATCCTGTCGGATGAAGACCATGTAGTATGTAGTTAATCCGAAACGTGAGTACGGTGAGCGGGCGGTACGATTTATGACTATGCTCTTTGTGCATTGGAGTTCCCCAAAAATCATTTAAAAAGAGTCGATACAATGGGGTGTCTGCTCGCAGATCTTTGTTGTCACGGATAGCTGAGACGTCATCGAAGACAAAACCACAAGAGAGCGCATTTAGATATACGATGCATGAAATGCCTGCAATAGTAAATAGATGCCACCATTCGAGATGGCGCTCCCGAGGCTTTTTGCACGGGGAAGAATGGGAGCTATTCGAAACACTGTTCGAGGTTTTCCATTTTTCAGGCGAAGGTTCTCTGGATAGACTTTCTGCCGGAGGGATTTTTAGGGGACTACTGGTGGTACCCATTCCGATAATTATCTTGTAGACTCTAGTTCTTCCATCTAAAGAAAGAACATCACAATGGGCTTCACTGAAAAACCTATTGGCGAAGAGTATATTTCTATCATCTTTGCGAGCATTCTGCGCGCCGTCACTAGCAGCGCCCCTTGTGCTACTGTTTAGCGTTTCGTGCCCTCATTTCAATCTCCACCACAAAGTAGATGCGTGCCATCCGTGAATGAGAAACAAAGCCACTTCCGAGCCGTAGTTGGTTATGGGCTGCTGTTTTCTGGTAGAATTAGACATCCCAAAGCTGAATCCAACTACGACCATTTATTTAAATTTTACCTGTGAGATCTGAGAGAAAGAGGAGGCATACTGTGATAGAAATAAGTTGGCTTGTGAGCGCAATCAATTTTCTACAAACGGAAAATTCATTTAGATAGTGAACGAGAAATTGTTCACTATCTAAATGAATTTTGTTGCCTAATGAATATTGTTTGGACGTGCTGTTAACATGATAGAGTATTGTTAATCTGTACTGCCTGTCTACTGTTTTCTAGTTAATGTAGTCGAATGGGCGCTTTTGTTGTAGTGCTTTCGATGCAAAAAAAAGCTAATTTCATTTGTCAGAAAATACACTTTCTCTGTATTGAGAAAGCCACACGTGTATCCGATATCATATATTCAATTATAGCTCCTACTCCTTATGTGTGTCCTTTGGTGACTATCGGGCGAAGCCTGGCAAGACGAAACTATCGACGGCGCCGGTGTTCAGCAACTGCAAAATGTCCGAATTACCTGTATTGATTTACGACAAGCAGGAGTACATCGAGACCGCATCAGGGAACAAAGTGAGCCGTCGATCTGTGCTTTGCGGAGCACACAACATCGTTCTTAATGGGAAAACCATTATTCAATCAGGTAAATCAGGCATCGCGCCTGTCTCTTAATTCCAAATTGTATACGAGGAAAGAACGAAAAATGATGTGATCTACATTATCGATTACAATTATCATGTCCTTAATAACAATTATAGTTCCTCAACTCGTTCTCAAAACAGTCACAGAGTGAACGAACACTAAGTGGTGAACATTCATTAACATTTTAAAATTATTTTTATACAAATATAACATTAAATGTTGAAATGATGTCTTTTAGTCATAGAGACTATTATTTATGAATGAAAGAATAACTATTTTATCTCGTGGCTAAAACTACGTATGAAAACATTTTCAAATAGGCTCGGGTATATTTTCTAAATAACCTAACAGGAACCTACAGCAACATTTACTTTAGAATCTCTTTCGTTCATCTATAGGGGCAATTGTTCGAGGAGACCTTGCTTCAATTCGCGTAGGAAGACGGTGCGTGATTTCGCAGAATGTCGTTATCCGCCCACCGTACAAACGAATTTCAAAGGGGCTTACATTTTACCCACAACAGATCGGCGATCACGTCTTCGTTGGCGAAGGTAGCGTGGTAAGCGCTCAGTCAATAGGCAGTTATGTCTACATCGGGAAGAACTGTGTGATCGGTTAGTAAGACTGACTCAACTGCATCTATCTGACTTGATATACTTGAGCATTGCATAAAGGTAAGCGACTGTCTGTAGCAACGATCTTCGTTTGTCGAGATCGCCGAAATACCCAGCGTGAGAAGCTAACCATCCATAATTAAATGTATTAACTAAACCAATTATTAAGTAATTAAAATGAAATTACCACTTTAGCAACGCACCCCATCCACCATCAAGTGTCTAGCTGGATTAAATAGTTAAACGTTTTAGTTTATCGTGTAGTACACAATTAGGTATTCAAATGCGTTTATTTTATTTTAAATCAGGTCGACGCGCAGTGCTTCGAGACTGTTGCATGATTACGGATGGCAGCGTGGTGAGTCCGGAGACCACAGTGCCATCATACGCCATCTATTCTGGAAACCCCGCACGCTACTATGGTGAACTACCGGGACCCTGTCAAGACATTCTGGCCGACTACACAAACTCATACTATCTCAACTTTATCCCTCAAGAACATCCAGTGGAGATTAGGAAATAGGTAGTCAACTGTCCTGCTTATATAGGGTTGTTCAAAATGCTGGATCTGTTACACATTGTGACACATACACGGTGTCTTCAGAGACGGGTATTATTGAAAGCCGCAATGTAAGATATTCTCTACGCGAGTATGAACGTGAATATTGTGTGAGAAGAGGACGAGGATGAATAAACACAGGAGTAATATATCAAACGCGTAAATAAATGTATACATTTTATATACTTTATATACACAGTGGCACATATCTGCTACCAATTATTCACTTCTAAAAAGTTTCTCTCCTTTGCAGATTTGTCATTTACAGTTGTTTCAGGCCAATTTATGTTTTGCGCTTTAGATGGTTAACATGAGGCGTTGCTCCCTATTCCTACTTAAAACGGTCATATGGGCAAGTGACACTTAAAATAAGAGCATCGGCATGTCAAAACGGACCTTTTAATGTTTCGAATAGAGTTCAATGGACTTGAAAATACGCCAACCGATAATTAATGAAATCATTTCTAACTTCGTTTCTAAAAGGATATATTAACTTTAGCTAAATTTGATAAAGGACGTTTATTACTCTAATAGAAATCGTAGCGTTTGTATATGGAATATGTAAAAATCTATATCAGTATTTAAATTCACTTTCCTCTCCATCTCCGGCTTTTTTTTTTCTAGATTACTGTGCTTTATTGCAATCATTACGTCTCTTTGTATTATTTGCTCGGTCCTTATGAGCCTTCGTCACCTAGTTAACATTTTTGATTGCAACACAGTATTTACTATGACGTTAGTTTCCTAGGCCCCTATTAATTAAACGAACCTAACTGATCGTGGCTGATAATCAAACCGGTCTTCGAAACCGGACTGAAAGCGGAAAAAGGTAATAAGCAAAAAAGTAGTGATAAACACATATGCGAAGATTACCTTTTAAACATACCAAACAAATTGTATTCAAACTAAGAATACGGATGACGTCAATAGATCCTTTTGATGTGTTAATTGAAACTGTAATTTAGATAAACTGTGCTTTATACCTCAACCCGGAATATTTCACTCGTATGCAGTCATATAATTAGGCGTCTCTCTTCATATGATGACAGCAGAGTACTCCACGTCTTTGCTGTATTATGTTTAACCGAATTTTCAACTGCTTCTTAAAATTCCTGCAGAAGTTGTTAACAGTTATTGTATTGGTGTGCGCCGGCTTTAAAGTTAGTACACGTCTTGACGTAACTAGCACATAATGCAGGTCGAGTTTGGTCGTGTCTGAGCCAGAAAGCATTACGAGTACTGATACTTCCTTCACTACCTAATATTAAATAGCATTGTGGTATGAACTTAATACTGAATTAAATTGATTCAGGTAGTTAATTCGTGCGGTGACTTTGATAAATTCAGATTTTTTGCTCCCACTGACTTACTAAAAAGTTTGATTGTTTCTATTACCCTACCTAAATATTTGGTGTAAGCAAATGAAAGGTAATGTTCGACAGGCAGAGGGCACGGATTAATAAATACTGAGTTCGTAGCCTATAACGCCACAACTATCAAACATCGGTGTTAAAGCTGAGAAGCCCTAAACAAACTAGAAATACCTCTACACACGCCCTAGAAAATCATATAATAGTAACGATGAATAAAACATTTTATATTTCCCCCTGCAAATGTTACGTTCTTTGCAACTACTGACGAGCTTGCAGAGTTACCCTTGTAGAATACAATTTTGCCATGACCCTGCCGGCAATTGCAGGCTCGTGAATAACCAACAATAGTACTTCATTTGCTAAAATGCAAAGATTGTTTATCTTGTTTTTCATATAGGGTGTGGTTTTTGTGTACCGGATCGTGCGCCCATTCATGTGCATATACATTGATAAAGTTTGTTAAGCTTTTAACTGTAACTATTTTTCTTATTAATTCATCATCGTGCTTGCTTTATCGTAGCGCCCTCTCTTCAAGATATTTTCTCAGGTGCACGTTACAAAAGTCCGCCGAATAAAAACGCGCATATTCATCTCGTACGTGGCATTACGTATTGTAGGACCTATGCGTATCGATGCTATGTTTATCAAATAAACGTATGCCATCGCATTAATGCAATAGGGTCGATTTACTGCAGCAGTTTTGAAGGCACATGTGCAATTCTGTGTATGTGCGGGAAGTTGTGCTGTCTACAAAAGTAATATTCCCGAGATGTTCTGTTTTTGATATCTGAAAATACGCAGGTCTGCTTTCGATATAGAAACTTAATGCGATCTGCATATATATACAATATATATATATATATATATATATATATTGGTCATGTGGATTGCTGGTGCAGTTGTCGGTCACGCGCTGTCGACCACTATTATAGGTAGAATAATATTGCTGGAAAATATAATTTGAACAGCGTCAATAAATATAAGTTTCGTTTCTACCCAATAAGGTGTCAACAGCCAAATATCAAGCCAAATACAACAAGAAGATAAACTCTACCGATAGTCTTTGTCAAATTGACTTGACTTGTATAGACCCACATGAGTATATTACCGTACACATGGAATATATTTTCGATGAATTTATTGAAACACTATTTCATACATTATATATATATATATATATATATATATATTGAAGAGAAATTATGCGTCACTACAATCAAATTTTTCAAGCATTTTATCTTATACCTATAAAATATAAATGCATATACATAAAGTAAAGCAAAAAACATTTGACAGTTTGAAAGTTATCATTTGACTTTTTTTTTCTCTTATTTTCACTACATTTTGTTTTCTCTGTGTTATAAGAGACATAAATTGAGATTCGCAAACTGGCGAGTGACCTTTTTCCAACTATCAAGAGACGTTTGCGTTACCCTATGCCCAAACACTGATTTGGTACGTTGTGCTCAATAGTTTTCATAAATTGGGTTTCGCTACGACGTCACGTCATCTCCCGTTATCCACATTAAAAATGCCACACGTATTTTTCTTGTATTATTTCACTTGCACACAAAGTGAAGGTGCAGTGTATTTGTGTTCGTTGAATGTTACATGTGACGTTTCACTATTGCACTCCACGTTATAGAAGACCGCAACACTACTTGGTCACCAAAGGGTATCATTTATAAATCATGTCTGGCAATCGCGAACGATTTTTGCGCCAACAGCAGGAAATATTGAGATCGATGGTATACCAAAGTAGCCTAATCCGTGATATTTGTTTTGTTTTCTCATATGTCGTTAAAATCGTGTGCACATTCGCATTTCTCTCATTGTGTTCTGCACACTGTGGGCCCTGCCGAAGGCCCACCTTTCACGGATAAACCGATGAAATGAAACGTTCACCATCTGCACGTGTACCTATTTCCGATTTGCATGCAAATTTCTGCTAATCACATGCTGCTGAACCGTGCTACGTATATCTAGCAGTAAAGCAAATAAGGAAGCGTGGTGCTGGGTCATATTTTTCTGCCACTCATTTTAACCTTGGACGCCTAACTGTTCAAGCGTCACTCCGCGGTCACAGCCAGACAACCATTGATGGGTTAAATACATTGTGTTGAAATCATTGTGAACCTTGTGGTATCTGTCGTTTGTGCTGTTGTTCTTCTCCTGGTATTTTTTTGTTTTTTCGCTGTGATATTTCCACTGGCGGATTCCTTTAACTATTCTATATAAATCTTGTAGGCTTTTGGATTGGACGGTCTAACCGTACTGAGTCACAGCTTTCGTTCCGTGTCGAAAATAAAAGTCGATTACAATGGCAACAATGCAAGTAAATGAATCATCGCTGCGGCCAGACACAATGGAGACTCTGCGCGAAATCTGGTTAAATAAAAACTGTACTGATAAAACTGGTGAGCAGGTTTCGGCAAAGCGGAGCAGCTATGACGAGCTTTTTGAAAATCGACTCCAGCACGCTAATTCCAGCGATGGTCTAAAAGAAATAATTCCAACAGCCGCCGAATGGTGGCTGGCGATGCACAAGAAACCATCTCAAGTCCCAGCACCCATTGGGACAAGGAGACAACAGGACATGTTTGCAGGTGACTATGATACTGGTTCTGGGTACTATGCTCCACCAGGCACTATGGAAAAAGCGCTTCCGAACTTTGAGTCTTCGACCTCGGCTCTCTCATTTTCGACAGATAGAACACAGACGACTCGTGTATCAAACGAGGTCGCGAAAGATTCGTGCCCTTCATCGTACACTTCGCCATGGGAGCCATCGACTTCATCACTAAGTACGTATTGAATACCATAAGGATATCAATATACGAATCTGTTTGAACTATGAATTTGACTCTTTATTTTAGCAGCGTAACAAGTTTCAGTGAAAATGTGTCTCGAGCGCGTTAGCATTTATGCTACAACGCTATGTACAAGCGCTTTTCAATGAGAAATTATTTTCGAATCTCAAAATTTCCAGTACATGCGTTGTTGTTTGTTAACCTTTGTCCGATTTTCTCCTCAGAAAAAACCATCTGTTTCGAAAACAATTTTTGCCAAAGTTAAGCAGACAAGTGAAGATCACTGGAATCCATTTGTGTATTCACAGGATATTCAACGGTCCTTCCAAGTCCACCTTGCCAATCCAAAAGTTCCCTCATACTTGACTCAGGAGGCTTCCACTCATTTAACGCAACGGGAGATACTGTATTGTCACGTCTAAACCACTTCAGTCAGGAACAATCGCGACGGAGACAATGTACCCAGGATCAGCTGCAACATTTGGAACAACAGCAGCTCCAATTGCAACAAAAATTCGAAAAAAAAAGATTGGAGCTCGAACGCAGGAAAAACCAGCTAGAAGCAAGTGATCAACTATATAAGCTCATTAATAGCGTTATATTGGAGGACGGTGATGATAAGACAGTTGACCTTGAACGTCTTGAGAAACTTCGATTATTGAAACAACTTCTCGGGGTCGAGTTCAATGCAGTTAACAACCAAAGGAAGAATCCACTAGCTACAAATCCGCTTTCTCTAGAACTACATCAGCAGCACAAAAACTCCCGGCAACAGCAGCAGCGCAGTGTCTTGAGCGAATTACTCAGGTCGAGAATGGCCATGTTGAGTCAAGGTTTACTGGTCACTGAAAACGTTCCTTACCTTAACGCGCCACTTCACCTGAAATCGACGAAACAGAATACATATGAAGAAGCTCTCGAATCGCTCGAGAATGAGGCAAAAAGTCGGCGTACATTAGCCTGCGTGAAAAACGCGACTCTTACATGGAAAGGAGTGCTTACAACTAGGCATCATGATTCACCAACATACGCTAGCAAAGTGTTCGTAGGTGGATTGCCATATGATGTGACGTCCGACGTCCTCGCCGTCATCTTTGGGAAGTTCGGTGCATCGGTTCAGTTGCCGCCGCGGGGTAGGGGACATGCGTACCTTGTGTTCGAGAACGAGCTTCAAGTACAAACGCTTTTAAAATGCTGTGAACTCGAAGATGATGAAAAATTTTACTTTTGGGTACCATCTAAACGGGGTAAAGATCGTAAGGCTCAGGTGATTCCATGGGCAATCGAAGACAGTGACTGGCTATCGCCTGACTGCGCTGTTCCAGTTCCTCTGGCAACCATGAGCGAGCCATCTTCAACTGGCTCACGAAGTCTGCGGAGCACTGCATCAGATGCATCAAGCCATGAATCTACATCTTCTCTCGTCGAGGAGCTCACTGATGATGAATCTCTGTTATCCTCTGAAAGAATCTCGTCGTTTCAAAAAGCGCACTCCGATATCAATGGATTTTCTAAGCAGAATACGGTTTTCGTCGGAGCCCTGCACGGTGAAATAACGGCGGAAGACCTTCAGAGAATACTGTCAGAACTGTTCGGTCCGATCATCCATGTCGGAATAGACACCGACAAAAACAGGTATGGGAGCTGCCATCAAAATGGTTTCTCTTGCAGAGAAATTAACTAATAGATATCTCTCTGAATAGAAAAAGTATGGTTAAGGTTCCAAAGCTCTTTGAAGTTCTACAAAAAAAGAAGAACAATCGAATTGTTGAAAAAATAACTACGTTGTCTAAAAGGCTATCATGTATATGACCCTGTACTAACAACTGGTCAAAATCTTTTTTATTAATCTAGCATATCTTATATAAGGATGAACATTTACAACTATCCAGATAAATCCAGATGAAACATATGCTGTAATAGCCAAATTGCAGTTGAAGTTCTTTTTTTTTTGAAGCTAGTCTCAGCGGTTAATGTGAGTAAGATTTAGAAATTATCTCGAGAAATGGGGCACTGTCATATATGTCACGTAGTTTTTCCTCAAAACAGGTACCCAAACGGCTCCGCGCGTGTGACGTTTGCCTCCACTTCGGCCTTCCGGGCCGCTGTCCTGGCAGAGTATGTCCAGGTAGTGACGCCAAGATTTTCAAAGACGATCCAGCTAGACGCGTACATTGAGGATGGAACATGTTGCGTCTGTGACGTTTCTACACCTGTGTTCTGTCGCCACCCGGACTGTTTCAGGTTAGCCACAGTTGTTTCGGTTGTGGTAACGAAATTTGGTTTCTACTTCATCATCGCGCTTTAAAGTTACATCCATATGCTACTTCAATTAAAAATGATTGCAACCTGACGCATCATATGACACCTGTTGTAAAGCTCCAGTCATCTGCAGCATACCACTGGGACTGAATATCATTCGATCTGCAAAATAGAGATTCTTATTCCACATTTTCCCACAGGTATTATTGTGCCACCTGTTTTAATAAACATCGCCTACATAATACGGACTACCATCCGCCCGTGATGAGGAACCGGCACAGTGGCACGTTTCATACAAAGATGAGCTCTGTGTACTTCAGTAACAACAGTACGAGCCTAGCTAAAAACAGCCCAACGATAAACAGCGATACGTTTTCGCTCTTCATCACAGGAATCAACCACTTTCACACAGGCTTGAATGCCGCGTCTTAAGCTACTGATTCGCTGATGGCATTTGCGCACTGACCTTTTGTCTTTGCAGGTCTGGATATTTTTGGCGACTGGCAACCAACCGGTTGTAACATCTAGGCATAAATTCTGCATGCACAAATTAAAGCGCGAGTTTGAGTACGTTAAAAGACTTGTAAACCTTGCTTCAATGTTGTGCTCGTTTCTTTCCACAAGTTTTCTTGTATTTTTTCTAATTATCATTTGAATTATGGCCATGTGCTTAATTTCGTACTTTATTAATTGCAATTCGTACTATTTTCGCACGGACAATTGCGTACATCTTACCAAGTCTTCCATGAATTGATTGATGATACTGTTACTACCAGTGTTAATAATGATACCGATGAATACTCTACTTATATCTATATAAATACCTATATGCTTGAATTATCAACTGTGCAAATGCTTTGATATCGGCAGATATAGAGAACGGAACATGCAAACACGAACACGTTAAAACATAAAACAATTCCGACCCGAAATATACAGACGAAGGAAAAGTCTCTTATATTATATGAGATGATCTTACTTATCGTAAAAAAAGCACATTTTTAGGAGCATATTGTTAGATCTGTTAGAACCAGTAGACGATTGTTATAGTTCTTAGGCATGCATACGTGCCGTATGTACGTTGTGTTCAATTCAACCAGGTAGGTTGAAAGGGAGAACCCATTCTAAACATTCTAGAAATAACTATAACCGACATATTTATTAGTCAACCGACATACTAGACGTACACATATGAACATATGTACATGATACGATTATGCAGAAACAGTCATCCATATGGAGCATCTTTCCGAGTTCCATATACTTGCATACCCACAGCATATGTGTATGGTCACAAAAACTAGCCGGGCTTGTTTTTTCATAAGTTTTCATTTTTTTTTTGATAACTAAATCAACTGGCGAAACAGACGGGCAAATCGTTCCGTATCCTTCTATGAGAGTACGTGCGTGTAGGCGTGTGCTATTTTCGCTAGGACAATCCGACGTCGGGAACAGTACTTAATTTTTAAAACTAACGTATAGTAATTAATTAACCTGCCACGTTCGGTGACGGCACTTTTTCTTTTATATTTTGAATAGCGTTCTATAGTGACTTGTGACCGTTGCCTGAAGAGTCGTTCACGCTTTCGGCGTTAACGTCTGTTGGGACGATGTTATTAAGCACTATAACAACTATTGAGCAATAGAGCATGTGTGGCATGTTTTTAACACAAATCTTAGCTACTACTTGCCTTTCAGTATATATATATATATATATATTATGATTATGTGATTTTTTTGCTCTCACAGACTCGTTTTGCTTAGCTACTTGTTTCATTCGGCATTAGCGCATCCGAGAGATGCTCGTCATTATCTAGTCTCCCGTCAGTCCTAGAGATAACCAGGGTGCGTGCTGTTTCATTTCGTTCCTAAACTTTTCAATTTCGTCGTAGCATAGAACGACCAATTCACTATTCGACGGTAGCGATGCTTAAGCCTAGATGCTATGGCTACCCTTGAATTGAATATATTATGCCAATCTATTGAGCATTTCATGTTTCACGCCGTATTAACAAACCGCTGATAATCAATTAGCAAACGACATATATCGATTTGCAGACTGCATCGTGGTTATAATAAGAAACAACAATTGGCAAAACGCAACAATAACAACAAGAACAGCAGCAACAACAACAACAATAACAACAGCAACAATAGCAGCAGCAGCAACAACAACAACAACAGCAATAATAACAACAACAACGACGACCGTACCATATACTCCGACATGTCAATGTAGTATTACGATTAATGTTAAGTTCATATATCGCTGACATTTTGTCATTATTAAGCTCAATGATTATTATTACTATTAGAAATATTAAAAAGAGCTATATATTATAACAACAATGTTAAACGGTTAACGATCAGCATTCTCGTTAATAAAATAGCGAATGCAACCGCTTATCATCATTCGGTTGATTCATGACTGTTTCTTACTATTCTTACTATTACTTACTAGCGTCCGGCTATTATGTATTTTATATTATAATTATTATTAGATAATAAAAAAAAGTTCTCATCTATCTTTCACATTTTTTTCAAACGGTATAATTTATTCAGGCATTGAAATTTTATACTTGCTTGGCGATTGTGTGTTATAACCGCACACTTTTCATATCCCATATTCAGTATCTCCAGGGCATACACGAACAAAAATTGATACAAATAAAGGTAATCAAAAGAAATTGGAATAGCGTCATTTTTGAACCGACATTTCCACATGGCAATACCTCTCTGGAATACAGAGGCGCATCGTATACAGCAGTCGCGTAAAGCAATTCCGTAGCCTTTTTGAAATGCCTCTTTTTTTCGTCGCATCCAACTTTGTTATGGTATTCGTCGGGTACTATATTAAACGTTATTGCATAAGAGTAACTACAAAACACTCTTTGGATAAATTGTAGGTCTAAATTTATTTACATAGACTCTAGAAAATATATATACAACAAAACTGCACAATATTATTTAATATACAATGGTAGTTAGCTATTTTTTTCAGAACTTTTAGATTCTCCGTCTGTGTTTGCACGTCTGGACATAACCTGCGCATCGTTCGTCTCAGAGATCTTTTCTTGAGTTTCGTCTTCTCCGCTCGCCTCGTCCTCGCTTTCCGGTGTGGGCTCTGAAAAGAGAAAAATTTAGACCATTCTGAAAATGACTTTATCATACATAAATTTATAGCAAAAAAATATACAAAGCTTGAAGCTGGTACGAAAAAAATGTATATTTTTCAAAAAAATGTCAATCGAGCATATTATTATAGTTATTTCAGCTAAATTGAAAGACTTAGAGGAAAAACACCGATATTGTATTGATACTGTTTATTTGCGCAAACTATATTTCTGTTAACGTTTTTACTTAATAAGTGATGTCATTCATTTAATGAGTAACCATTTAGCTAATGGAAACACGACTCTCGCTAAAAATAATTTTTAAATCTAATCGATTTATCAAAGTTTTTTAAAAATCTTTAAAAAGATACTCTAGGGATAACAGTGTCATTAAGTCCATTTTGATAAAATAGTCTGCGACCTCGATGTTGAATTAATGAACCTAAATAAAGTAGAATTTATTTAAGGTAGATTGCTCATCTATTAAATCATTACATGATTTGAGTTCAGACCGACGTAAGTCATCAGATCTTAATAATAGGTCTCGTGTTGAAGCAGTCATGCTATTCCTCATGATATATATGAGCATAACAAAATTATTTGAGTTTTTACCTCCGGTACTATTTTTCCTTAAAACGGCGGCTTTCAATACAAAACGAAGTGTTTCCACCCTTGGCTTCAAATTTAGATTGCTTCACTTAGCACTAGATTTAGTAAAAAAGCGCGCCGCCACTGCACCACCATAGAGACTCCCTAGAAAAAATACTAGTGTTTAACGTACCATTATCTGCCCCCGCCTCGGCTTTACTTTTTTTCGCTTTGTTCCTGTTGTCTTTGAGTTTCTGCTTTTTCTTGTTTCTTTTCGCCCTCTTACGAGCTGTCTTTTCTTCAGCCGCTTTTTCCTTAGCTGCTAATCTGGCTGCGAACTCATTATCGAGCCGTTCCTTTTCTGCAAGCTCTTCCATCAGTTTCACTCTGGAATTGATCACCGCAAAAAACAAATCCTTACGTGTGCTGTAAAGTGATATTGCTAATCGTATAGCGTACGTCGCGGGTGTGATACCAAGAATACAAACCATATAAAAGTCAGAAAAGTCAGGCTATCGGCTCAAACTTGCTTGTATATCACTCTTTAAGACCAGCACAAAGTAGAATTCGCGATGTCAATCTTTCGCCCCATCGTTTAATATTCTGAGAAACAAATTCGATTGAATTTCGTCAAGTTACCTAACCTTGTTAATCCTGGTAACGGACGCCGACATTCGCTGTAATAAAAATTAAATATTCGACAATAACGCAAGCCGACCAACCTGGTGATTTCCTTCTTGCGTAGTTGACGATAAACGTGGAATTCTCCACTGCCAGCGCCGGCTGATGAGCCCATGACGTTACGAACAAACTCCGGCACTTTATGTCCTCTATTTTCCTGCCGCCGTTCCGGTATGTGTACCTCCTTTTCTGGGTGTCGCATGAGTCGATCGAGTTGCAAACGCTGCGCATCTCGGGCAGTTCGAACGACTACAACTTCTTGTTTTTCGCGTTCTTTCTTAGCTTTAGGCTTTGGTAGTCCGAGTAGGTCTAGATCGCCTGAGTCTGCCATCGCTGATGCCTACCGCGATGTTTTCATCGACCCTAGTAACTGATATATTAATATGCCGCATTAGTATCTGAATTTCTTAAAACATTTCGGAATGTAGCGTCCGTGCATATAAGAGCATATCTAAAAATTATAATCCAACTCGAGCAAACTCTTTCTTGCAACTAAGTTGTACAGTTAAATTCATGTAGCGCATAAGTCGGAAGTTTGTTACTTTCACAAACGATTTTTTTAGTAGAACGTATAAATTTACCAAACGTTATTAAATATATCAGGTGTCAGTAATGCACTGATGTCGCGTTAAACAATATTTAGACTTGTTTTTGTTTTGAAACGGGCCCGATGGGGAGTTGCTTTGTTTGAACAGCAATCCAAGACACCTACAACTCTCATCTGATGCTTCTTCGGTGCAGTCTTTAAACGACTTCGTCATAAAAATGCGAATTTTGTTAATCAAATAAGCAACACAACGGCGATCTTATAAATACTCTTAACCTGATAACCATCACTGCTCATATTTTTTTCTAGCGATAGCCACAATTTCTGTTTCTCGATGAGAGCCGACGGCGAAGTATCTGAAAGCTGCATTACCTGGTGATAACGGGGAATCAACAACCATCTATCTCTGAAGGCGCGAAAGGCGTCTGCTTCAATTCTGAACCGGCACCTTCCGAACGTTGCTGATTAACATAAACTTGACTTAACGGAATATGAGATCAGTTGAGAGGTTCCTGATATATAAAATCGTTCTGTGGTTTAGGTGTTGAAAAACTTGCTCAGTACCTTTGGCACCGCCTTAGTAGTTTTCAAAATAGGTTTCTGCAGGAAGTGTTCAGGTGAAAATAGCTCTAGTGGACGTACCGCTGCAACAAAAAGGTAAGCACACACAACAACGCTGTAAGAAACATCGTCCACGTTAATTCAAATATTTCTTTGACTCATGACGGAATATATGCGAGTGGGAGCGACAAGTTGTCTCGAGCATGGGTGTCATAAGATTCACTTGATTAGAAGGATTGATTATGGGCGATAGGCGTATCGTATATGTCATTACCTCAGGATGTGGGTATAGTTGGAAATAAAATAGACGAGTACCTTTTATATTCGCTTAAAATGATACCCAATCATAATTATACTATCAAAAAAGTAAACATGAATGAAGCAATATGATCACGTAATCATATAAAGCAGATTAAAAAGTAGCAAATAAAGAAGAAATATTTAGTTAAACTTAGAGAAGTTCTGTAATTACCACGAGTACCCGTGACGATGTGATAGAATTATTTACGAAAAATCTATCTTATGGACTTGAAGTGCTATTATTAGAAAAAAATTAAGCTTTCACCCCATACGGGTTCCGACTTATTACCTATTTTTTGATTATACGGTCAATAAAAATTCCTGCAAGGCGAGACGACAATGTGGAAGATGCTACTTTTGGAAGCTGCAACAATTCAACATTACAACATTTCAATATTACAACAATTCAATATCATTCATAACAGAATGGTAAAAAATGTACTTATTGTTACTGTTCATTAAGCAGCACTACCTTCGTGACATGGTGAGATTGATAGAAGTTCTTATGCATTTCAGAAAAAACCATTTGAAACGTATTCTGATAAGTAGCTTGATAAGTAATCCTTCTTAGGTGTTAACATTTATCACGTTATATGTGTGATAATAACATTATTTTGAATTACACCAACTAGTCATAATGACTTAATTCACGGGTATTACAAAGGATGACGGTAGTGAAAAAAGCTTGAGATAATTCTCAACTGAGGCATCTTATAGATTTACTGTCTTTAGATTGCCTAGCCTAAATATACTTTAGCGTACACATTAGCGTACGAACTATTAATAACATTTCTTTTTACAATATTTAATAATGACCTAATACAATTTATGTAAAAATTATGATGGGGAAATAGGCATTTCGCACAAAGTGGCTCAGAAATCGACGTGCAATTACGTAAAATTGATTAAAGTATGCAAGCTTTCATTTTCGTGTTGCGTCTGTCACGCGTTGAAAGACATAATTAACGGGTAATTGAAAATAATTAACGTTTGTACGTTTAGTTGATTACATTCGTTTCATTACCTTATTTCGTTTTTGAACTGGCACTTTAAAGTAGAATGCTTATAAATGCTTTAGTTCCATAGCGCAAAGGCGAAAATAACCGTAAGGACAAGTTGTTCGCTATTTAAGGGCTAACAAAACCAATAATAATTTCAGAATGTCCTTTCCTGACAAAACCCCAGAACTTCCTAAGTTCCGACGCTTGACCAGTGGAGCAATGTTGCAGAAACGTATTGGCGGCTTATGGACTCTGCGGCTTTCTGAGGGGGCCGAAGGATCGATTTTAGCAGAAGGTCCAAATGCACAACCTGGATCAGCCTCTGTTCCGAACGGCCATTCCCAACCATTACAACCTTTGCGCAGAAGGCTACCTCCAGAAAGGCTCCCAGAAATTGGAGAACTGCTGAAGAATATTGGTCTTGACGAGGCTGACGGTACGTATTTAGCAGTGAATCGCGTATCTGTGTAGAATCAGCCTGATAACTAATCATGTGAATAATATGTGCTTCCAATTTTACAGAAATATATATACTTTAATCACATTACGTATTCATTTGTTGTTGTCGTTTTTATTTATTCCTTAACCGAAAACAATTTCCAAAATACGAAAAATATATCCCGTTTGAATGAAATTAGATCTGTCCATAATGATCACGTCATCGTATCTTGCTTCGTGCAATGCAAACTGTTAAGTACTCCATTTGGAGTCCTGTAATATGCGATGTACTCAATGAATTTTACAGAGGAAAAGGAAAATCAGCCAGTAAAGGAGTCTGCGATCGAATCGATCGCACGACGGGAAATGCCTCCCCCACAGAATTCAGCCAAACCTTTCGAAATGGCTGCAACACCGCGGTTAGGTTTTGTTGAGCCAGAGAAACCGACTATGCGTATGTTTGCTCCAATGTCGAAGGTGCTAAAAGTCAACGGGAAAGACTACATGATCATTGGCGGCCTTGGATCTGGTGGCTCTTGCGAGGTTATAACAGTTTACCATGTCGTGCCTTGATTTTTTGTCATCTATATACCCTGTTCATCGTAATCATTAACTCTTATCACATGAGCAGAATTTCCTATTTCATAACAGCTTTATTTAAAGAAATATATCAGGATCGGTAAAATCATATATCCATTAAAAAAAGTTCAATAATTATACCCCTGCTGAATGCCTATAGGTGTTCCACATTGTCTACATGCTTTCTACCTTTAACAATCATTTATTGGGGTCGTGGTTATTTTATGGTTCTAATAGGATAATGTCCTTATGTTTAGGTATATTCAGCATTACACGAAGGTCAAATTGTGGCAATCAAGGATGTGACATTGCCGAAGGAGGCAGCAGTCAAAGAGAATTATCTTCGCGAAATTCAGATGCTAAAGAAGCTGAGCGACTGTGAGCAGGTCGTAAGGTTGTTGGACTACGAAGAAGGTGACGGCAAGATCCTTATGGTGATGGAGAAAGGTGACTCGGACCTATCGGCCGTGTTACAGCGTGCTTCGAAAGATTGGATAACTGTTCGTTTCTTTTGGCGGGATATGCTGCGCGCCGTTGAACGCATTCACAAGCTTGGTATCATCCACCAGGACTTAAAACCGGCCAATTTTATTATTGTTAAGGGTCGCCTAAAATTGATTGACTTCGGCATCTCAGACGATATTGGCGATGCCACGTCAGTATTTCGAGATTGCGCAATCGGCACATTCAACTACATGTCGCCAGAAATCATCCAACAGTCACGAGAGTCATCGATAAAAACCAGCCGCGCCTCGGACATCTGGTCACTGGGCTGTATCCTCTACTCATTGGCATTTGGTGAGCCACCGTTTGCTCACATCAAGAATATGAACAACAAGGTTCTGGCAATCGTCAATCCAAAGCACGAAATCTCGTATCCGGCAGATGCGGATCCGGATTTACTTGATGTTCTTAAGAGATGTCTGCGCCGTCAACCAAAAGAGCGAGCCACAGCCGAGGAACTTCTAAAGCACGATTTCGTGCTTGGTCCACCTTCAATCAGGTCTACATACAAAAACAAGTAGATTCAACAAGTTGGTTCAGTGCTTTTGTAAGCACACTTTGCTCTTGGCTACCCAGTGACTAATAAACCAAAATAAAAGCGCTTATATATAAAGGACAGGGTAGTTCTCTGATCTTCTGGGGGCCAAGTGTAGTCAGCAGGAACAAACGACAAGAGGAAGTACGCAATACCTCGTAAACACTGAAGTTTAGTTGGCACGAAATAACTACGAATCTGAGTTTGATTCACTTATGGATGAACGATATGTGGTCGTCAGCTTTTGTCTGCATCTAAAGAAAAGCGGTTCAGCAGGACTTTAGAGGACGCACGTAGTTTAAGTAGGCATTTTGTTATTGGTAAATAGATACGACAACATAGATTTGTGTTTTCCGATCCACCTATTTACAGAACGCGTTTACTAAGAATCAACGAACTACTTAATACAAGCACCATAGACCCAACAACATACGTCGAGACTCAGTTACGTGTTCTTATTGTTGTACATATTCAAACCACTGCTTCCATTCATGTATTTGTTCTGCAGGCGACTGGATGTATTTACTGTCCTCCATCCGCAGATGTGTGTATATATATATATATTCTATATATATATATATATATATATATATATATATATATATATATATATACAAAACAGATGACAAATATGATAAACTGAGCATATATTACTAACGGATACTTAGACATGCATTTCAAAATGGATATTTTGATAAAGATTTAATTGATGGCTTATGTAAAGCTACACAATAGGCTCTGGACAATTTGCTAGTTAATAAAGAACGTATTTAAGGTAGCGTTTTCTATAAGTTTACCTGTATTCTTTTTATGGCATTGATGCTACCAGGTACAAAATGACTGATGTGAAAACCAAGGTTGACGCAAGCAGTGTTAAGATACACTAAAACTTCTCATTGGTTTCGATTTCAACCATCCTAAGCTAAATTACTTGGCCATGAAGATACGTAAAGAATTTCCGTGGAAAAGCATGGAAAAGCCACAAGAAAAGGTAAAGCTGTGCATGGTGCCGTTCTTTAATCACGATCAAACTTAACCTGGCTATTGTGTAGTGTTCATGCTCTTATCATTGAAAATCCAACAGTGTTTACCCGTCATACTGCATCCTTGCAGATTTCTTATTGCCGTGCCATAAATCGATGTAGAGTATTAAACTATATCGTTACCCAAATTATTAATTTAGTACTTCTCGGGTCGTTGGCAGCGGCGAAGGACTTCCAATTACTATGAGCGCCGCCCCACCGCCTCTTCACCCAACGCGTTAGCGTGCTCATAAATGACCTTCATTATCGTTAGCTGTTACATTGCGTAAATTACTATTTGTATAAGGCGTTATTGTAGAATGTTTTGTTGCATCCGCAGCATTATTTAGTTTCCACTATGCAAGTTGCATCTTATGTATAGTGTTTCTCTATGTATTCTTTGATCGAACAGACAATTCAAAGATAAATAAGCGCTGAAAGTTTTTAAACTTGATCTATACAAGGCGAAAGAGAATCAGAACGAACCGTCAAGGAAAGTAGGAAACAGTCCGTTTCTCGCGTTGGGATACACAGAATGTTTTTGGGAAATAGATGTGGTGGGGCATTTTCTATTTTTGCAGATTCGTTTATAACAAACCCTAATCCCGGTTCCTTAATTAACACAGTTTGAAAGCAAAGTAAATGGATTTTATTCACGTAAAAGGAACTTAATAATGATATGAACAAGCAGACATGCATTAAATGGAAGGCTAAATATTTTGCAAGCTATACTATCTGTGTTGGACTGCATGCGATCTTCTCTTATCAAACTTAAATTTAATGGTAGTGAAGTCTGCTTGTTGAAATCATTTACAGACCATAAGTCACAAATAAAAGCGAGATTAATCAATTCCCGGCCTTTTCTAGAATGTCAGTTCTCTATTTTTTCTTATATTTATAATAATTGATGGTACCTTTGATTACATAGAGACAATCGTCAAATATGGACGAATCTTTCCTGTGGAACTTCGCATATCGATCCATTGCGTTCAAGCTATGTAACAGATATTCAATGGTGTACTGGTTCAACCATCATATTGCCTCCAATCATAATAACTTGAGTACGACAAAAATTTCGATTTTTTTTTTCTTTTTTTCTACTATGTATGCGAGTTCCAAATGATTTAGCTTAATATCGCCTTCGTCGTAATTTGATCAAACAAATTCACGCAAGCTTGACAACTTAATTCTTACTTTTTGGAGTCTAAATTTTTCTTTAATACATTGTAAAAGTTATCACCGTTTAGATACGTGACCTTCGTAGAGCTAATTACGAAATATTACAAAAATGCCTACAAGTGCCTCGGAATCAAATATAGTTATGTAACTGTTATACACCAGTAAGATGAAAAGTCGTTTATGGCTCAATACTTTACTCTACAATCCGTTAAAATTTGAAAAACCTGTCCCATTGGAAAGATCACTCAGTGTATCCAACTGCTATTCGTAACTTTGTCGATCTGAGAAAAAAATGTACTTTCCAACGAAACGACAACTCAGCTAAAGGTGCTCAGCTTAGTCACAAAGGTTAGGACGATTAAATTCATCAGATATTTATTGACTCTATTAATAAATAATTTTAGTAGATAACAAGCTAGACATAAATGGCCGAATACAGGAACTTAGCAATTGTATGAAGTACATGCTACTAAGTATTTTTGTATACTAGGTATTAGAACACACCAAGTTTCTTAAGGTTTGCGTTAACAAAATATCTCGACAGTTAAAGAACCGAACAGAAGAACAAAAGAGAAGTTTATCACATAATAGTAAGAATGGTGGATGAGAATACAATGAAAGTAATTGTTACGTAGCCATAATATTTTCAGCACTATAGCAAGGCCAAAAATTAACTGCGATTATACTTTCGTTCATACAGATTCAGTTGTTTGGTTCAGAAGTTGTTGGCGATCATCCCTTATTCTTCAGCAGCTTGCAGGTGACAGTCATAGCCGCTTGCCAATTTCGATTTTCTAAGTATGACAAATAGCTATTTGTTTGCTAAACTTTAGCGTTTAATGTTATGGGACTGCTTGTAAGTCATGCATGCGGTCAAAATGTCGAAAAAAAGCAAGCGCTTCATGCAACTGTGCAAAAAACTGCAAAAAATCGTACTGATCTACGGATAAAACCTAAATTTGCAATGAAACAACACAACAAGTAAAATCCTCAAATAGTTTGTTGGTATGATAACTGCCAAAAAATGTCGAAATGTAAAACATTTTATGAACTACCACGATGATGTGCGCCCTTTCCTAAATAGGTGTCAAGCTTATATAACGAATCAGTGGGCCAAAAGCATGTTTTTTTCCAGCACATGTCGACCCAGCTAAGGGTCTGTTTTCTTCTTTTAGATATGTATACGTATTTATTTTGCACCCAGCGGTCAAAAATAATTGAATAATTTAATTGATTTTGGTAACTATTTTTAAATAAAGATGTATACGCTTTACCAAATAGTATCAGCAGCTACCAGGTAATTACCAGTATTAATTGTTCAGATCGATCAAGTGAAGGAATGATAAATCTGTCAGGGCTAAATTGATTAAAAACCACAATGATTATACGGTGACGAAATGCTGTAGTTTGTACGAGGTCGCGTAAGAGGTGGATGATCATTTCCAGGATTTTGTCGGCGATGATCTTCAAAACAAATAGCGCAGAAATACTTCAGACAGGCAATATGCCGACAAAAAAGAACTGTGGCCATTTCACATGTAGCACAGCGGCCGACTTCATCAACAAATGGGTCTAGTTGCATGAGTTTGCTGAAGCGAGCGGTCTCCAACTGGACGAAACCGGCGCGAAGTGCCCGATAAAATGATTCTTGACTTGCAAAGGTTACCCGAGCAGAGCCGCTTGGGTAACTACAATGAGAAGATGAGAAAACATATACAAGACGACGTCAGACGCTTATATAAGATGAAAAACTTCGCAATAACGTATATTATGCGGGGATATAGTAATTTTAGTGCATTTGTAAAGGCCAGGTGCTTGGTGCTTCTGAAGCTTCAAGTTAGTGTTATTGTTGAGCCTAGCATCTGCTGTTGGACTCGATCTTATTGTCATAAGCTTTGTCAATAAATAAAAAAATAAAAACATCACTTTAGTTTAAAATAAACATTAGATGTCTCTTGTTCAGTTGATTTAAGTTTTTGTCCGGCTTGTATGTACCGACAAATTTTCATTTTTTATATAGGCTTATTATGGTATACAACTATTAAAAATAATAAATAATTAACGCTGTTTACCCATGGCAATCGGTGTCGATACCCGCATGCAGGACAGGCCCAAATAGTTGTGCCATAATCAGTTGTAAGCCTTTAGCTGACACCTCGCCATGGACGCCTCCGATGAAAACACAGGTGTTTCTCTGTTTGGGTCCTGAACAAGATGAACTGGCAACTGCGTTTGCGCCTACGTGTGTCGTCATGTCAGGGGATATCCAGTCGTTATCTTGTGTTGCCCACGGGATTACCTGGGCGAAGCGACCTCCCCTACTTTTTGTCGACGGAACCTACAGATTATTATGGCAGCGCGCAAAAGACCCAAAAAAAACTTATACTACGTCCGACCGATGTTCATTTTGGATCTAATTATGTCATAGCCTGAACTACTTCAATAGTTCAGAATAGATACTTCAGTTCGAAAAGTTCACCATTATCATTATGATTTTATTACGGTTTCACGGACATAAAAACAACATCTAGCGTCGTCCTCTAGGGATAGCATTCTACACATCTATTCTAAATAATTTTAATCTTTTCGAATGGCTTTGTGTACAAAAATGATCAACAACAGAGGTATCTGGATCCTTCAGAACGGTTAACTGGTGAAGCATCGAAATCTACTGACTTACCCAAAAGAAATATGAGCCAGGCTCTCGTTTAACGCAATTAGAAAGCAGGCGACGAACATGAGTCTCTTCCTCAAATACGAGATAAGCATGACTGAGTCGGCGACAGCTATTCTGACGGACTGGTGGAATTTGGACGGTAACTACTCCCCACTTACTGAACAGGTTCATCAGGATCATCTGTGTAGTGTCATAAGGAAGTCCGCCTAGGAATACCTAGGATAATGGAAGTACAATAATATAAACTGATGAGGACTTGATAATGCGTCTGGGATGGGCCAGATTGGATAGGAGCTGTGGAAAGCCAAAACGGGATTTTTGATTTTTGACATGTATGCTGTAGGAACCAAGCTAATTGTTGCATTAAATCGAATTTGAATATAGTTAAATGGAATGCTCGGAAAAGAGTATATAAGGACTTGAATTGAAAACGCTCTTATTATTTGAAGACAAATCACAATAGGCGGAAAAATATATAATTATTTAAACCGAAATATTAACTAAATGTTCTAGATTTTACGTCCGGTACTCTGTTCGTTAAACATTGTTTCGGGCGGCTTGCCCCCCTCTGGTCTAGCCTAGACCATCTCTGTGTATCTTCTAACTAGGCAAACACGTTGCTACTACATCACCGAGACGACTAAATTGAAAGATTATATAGCAGACCTCATAGCTTGTCCCATCTTTCAGCTGGTTTAAAACACCCCTCGGATGACACGAAAAGAGACAATAGTTTCTTACCTTTGTTGCTAAGCTGCAGTTCGCCAGATCACCTTGCAATGAATGTGAAGGAAGAGCCAAACTGTTCCAATAAATGAGTGCCTTCTGAAGCTGAGGGCACTTACGGCGCCACTTACACTCGGCCGTGAGGCGTGCTAGAACAGCATCGTAATGAGACGAGCCCTGTGAGGTTACGTCACTACGTTCAGAGGAAGCGCTAGTTGATCCAAGAGAACAGTCAGAAAATCCACGGTAACCATTAGCAGGAAATGCGAATGTCTCTGCAAGAGAACTTGTTTGAGGTGGTCGCGCAGGAAAGTGAACACTATCGTTCGATGACGATTTGAATTTTGTGTCATTAGCTCGTAGTAAATTCAAGCCGTCCCTTCCGTAATCGCAACCATTGTTCGAACCACAAATGCTGAAAGCCGGTTGCTCTCCAAGATAAGATATATGCGACGGAATTCGATTAGAGGTCGGCACTGGGTCGGCGGTAAGTAGAGTTGACCCTAACCTATTACCTGAAACGGAGTATGTGCCTACGATTTATGATAGCCGTGCGCGAACCTTCGTGCACAAAAAAACAGATAATGGAAAGTTTCTAACTAAACCAAGTAGTAGCATATTGAAATTTGAAAGCAGTTCATCATGAACAAGCAATGTTGTTTCTTATCAATCATACACAGTTATATACGTGGTTGTTGTAGTCTTGGTGTCACCTTTCACATAAATAATCTTACTTTACGTATAAGTCCTGTCACACAATTAGATTTTAGAATTATGCATATAATCATAGGTATTTATAGTACATACCGAAAGCACGTTGCGCGATCATTGCCAGTTTACGTATAGCTGCTAACGCCGACGCAGAGTGTAGTCCACTTCCCGTGTCGTAACCACCAATGAACATCGCTGGAGCTTTACCGCCGATGGTCGTTGGGCATGGCGATGCAGGAGCCGAATCCGAGGCCGTAAAAAGCAGAGACGACGAATTGTTGCCTCGAAGCACCCGTAGTCCCGCTTCAATATCTTGAGCGCTGTCTTGGCCCTTTATCACCTTTGAAGGAAGCCTTTGGCCTTGTTCGATTTGCAGATGTGAAGGTGATATCGGTATTTCCTTTGCGACTTGTGCGGCTGCCGGCTTCTGCCCACATGATGTAATTGCACGCGGTTTCGATAAACTAGGTTCACCATAAATGACGCCTTGACTCGTGGACGATAGATACGGTCTACAATTGGTAGGTAATGTCTGCAGCGACTGATCATTACTTACCGAAAGTTGTAACTGCTGAGGAAATTGTGACCTTCGCGTCTCGGAAAAGCCTGACTGGTCATTATGACTAGGGTTGAAATTAGGCCCCTTCCAAAGGTTTCGAATACTGCCGGCATTCGGCAAGGTGAACTGTTGCTGCTCCACTTCGCTAGTCATCGTTAATTTAAAACTGATCTAGATTTAAACGTATGCCGTCAGTTGCTGAACTGACGCGCTTTCCTTTGAAATTTTGTTCGAAAGTCGGCAAAGAAAGAATGAAGAATAAAGCTTCTGCGCTCTTCTAGACTTTTTCTAAGGGAGTATTTGATGATAAGTCGAATGTTTGAAACAATAGCGATCCACAAACCGAACTCGACGAGCTGCCGTGAGCTGCTTTTAAGAAATAGTCTGCTGAGCACCGTAGTCCACAGTACAAAAAGAATGAACATAAGCATCAACAAACGCACGACCTTTTCTTTTAATTTTTCTCCAGTATCCTCCAGAAGCTAGAACGCACTGCACTAACGTATACGTCGCCTTGAAGTATTATTTAGAATAACCGTCTTAATTAAGACACGACCATCTTCAACCGATTTCTTCTTTTTTACGTTTCCCTGCACTGAAAGTTTGATCATGAACATAAAAGGCCAAGTGTGTACTCCAAAAAGTAAAATACCGGACTTCTCACACAGGGAATGTACTATTGTTATTGCGGCTCTCACACATATAGGTGCACTTACACAATAAAGTGTAATTTAATGGGCGAGGGATTAGTAGCTAATTAGGTTATTAGAGGCGTGCAATGACCAGCCTCGTCGTCCGGGCTGTTGACCCGACCCCGAGTTAACTTCCAGTTAGTCGAATAATCGACGCGTGCGAATAGTCATGAAACGTCCCTTATCGAATTACCTATTCTGATATTGACGTTCTATTTGCGCGCTTGATGCGCTGTTTGCTCCGATTTGGCCTGTCGTTGGTATGGAACAAACGTGTACCGAAAAACACATCAACCTACCAAAAGCAACTACTTCTTTTAGACGTATTGAGTATGTATGTTTTGAGAGACAGTCTGCCGCTGTCCCCGCTATGGCTGGCTGGCTGGTGCAGCTTCACTGTAAAATGATACTCACAATAGACAAACTGTGGGTATGGCTTAGTCGAATAAGCTGTAATGGGCCGAAATGGTAGACGTGTACAAAAGTGCGGACAACGAACTTCTATAGGTCGGCGTGACGCATCAGCTGCATCGACTTGGCGTCGTCAACGGCTCGATAGAATAAACAAATACAACATAATTCAGAGGACAAGGAATCGTGTTCCGGTTTCTAGCGTACTGTTTTCTGGATGGATTTGGGCCAGTGCCAGTTGGTTTCATTGTAGTTGTGGCTGCGCCAGGTACAGACTTTCGCTTCTTTTATTTGGGTCTATTAAATATGAATATTTATTAACGTTTACGAAAAATGATAGACGGATTTCGTAACTTGTTTGATAAAGAATTGAAGAGCCTATCTTTAGCCGAAACAACTCAGGAAAAGAACTAGAAAAACAAAGAGGGCGGATGTGGATGCTAGTTTCGTATATGTGAATAATGCGGCAGTTAATGACTGTTTTGAGATAATTTGAAGTGCTTTAGTTGAATGATAGCTAGGTGTTTCTCGCATCGGACAAAATAGAATTTCAACTGTTTATTGTATATCCCATATCAAAAACTGAAGAAACTCTGAAAGAAAACTGAAGATGACGATTTACAAGTACTACAAGGTTAATTCATTTCATGCGACGAATGTAGATGTATGTCGTACAGCGAGGCTTAACCCAGCGATTTTCGACCTCGTACACAAGACATGAAAAAACCCGATGTTCAGCAGATTTTATGATAGACAACTTGAGAATCCGATTGTTTCAAAAATTTTTCGTTGAGACAAAATATCGCATTTGTTCTTTGACGTGGCGTGTAAACCTACTTACAAGGAACAAAAAAAAAAGATTCGGTTGAAATGTTTAGGTTTCAATCAAATCACCAGCCTAGGTAAGGTTCTGTCCATCATCCTATTAGATACCTTCTTCATTAGGTACATTTAAAAGAGAAGTTAAGAGAATGCCGATCTCCTTTGCAGAACCCGCTTCGCTACTATTCTGTTAATGATGCCTAATATTGGTGAACTTTAACAATTCCGGACTCTCAGAGAATCAACTATCACTAGTTAACACTTTCTATAATATTCAAGAATATTATCTGCCGCATTTCTTCGACAATCAGTTCATGATTGTGTATTAAAAGTAATCAAAATTAAAATGCTTAGTTTTTAGCTTGTAACAAGCAGCTGGTCAGTCACCTGTGTGTTGCCATATTTAATATATAAGAGTTAGCATTGTAGTCCATCTGACATTTGACATACGTCACACACAGTCTAAAATCCTGCCATCGGAAATAGTCGAACAATTGTTTATGGATTTTTGTCACTCAGGTATAAAATAGTGGTTTTCTTACAGAAATTGTTAATAATTTGTGAAATGTATATATTAAGGCTCGGAAAGCACGTAAATTGCAATGGCGAGGTAGGACAACAGTCCTCTCAGCTCCATGCAATAGGTACACATCATATTTTATGAATGTTATTTATTATTAATCTTTGTTCTTAGGAGGATTCCGATAGTTGTATTTTATTTTCAATATTTTGAATTCGGGAGTTCAAAACTATCAAAGGCAACAAATCTTATCACGATTAAAAAAAACCGTTAATTGTTGAAATTTATTGAGGGTAGCAGGCAAGATATTTAGCATAAGGTTAATGAACTGCTAAATGACTTCCATATACATACGTTTCATTTATGGTTCGTATGTAAACATTATAAAGAAATTCCCGAAATAGTAGTATGGAATAAATAGAATACATAGCATGAAGCCCTATGAGCGCTCTGTTCAAGAAATAAGTCCCCGAACATGAGCTCACATGGTATAGTCTACAGAAACCTCCGCAGCGGATATATGTGCAGCCGTTATCTGACTTATGGTACGATGTATTAGCAGACACAACATAGTGGAGGCCATGCGTTGCGTAGTGTACAATTATGTCGGTTCTTTCTGTATGGCTCCTTCCATAATAGAAGTGGCATGGAGTTCCAGGTTAACCTCAGCCGTTCGTCTCCTGGAAGATTTCTAATTAAAGGCATTTTTTTAGGTCAAACTAGCATTGAGAATCCTTATCATATAGCGATCTATACATGTAGCGGTGATGATAGGATGCATGGAGGCATATTCGTTTTTCAGAAAAGCAGGCTCTACTCGGTCCAGTCTACAAAGTTGAGCTGAGCTGAGGTTCTCCCAAATGGGTCGGGTGCCATGTGAAAACTAAGTGACATGCGATGACAAATTTCGGTAGATACACTGTCAAATCGATTAATGAGTCTTCCAGTATTTAAGCCCGTTAACTGCTGCTAAACGGACCGAGGAAAGTGTGCCTGGGCTTATCCTGCAAATTTTGTAGTTAATTTAATCCAGCGTATGGTATTTACGGATGTAGAATAGTCTAGGTTCGAATGCGGGCGTAGGCATGCTTTTTTTCATAATGGGAGTTAGCTATTTAAAGTAATGCTCAAGGCTCAGGTACCGGATATAAAACACCGAAACCGTATAACTCAATGAGCGCATAATATTTTCAATGGAATAAAGGGACTGCTGGATCACAAAGTAATAAGAATGCTTACTGAAGCGAGGATATTACCGATCATACGTAGACTGGTTAAAGTACGCTGAAAATTCAGTGATTACCATGCTAGTTGTCGAATTGGGTGAAATTGTGTAAACTAGTTGAGTAATAATCTACTGACAAATAATTGCTAAAGTATTTGTTTGCTCGGAGCAAAATAGTCTTGCTCAGAATAATTTGCAGAGTCCAATCGAAAAATGAACAGAACGCATACATATCTGATAAAGTGACATGACCATATAAAAAAAAAGTGATCGAAGTTGAAGCCTTGACATACGACTTTTTACCGGGTTATATATATATATATATATATATATATATATATATATATATATATGCATTACTTATATATTCATAGTTCTAAATACAGAGAGTTTTATGGCAACGTGGATTTCAAAATTGAAAAATGAGAAGTTATTAGAGTATCCGCCTTTCGGATTGTCCGAAGACCAATACGCACACCCATATTTATCGCGTATTTACTTGTTATTTTCACGGAAATATCATGCAAACAACAACAATTCGCAAATAAAAATCAAATTATATACAGCTATATAATAAACGATCGCAGCGACCTTTTTGTAGTGAAAACACGCATTTTAATGCATACCTATGCACATGCGTATAGAGTTTATTATTATTAATATTGTTATTATAGATCTGTGAATAGGATTGATTTTACGATTATGATTTCGCTGCAATCGTACAATAGTTTCTACATGTAAGTTGCCGTGAAATTTTCAATACAACGACTCAACATTTTCGTTTCTGTTTAATGATTTCTACATTTGTTTCATCCGCTTGCGTTCTTCATATAGCCGCATTAGCTTCTCATTACGTCGTATCGTTCTCATTTCACTATCTACTCGCATACTAGCAGTATAGCTACTAAGATGACAAGGCACTTTGATTATTATCATGGAAAAATAGAAAAACAACAATAATAGTGATTATAGTCATAATACTACAATTATTTGATGATAAGACCAGTAATAATAAGGCAGTTTGTTGTTCTTGTTTCTGCGTGTATATGTATATAGTATCAGCTCTGATAATGATAGTGATGGGTCAGTGATAATAGAATCGGGTGGGAATTATTTAAAGGAACTTTACTTTCTTGTTTACTGGTTGGAACACACATAGTCAATGACGACATCCACCTTCAGCATACAACTACTCCGAAGGCAGTCTACACAGAAAAAAAAGGAAATCAATATCGTACGCAATTGTACCTCTTGCGCCACAGATAGAACAAGCGGCTATAGCTTCATGAAAATTTAGCAAAATATATCTCCATTTAGTTTTTGTCCCATTCAACCGGGATGTGTAACATATTTTGTTAACGATTATTCATTTTAGTTAAGAAGTTCTTCTTTATTACATATAACTGTGTATACATTTTTTTTTATTAGTGACTGATATGTATCTGTTTTTCTCGTCTTTGCTATCCTTTACTGTGTTATTGTATAAGCAACTGAGCTTCAGTTGCTGTTTTCAGTTCATTTTTTCTTCTTAGGCATCTTCAGTCGCTTCATGCGTGTTCTCATAAATATTACCATAACAAGCTTCTCAAAAATATGTGTTCGGTTGTTCTCTCCCCGCAGCATGGTTTAGTTGCCTTATTCTTTTTAATATATTTCAACATGTTCCGTGTACTAACATGACGCGCCCTGTAACTATAAAGCCTTTATTTCGTTCCAAAGCGCTAATTTATCGATCGGGTACGTATGCAATTGTATCATAGCACTAATAATGATAATAACCATGAAAATTAACATGGATCTCAGTTTGGTCTTGTGCGACGACAGAATTCTTCTATCTATATCCGCCCGAATCTACTTGGTCTTTTCTTTAAATTGTTTTTATCGCTGTTTTTACCGCTTTTATCAGCGCGCGAAACCTCATTACCCGCTCATGTTTTGGTGCGCGAAGAGCTAAAAATGAAGATGATAAATATGGTAGGCACGTGATACGCTAATGTAACCGCTTGCATTCATTCCCAACATTCAACGGAGTTGCAGATATTTTCATATTTAATAGTTTCAGCATCACCTCAAAATCAATGAGTCCATGGCGCCGATAAAAGGGTCCACGCGTTCTTCCTTTCGTCGACCCAAAAAAGCGAACTATTCCGACGACCACGTTTTATTATCTAGTTCCTTTTTGACAGATACACAGGTATAGCAATATGCTATGACAATTAGCACCATTATTCTTCTCGTTAAGTGCCGTTTCACTCGCTATTATGTTTTTATGATGATTTGTTTTCTGTTGTGTTCTTGTTGCCGTTCTTTACACGCCGTCAAATTCGCATGCTTATAGCTGCTTAGAGTAGAAAGCGTTCTTCTATAGAAAGTTGATAAGTTGATCTACTGCGTGAAACGATTTCTATTTGACTTGTTAACTTTCACTTCTGGTTCGTGGTACAATTTTATTGAAAACACTACCATGGGATGCGTTTCGAAAGCCTAGATACAGTATCCAATACTCATGACCCATCCGATACTTTCGGTGATCCCTAATAACCCAGATCAAAACGCATCGCATGCAGACTATTTTAGTTCGACGTTTTTGTGACGGGGTCCCCTCGAAATGCTTTCATTCTTTATGCTCATTCATTTTGTCTCTTGCCTTAACTATCTTCCTTGTCTGTATTTCAACTATAGCAGATCTACAACAAGACCAGATAGTATAGCGTCTCTGCTTCTTTTTTTCTCTGTATGTTCTCAGTTTGTCTCTCTTTGAAACCTCTCCAGCCACCGATCTTGAAGCAAAGATTTCAGTGATATTTACGCCATCTAACTATTGATTAGAACCCATATTCTACTGGTGGAGCGCGCACGTTGTGTGTTAAAAATCTGACTGACAGCATCGTCAAGTCCCTGAACGCGCTCCACAGACAACCGTTAGCCTGTAATGCTGCTATGCAAATCTGGTCCCTAAGACTATTTAGTAGGCAATGTGTGCGGTTATTTTCGGCACAAACTGTAATCATCCGCAACAATCTGGGACCGAGTGCATTACATGATGGCGCACCGCGAATCATCTAAGTTGGCCCCGTCCTCTCCGCCAACGTGGAAAATTTCTCCCGGAGCAAAGCTGACTCGCTGGGGCGTCGATCGTGCTCCAGGAATAAATGTACGCACTGTAGTCTTCGATGAACGCTGGCTTTTGCTAATACGCTTAGCGATTTCTTTCTCCTCTTGATTATACAGAGCTGTGGTGATTTCCAGTTCGCCGGTCTGATTGTCGTGTGTCGGAAAACTGATATTCTTCAAGACAATATCGGTAGGAGGATTATGGGCTGCACCTGAATCCGAAGACCATAATGTCATTTTGCTGTTGGCCTTAATACGAGTACGCGGCGGGAATTTGTGGCTGGCCTAGTAAAATGAAAAGTGGCGCATACATGAGACACAGAGGAACACATTGAATTATAAGAATGAATTATGCATTTGTCACGAGAAAAATGGTAGATGGTTTCTGTAAAGCTTAAGGTTGAACTGCATCTATATTGGCACATAAATACACATACCCACTTCGGATTGCCACAAATGACCCTCATGTAGCGTTCGGATCGGTGACTGAGCCATTTCTATGCGTATAAATTGGATCTTTTAAAATTTGGTAATCATTATAAATGTTTAGTCTCAAAAAAAAATACTATTGCATTTTAGATACTATAGTAATACCGTTCATGAGCATCACTTTGTGGAAATTTTAGCAGGTTTCTGCTTGTCTAAGTCTGCAATCTAAGTCTGCATGTACTACGAAGTTAATGTAAACAAATTTGTCCTTACCTCAAGGTCTCCACTACGGTGAACAATCCTCCACCCACCTAGTGAAATATCCTCTTCGGAAGTATTTTCTAGAGTAACGAACTGCCCACGCCTTACGTCGTGTTCGGCTACTTTCAATGGACCAAGGTTTTGATACACGCATTGAATTTCCTCCTGACCTTCCGTCGATGATTCCATAGCCTGAGACAAACGTTTCCTTTTGCGGGAGCTCGAAGTCAAAATTGACGATGGCGAACGAGACGAAATGCCAGATGAATGGGCGTCCGATATGTTCAAACGAGTCTCCTCTTGTTCCAACAGTGTCCTACATTGAGTTGAACATTTGCGTTATACTATATATACTATGATGAGATCTAATTATTGGTATTATAGTAGGATATGTTTCTGACTCTGATGTCATAGCTACCTTAACCTTGGGTGCCCTAAAAGCCGCTAGAGCAAGATATATGATAGCTGACTAGCGTAAGATTAGGTAGGAAGAGAGATGCCTGACGTTTTTCATATGAAGCGTTTTCTACTGATTCATTAGTTAGAGATGAGGATTACCATCGTTTGATTATTTTCGGTTTACCTGTAAGTATCAAGCTCTTTTTGAAGGCCGTCCTTAATGTCTATAAGATCGTCGAACTCTTTCTTCAGTTCTCGATATCTGGCATTTGCGTCGGCGATGTGTTCATCCTTAAGCCTTAGTTGCTGTGCAATCCAAGCTCGTTCTTGGTCCAGTAAACGACGCTTTTCCTCTAAATCGCTCTTGGCTGTTTCCAGTTGTACTGTAATTGTCTCGAGTCGACTCTCCATTTGAGCGTGTTCACCGGCAGGTACGTAGCCAGCGAGTCGCTGCTTAAGCTCTTCATCGAAGTGTTGTCGGAGCTGCGATTTCTCGATCTCGTACACTTGACGGAACTCGTCGATCTTTTCCTCGAGAAGGAGATCTGCGCGAGCCTGCGCACGTCCATCAATTTCAGTAATTTGTTCTTCTGTGACCACGTGTGCCTGCCGTAGCTCTTTCTCGTGAGTCTCGCGCATAAATTTGTTTTCATCTTTTACTGGGAATCGAGAAAAAGGCACGCTTTTTATATTTTTGTGTCTTATTTTGGAAATAGGTGAGAAAACTCGATTTCGTGAGCAAAGTTTTTCGCATATTTACAACATCATGTTTTTAAGCGAGTGGAATCCCATGATTAGTAAGAAGGAATCTTTCTCTTTAGTGTTCTCTATTTTCATTATTTTTTTTAGTCACGATAAAGTGTTATGGAACGCTTGTCACTATTAGCGGCGTATGCCTTTTACCGAAATACCATTTTCATTATGTAGCTACCACACCTATTTATATCCTGCCCCCTTGTACATCTAACTGAGAAACAACCTTTGCCCATTACTACTCTTATCTTCATCAGCTCAATTCTACCGTTAGGAAAGTAACTGACTCAGGTCATCTTGTTAAGAATATCTCAGTAATGCTCCACCTTACCGTATGCCCTTTCTAGCCACGCCATAATTTTTGCTCCAATAGTTGACTTCACAAGCAAGCTCAAAGTGTATTGCAATAAACTCGGTTTAATTTAGTTTCTCGTTTTTACTTCTGTAAACGCCAAATTATCTTTTCCACGCCTTAGCTTGCGAATACACCCACTCAATAATCAAAGCCGAAAATTTTCGGTGAAAATTATATGCCACACGCCAAAGTAAAATCCATTAAACAGTGTGAATCCCCCCCCCCCCTCCCTTGAAATTATCTCATCTTCTCCACTCTTTAAGCAGTGGTCCGTTATCACTGAAAAATAAACCATAGCGGAAGACTAAATGGAAAAAAATGTGCCAAACAAACCACAAAACACCTGCTCTACAACGCAATCGCCTCATTCGTAAAGCAAAAGAGCATCGTGCAAGTCAACGCAGTCACGTAAAGAATACCGAAAATATTGCCTTCTCCCTAAGAACCTCCCAGGCTAACAAAAACGACCCACGAACGTTGAGAATATACCTCCGTATGAGATAAGACGTGGCTAGGCAATGAATGAAAAACTGGCAATAAGAGCGGAAATTATATTACGTCATGAACTAGGCAGAAAATCATTACAAACATTTCAACAAAACTGTATAGCTTCTGGAATAGACGGACAATGACTCAGTATGCTTTCTACTACTGAGTTACTTAAAGATGTTGATTTAAAATTTAACAAAATCAAATCGATAAACATATAAAGATTAGTGCAAGGCTCTGAGAACCCCCTCTGCCTTTCTGACTATTAATATATTGCAAGATTATTAATATTAACAATAACAAGTTAAATTATCAAATGCAATTCTCACCATAGTTAAAATTCTACAAAACGCGTGATGATATCAAATACACGCCAAAGTTTATCTAACTATTTTAATTTACAAGGCAGCGGCTTGACACTGAACTGACAATTTGCTATAGATCACAATTCCATAAGAAGATAATGCCAAAGTAAACGAAAAAAGATTGGAGTCTAGAAAAGCTTATTTGGAACCTTGCAAAATATCTACAAAGAAGGTACAGGTCTAGCAACGATTTTTTCAGTAACGTACCCGATAAAGAGCACCGATCTAACACTTCGGATTTATAATTTTTCATAGTTAGTTTCACACACGAAATTTCAACTTCATCAAAAGTAAAATGCTTACTTTCAGTTTCAATTGAAACCATGCTTAAACTTAGTTACTGTAACGAACGTAAGTTATCGAAAAGGAAACGGTGCTGAACGCATGTATGGGGATAGCGTAGTACACCATCAAATATATCATCTTCGACTTGTTTTATGAGGAAAAAAGCTGAAACTAAAATAAGCAAATCTATTCGGTTCAAATGGACGGCTACATGACTTACAGCTTTCGAGCTTGTTCTTTAGGGTTGCCGCATCAACAGTGGCTGCTTTAAGTGCACGCTCGGCGTCTTCAAGCTGTTTTTTCAAATGTGCGTTTTCTTTGTTGCGTTGCGTCAGTTGTATATTGCTGTTGTCTAGGCGGGCCTTGAGGTCGGCATTTTCTGTTTCCAAATCATTGATGCGACGAGAAGCTCGATCAAAGTCTGCTTGAAGCGTGATGTTACTATTTAAGTGAACAGACAAAATGTACATTAGTCAAAAAGTGGTTACTACGACCGTATAATAACTAAAAAACGATTAATTAATATCAGCTATTAAGTCCCGCAGAGAAACATAATCAGACAAAGATGTTTAACTTGAGTTTGAGCGGTATGCTATAATAATACAGCTTTAGCAGTGCAACTTGTTGTTTCAAGTTTTGCAAGATGGCACTGCATTAGATGGCTAGTCTCGCGTCCCTAACATTAAAAAAATAAGCATCCAGCATAAAACAGAACGTGTCTACTAGCTCGCCCTGAGCCTATGCCAACCCATATATCCTTAATTGAGCCTGTTTTATGTAGAACCCATTGACTCACAACACGCTTGAAGGGTGCTTTGAAAATTTTTATTCAAAGAGAGAAAGATATGCCCGTCAAATACAATACTAAATATAACACAGCTCTTCGCAATAAAATGCAGCCACAACTATCTCGAATCAACCTAACCAACAATGTCAGAACAAATTGTCGTCGACATATACACATTCCTGTCATACAATTTAATATTTTATTGTTGCGGTCTGAACTCAGTTTCCGAGTTCAGGTCCCAGATATTAGGCCTATGAGTGAATTTGTAGCTAACTGGCCACTTCCTCAGTAGCAGTTTTATTTGGAAAAGTAAGATATATACATATATACTTTATTTATCCAAATAAAATTGCACCGCCTGACTAGCCTTGGGCTCCACCCTGAAACGGCCAGTCCCAGAGCTTACATCGCCTATCGTGACATATTTACTTTATTAGGTGGCATAATAGCTACAAAAGTACAAACTAATATATATATATATATATATCAATAATATATATATATAGTTAGCGTAATGTTATTTAAGTGGAAACTGGGAGAGGGTTCGATGGAAATCGATACGGTGTTCTCTCTGCCTTGCGAGTGGTAGCGTATCTGGAATTTTTTTGCTCACACTTTTATAGCATACGTTGGATAAACAGGATGCTTTAATAGGTAGACAGAACATTTTTCATTTCGAAACAACTATCGGTAAGGTCACTGCATGTTATTCCTGTCAAGTATTTCGAGCTAGGTATGGAGTATCGTTAATCTACAGGCGAAAACATGTAGAGTTCACGTAATGCGTTTTTTTATAGTGATAAGATAACACGGCTAAGACATTTGATAACAGCTGCGCAACTCAAAACCACAAATTCTACATTACAGGCTTCAGGGCAGCAGCACGGTCTCATTAAGTCTTTAAGAATCAAACAACACATCCAATATTCTCCGAATAGATCCATTTTATTCATCGATACACTTCAAATATCAACTGATCAGTTTTTCTCAGTTATTGATGATGAGGGCACATCGGCACGCTAGATGAATGCACACAAGCCGAGCAAACATGATATCGATATCTTCTGATGTGACCAGTTTCAGGCAAAATATGATTTTCAAGGATTAGCATTAGCAAGTGTTTTTAAAAACTTAGCGATACTTTGCAGGGTAGAAGCCTTAAAAATAAAACTAACTATATAGTTACACACACGTGAATCCCGTCGAGAGAGAAATCCAATTCTGCTGTTCGTTCTAGGCGGAATACTTACAGGTTAGCGAATCGATCCCGTTGTTTTGTAGCATTGTCCGCTTCTGCTTGCGCGGTAACCTTATGCTTGGCTTCTTCGTCAACGAGCGCTCTTAGAGCTTGAATTTCTCGTTGGAAATCGCCCTTCACCGAAGACACTTCTGTCAACTTCTGCTCTTCGACGCGTCGAATTGAGTGCTGCAGGCGCTGATTTTCATTTTGCAAACGGCTCATGCTCTCGATGTATCGCGCCAACCTATTTAAAAAAATGAGAAAGGAAAAAAATAGTGTTAGTTTTCCTACAAAACAAATCAACTGGAGAACATTATTAGACAACTTCAATGTATAGGTGGCAAAAGACCTTGGCCGTAAAATCTCATTCATTGCAATCGTCAGACAAAAGCACAGATAAAGTAGTTGATTTCTAAATGGAACCTTTCCAAGAATTTAACAAGCGCTGCGTTTTAATGAATACAAAAATAACGATATATTTTGATTAAAGTACATGTAGAACCGTACTGTAAAGCACCACTGACTCCATTCAGTTATATCAGTTCAGTAAATACTAAACTCCGTATTGAGCTTCGTGTTAGGTTTGATGCGCTTATCCAGACAGTGAGACAATCCGTTTTCAGATATACTGCATTCCGACCAACATCGGGCTTCGCTGACTTCTTCAAAATTAATGCGTGCCGAGAATAGTCCGTTAAAAATGACTGATTACTTTTCAAGAATATTTAATCTTACTTCAATAAACACAAACTTCACACAGTAATGACGTTGCCTCTGGATAAAACTCTCGTAACATTTTTATTACGTTCGGTTGTATTTCTTGTATATGGGATTTTTCATTTTGTACTTTTATTTCATACGACGCTTTTGGGATAACCTGTATTTTCAATGTAAGTTTATTTTTATTTCTAAAACATGATGGTATTTAACAACATGGCAACATAAAATTTCCATGAGTAAACGATAACGCATTACCAGATGAAAAATAAGATCTGAATCTTCTAAATCTGTTATTTTTTGTATATCGCCATGATCAGTAAGGTAGGCAATCCTTAAACTAATGTTTAACAACAAGTCCACCATTGCCACCCTTCATTCCAGTTTGTTCCTAACACAAATTATAATCTGTTCTTGAAATTATATGAGTCCTATGCTAATTTAACTGATTTATGCAACTAGGCAAATTGGGGAACACCCCACTAAAGGCAAACAGGACTGCGCTTTCACCTGTTGCAGATTTTTACGTTTATCCATAACTAGACGTATTGGTTACGACCATGATCAATTCCACTGTACATCGGACGCTGTTATCCACTTGAAACCTATAATAAATGCAATCTTATATACGGGAATACATTTCTTGTTGATCAAAACGGTCAGAGATAAATACTGCTCAGAGAGGCCTAACTCTCCGTCCATCGTTGGTGACCCTTAAATTGGGTAAATGTTCGTTTAATACGATGGCAAAAGCGACGCTTTATATATGAACGGGTATATAGTTCCTCTTTACATCACATCCAATCGTAGTATCCCTATCGCATTAAAACAGCATGGGTACAGTGTCGCTTGTTCATGTTGATGCAAAGCTATTTTGACGAACTGATTCTCTAGCAGCCGTGCGTTCTGTCAAATACTCCTCCCGTACATTCGGTCTTTCTCCATTTTCATCCCTGTACGCAGTCATCCTTTCCCGCTTCTCTCTAAAGGCCTTGTAGAGCCTTCTACTCACAACCAAAGCTCGTCGGGATAACCAAAATGCCAACTTCCGTAGGAGATGACTTTGCTGGGATCAGCGATTCCGCACTAAAAGAGTATTCTTCATTTCTACCATAAAATACATATTCTCGTGGCCATTTACTGTATACGTTGGCACCCTTTCACTTGGCAAAGTCAAACAAAAAATGACCCATGGCTGTTCATCGCAGAATAACTGATTGTATTCTGTACATCCAATGCCTCCTTTCCACATCAAATTGAAAAAACAAACAAACGTTTGGGAATTCAATGCTGCGTCGTATAGGTCAAACAAAATTCTAGAATAACCGGGGCATAGTCAAGCTACAACTATCGATGCCAACCTGTCTAGTAATATTCGACGATCAAACAATATAGCTTCGCAAGAAACGGATAGAGGAAACTGTTATTAGTTGGAAAAGAACTGCACTGCATTTTTAGGAATGTGCCTCTATTTGGCATAAGTCACGGCTTTTTTTTGGATGTATTAACTGATTTAGTTGAAACTGGAAACAGGGAAAACCACAGAGTTTTTTATTCACTTAATGAGATTGTCAAAATTGTCAGCCTAGAACGTTAATGGTCTATAATTCCTCCTTTTCAAAATCACTACTCTACGTTACGTTATTAGCAGTACGAATTGGTATTACAGCATCGCTATATGTATTAGACTGATGCACATGCAATATCCGTTTGACTTTAATGTTTTTTTTATGTTTTTGGTTGCTGATTGTCAAACGTTAAATATTGGTGAGAAGCCATTTCTCTGCTGTCAGCATTCTCTTCGCATCACACAATTTTACCTTGAGTTGGGCCTTCAAAAACCAGTACGCCATGCCGTAATGACAGCGCTTCCGGTACCTGCATCAGTTCACATTTTTTCTTAAAAGCCAAAAAAGTGCAAAAGGTTTCTAGGTTCTATGTGAGCAGTGGAGAATCTTTAGCTAAGATAAATTCGAAAAGTGGAGGGAAACCTGTCCTTCAAGTCATGTTCGAACTTATCGAGCAATTTTTGGGTGGTATTGTTAGTTACAGAATCTTAACCGTACATATAACGCCTATAACGCATTTAGGCAAATTTCCACTTCCAGTAAAAGACAAATAAGGAGAGTCGTATCTATCCTGAATCTGAATTTAGTGTGAAACTTAGCAGGTTGAAAAAAATCATGGCAACAAAGGCAGAGCTTCCTAATGCTACATAACACTTCTTTATCAGTAAATGAAAACATAGCAAAATAAGACAGAATTTAAAAACAGACATTTAATTAATTCAGCTACAAACGATCTTCCGCAAATCACACAAACCGTTATCATCAATCGGTCAATTTCAGCTATCAGTAGATGACATTTCTGCCAATATGAAAGAGGATAACAAAGTCCTGGCCCACCCTTATATCTGACAATCCATATATCAAGTAGTGTTACTGTTGATCTTGTTCGAGAGTGCAAATAGGTACTCGGAAGAAGCATTCTTGAGTAGCTCAACGGCGCCGTTCCATGCTAATGACGCTACGTGACGGCACACACTTTAAACGCTCAACACAGAAAAGTCTGTGTTGAGCGTTTAAACAATTACTTAATAATCGCTTCGTAATATAATCTGAACGCAATCAATGAAACGACAACAAGTTCTGGTCACATTGTTTTTTTTGGTAACGGTACGAGCGACGGTAGACTGGCACATCCGTTAAAGGGCTCCAGCGGATAAAATATCTGGTGTGTTTTTACATTTCGTTAACTAGTCATAATAATACAAAAAAATAAGTGCATTGCGTGCCCGATCTGGCTTATTCACGAAATAGACTGTGGATTTTAAAAATCATAATACAAAACCTATTGGTCAAGTAAGCAAATATTATTTCTTTTGTTTAGTGAAAAAAGGATTCAGTTGGTATGGCAAGTAGAAAGATATGCTGCTGGCCTTTATACATCATCTTATGTTTATATGGTACATATAGGCGTTATATCGATGCATGTACACACTGCAGAGCTGTGTTTTATATTCCGCAGTAATCGCTCGTCGCTAAATCTCTTTTGCCATGTTTTATCTGTTCCCCTCCATCCTTCTAAAAATGATGTTCGCTGGTCTTCGGTAGACTTAGACGCTAGTCCGCAAAAAAAGCAAAAAACGGTTCTTTAAACTAACAGCGTCCCACAGTGGCACGAGCGCTACAAACACCGTATTCGCAGGATTCTGTTTTTATTCCTGGCTATCCGCGTTCTTGTTTGCATGTCGTAGCTCGCAGTGGTGCTGCCGTAGCTGGCTGTGCTACGAAACGCCAGTGACTGCTACCCGACATCACGATCGCAGCTCGTTCTCTCCGCCGCCTAACGCTCGCACGGCATCAAGCTTTTCTTGCTGTTGTTATGTGGCCGTGTTGTTCTATTTCATTTGTCTGCCGCTGGCGTCGCATTTTCCTTTCTCAGAACGACAACAGCTCGAAAACTCGGCGCGTACGACAACTGGCGTCGCTTAGCTTTATCAGCTTTGTCAGCCCCTTTCCTTTCTAGACTCTCGTGGCTGCGTCGGCTACGGCTGTGACCCGCAACACAGGACACTACGGCTTACATTAGCAATGGCTACAGGATCAGCCTCAGCCATAGAAGCAACGCTGGCAAACTCGTCGTGCTGCGGCTTGAAGAGATGCACGCGCGCTTCAACTCGACACTAACAACAGTACCTCGCTGGTGATGCTGATGACGATAATAAGTGATTCTGATGTTGCTGCTAGCGACGAGCTTCATGCTGCTAGTTGCAGCTGTTCTTGTACCTATGACCTTAGCATTGGTCAGTGGTAAGCAGTGCCAGTAACAGTAGCGAACCGCAATGGCTGTCATCAATGCGAAGAGAATCAAATCTGCTACTAGGACTACAAAAGAGCTGTAAGCAATGTGCGTAACGGTGCTATTTCTGCTGCTAATGCCGCCATTGCTGTGTCTAAGGGTCACAGACGACCGTGTAGGAACAGGACGCGGCTAACTGATTGCCTCTCTAGTACAAAATACCAGTAAAGCAAAGGTTGGTTTTTCGTGGGCCTGCTCATTGTTGTCAGTCGAACGCCAAGTCAGCGTCAGAGTTAAGCAGACAGCAAGTCAGTGGTGAGCCGGCTTAATTCGTTTACGTAGTCGACAGCACCCTTTCGTTCGCGCAACGCTACCATGGCCGCCATGGCCGATAGCTCCATAAAAGAGCTATCCAAACAAGGTATACAGTGCGAGGTCAGTCGATACGACCGGCAGCATTACTATAATCATAACGAACATTGACGACCAGAAAAAGACAACAGGAGCTGAGTGGACAAGCGTTACAGATGTTCAGTGAACATATCTTTGGGAGTCATTAAAGGGGCATGTTGGTCATGAGCAGGCATGTTCTCAATACACGAGACCGAACAGGTGAGGCAAAAAAGAACAGGTCGACAATGACGACTGGTGACGCGCCAGCCCACAGTAGATTTCTGAAGGGGCACACCGGTAAAGCATATGCATAAAAAAGACATTGGCGATAAAGGCCGCCAAATAGTAATAGCTACTCGTTATTCGTATGTTCATTGTAAATTAACAAAAAAAACAAAATTCCTAGCTACGGGGTGAGGACGCCCCCACAACGGTGTCAGGCGGGGATAAAACAGATAAGAGTAACAGGTGAAAAAAAATTCTCGGGGTATGCCATTATTTCCTGAACCACCGTAGTTCATCCAGCTTAAAAACACACACCGGAAACCTTATCTTACTTTTGGATAAGTTGTTCGTATGTGGCTTCATGGTATTGCCATGGTCAAATATAATTACATATCAATGTAGTAACGTTTTATTTCGATACGATTAGGTTAGCAAGCAATGCCGAACCACTTAAGCTAGTTTGTTTTCCCATACATTCTGAAGCGGTCAGTGAGCCGGTTACCGGTCCCAGAAGCTACATACAACTGCTTCTTGCGTATACGTAGTGGTCTCTTGAGAACAATTTTCTCATGCAACAATACCATTGGTTACATGACTTGCTTCTGGCCATGAGAAACTAAACGCCGTTATATTAAGCACCAACAGGCGAGGCCGCAGGTCTTTGCTGGTGAAAATGAAACCCTCCTTACAAATGTGTCCCCATTACCACCATTATGAGGCACACTTAATTCGCCTCACCCTTTCCGTACTGTGCGCACGCAGTATACATTGCATGGGAAGGGTAAGGGTTCTTTTAGTACAATGGTACAAGTCTGCTTAATAGCAATAATGTAGTGTATGCTAACAGCACAAGCACCCTAACCCGTAGGAGTGAGGCCGTATAGGCTGGCGAACTAAATGACGACGACATCTTCAAAAAACCAATGGCAGTAGAAATGCAAACTACAAGTTGACTAGCTCGAGACCAGTGTAGGGGCTTATCTAACGAAGAGACGCACGGTTCATCCATCACGCTGGAAACCAGAGGGGTGAATCAAAATGACACCCCTTACCCATGTTGTAAGCGCTTCGAATAGCGCTTTCGTTATCCCTCTCCACCCAAACACGCCCGAGATTCGACCGAATCGAAGCCTTAACGTGGTCGTCCAGTGGCTACCAGTGTCCGAAGCTTTTAAAGTATCATACATTGAGAGACACGTAAGGGGCATAGTGTACCCCAATTGCAGCCGATGTAGAATTTATACTATATAAAGTGTTAATAATCCTTACGAAACAGACACTGCCGAAGAACAACGAGGATATTACACGATTGTTCCGATATAACCAAGTCATTGTATATGTATACGCAATGGTCGTATAATTATATGCTGTCTGACGGCTTCAGCAAAACCCGTTCATTTCCTTCTTCCTCCCTAATAATAATGATGCGTTTGATCTCGGCTAAATTTTAAGAAGTTCATATACTGCCGACCTATAATGCCATAGTTAATAAAAAAGAAAGAAAATAAAGAAATCAAGCTTAAGCAAGCACCAGATTTGGCGGACAACGCTTTCTCTCGACTAAGGTTTGGAAAAAGTAACAATAACAAATGCGTGCGTGCAATCCTATCTATAGAACGCGGGTTCGTTTGCAACCGATATTCGGCGGATGTCCGTTACGAACGTGGGGAGCCGGATGAACTTGAAGCCAATAACTGCTTCATTAAATTAGGTTGTTATTACCGGAGAAACTGTCATACTTGCAAAATGCTAATGCTCTTACCATAGCATTAGTTTCCGTAAAGCGTTAATATAACGAACCATACAGTTGGCTCGATAACGATCTATTCTTACCGTTGGTTAAGTACAGTAAGCTGTTTTTTCTCGTCATCACGAAGCAGCAATGTCGGACTCAATGGCCGTTCTGGGGTTTCCTCATCGCGGGCCGCCGTACCCGGCGTCGATGCATCGACTGGAGTCGACATGCGTCCTGTTCGCCGTACGGGCGTCCCCTTACGAGGACTCTGTCTCGACGACATAACAACAACGGCGGCGGTAGGAGCACTAGGCCGAAGCTCCCTTGCTGAGTCTTACGAGTTTTGTGAGTCTTTACTACCACTTGAAAATAATAACAACACAAGAAAACTTGCACGACACACGATAGCCCGGTGAAACAATTCAAATCTTTAAGTGTATCACTATCAACACCCTGTTTTCTCCTAATAACAAACACAGTACCACAGAGCCAAGCAATTGCTATTTCTGTTGTTTAAGTTACTGCCAATATCAGTATTGCCGCCGTCACCGGCACTGGTATATGTTTCTGCCTTTTCTCACAGCACAGACGACTACGACGCCGCCGGCAAAGCACCCGAGTAAGCAGGCAGCGGGCCAGCAAACCACATACCATACGGGTATGTGTCCGCAGCTCAAGTGGCGTCCGCTTGCCGGTGCACTCGATGGATAGCTGATTCGCTCGTTATCCGTCGATTCTAGCAGTAGATGAAACACAGCAGCACCAAAAAGACGCACTGTTTGAGCCTCTGCCACTCTGACCGTGTGGAGGATACGAGATACACAAAAGAGGCCTACCCATACAACAGACAAGAAAGCGGCACCACCGCCGCGCCCAACGCCGCAACGATCGAAACCGTACAGCCACTGACGTCATAAGCCCCGCCACATTTCGAAACCGGAAAACTACTCGTCAGCCGGCGAAGTAGGAAGAGAAGTTTGAATTTGGCCGCGGGCTTTTTACATGTAACATACACAAAAGCTGCAGACACAGCCAAGGTTAATAGCTTCAGACGGTTATTTCATCTATCAAAAGCCTGAAAGGTTCAAGTTTTACGTGCGGTACCGCTATTAGGCATTTCATCAGGCCGCTGACTCCCACGACGAAACGAAGTGCCCACGCTCGAATTCGAAACCACATTACCACGTGTCCCTTAAATATAGCGGGCAAACACGTTACTCATTACTCCATCATTGGGCATAGATACTCTGCATTTCGTGCTAGCTGCCTGGTAAAATGTGCGACGGCAGTACCGCCCATAAAACTCAAAATGTTTCATCTGTCATATAACCATGTATCATCATAATCTAACCTAATCTAACTATAAAATATAATCATGCTTTTTAATGGACATTATAAAATATTGGGTAAGGCATAAGTTCTTTATCATCACTTCTTACCTTTTTGTTAGTGACATCGAAGAAATCAAAAGTTATAATTTTTGATTGTTCTCTCCGATAATTCTGCTGAAGAGCAGCCAATAAGCGTATAATTCTCAGTAAGAATTGAATTTGAATGCTTGTGAATTTGAAGCTTCCTTTCGACGGTGGTGGTCAAAACATTAAGGAAGCTTAACAGGACAATTATCAAAATTTGAAAAAATTGTAAATTGTTTTATAAAATTTAAATAGTACTTAATAAGTGTATTCATTAAGAAGGTGACGCAAAACTGTATCCCCGAAAGGAAAAGTGAAAATACGAAAACTGTTCAAGTTACTGAATGTCGAAACCGAAACAGCATGTTGGTCCCAGGTGAAATTACTTATAATAATAGGCTTATCCAGCTCAGACTAATATATTTGAAAATAAGAGTGACAGCGTTTAAAATGGCGACAGTATCTCCAAGCAGATAATGAGGTACTATAATTCGTTAAATACATTAAATAGTTGTAGTAGAGTCGAAAAAAGCTCTCCTGCACAACCTTATGAGGAAACCCACAGGGTTTTTCTACCTGGTCCCAGTTCTGCGTCGAATTCTTCCTGAACCTTCAATGCTGTCTGTTCGCCTGCCACATAAAAATGCAATGAATAATACATCATGGCAAACTACTGCGTATGTTTGCAAAACATCAAAATGTATGAGTTTATGTCCTTTAAACAAAATGTTTTATATCATAAAAACATTTTCGAACAAAATAATTGCACTGTCCAGACTCATAGTAGCAGAAGCGTTTATTTCGTCTAGTCAGGCCGGCTTATTTAGTCAACCGATAGCTTTGCTAGAGAAATCCATGTAAACATGTTTAATATAATTTTTCTATGCCTAATATTATAATACAGCCTATTTACATCAATAATATACTACACACAGCACTTATTCTCCTGAGGACAATAATTTGCCTTCAGAATATAATGGCCACCTGAGTAGTAGATCAAACCACTATTTTCGAAAGATCTTAGCCAATGATCAGCTTCTTTTATGATTTGGTCTTCTTTGGGGCTTTCTTTGCGATACTGTCGTTATGTAATGCTCGCTTGTCCTTTTTCTTAGAATTGCGTTTGTTTTTGACAGTCGGCCTTTTGTCATCTGGTTTGTCCTTTCCAAGGAGCTCTTGGCTCTTTATTAGTAGCCTTTTCCTTTTGTAGATAAGCTGACGCTCCTGAAAATCTGTTTCGTCCATTCGGATTTCGGCTTCACGAACCGCCACATTCACTTGAGCCATGATCTTCGCGACCTCATTATCGTCAACCTGTAATACCAATAACAAAAAAAGCAGGTGATAGCATAAAAACAAGGTCTATTAAAAACGGCTCGGCCCCTTATGTGCATAAAAATTCTTAATTTCCTTAACCGAATATACTGCAGTTTAAATTTATTATTACCTTATGTTTACACATTTTGACTCCAACGTGCTTTTCTATTTCGTGCACAAGTAAGATTTCCTGGGGTGCGACCAGCGTTATTGATGTGCCTCCAGCCCCAGCTCGAGCAGTTCGACCCACACGATGAACGTACAGTTTAGGTTCATTTGGTACATTGTGGTTTATGACTAATTCGACTTGAGGTATGTCTAGACCTCGCGCGGCGACATCTGTTGCAACTAAAATTTTGGTAACACTCGATTTGAATGTAGTTAGCGCTGCAATTCGTTCGCGTTGTGAACGCTGCGCATGCAACGAGACGTTTCTAAAACCGAGCGAATCCATTCCAATGGAAAGGGCTTGGCATTTCTTGCGAGTACCAACAAATATCATAACTAATCCTTTTGTGTCCTTTTCTTGGAATTGTTTGATTATCTGTACCAAATATGTATCTTTTGCATGCTCAGGCGTTAGGACAATCTTTTGTAAAAGACCATCAACAGTGGCAACCGAAGACGGTGCCATATAAAAGAATGGATTAGTCATAGCGAGCAGCTGAAGTTCTTGAATAGTCCGCGTTAGCGTAGCCGAGAAGAGAAGTGTCTGTCGCTTTTTTGGTAGTGCCGAAAAGATTGTCTGCAGTTGATCATTATATTTCCCACTAAGTAGTTGATCGGCTTCATCCAACACTAGCATCTGCATTTTCGAGAATAGAGGTTTAATGTCGTCCAGAGCAAACTCTAAATGATCCGCCAGTCGACCGGGAGTTGCAACAACGACATGCGGTCGTTGTGCAAGCTCTCTGCCCTGGTCGACAATATCACTTCCACCTACAACAAGACAATCCTTGAGATTGACTTTTTTACCCAGGATACGGAACTGATCTAGAATCTGCATGGCTAACTCTCGGGTGGGCGAAAGGACCAAGGCAAATATTCCATAAGGTTCCTGATAGAGCCTTTCAAGGACGGGTAGCGCAAATGCGAGTGTTTTTCCTGAACCCGTTTTTGCACACGCAATGCAATCGTTCCCTTCTAAAATTGGCGGAAGACAGTTGCGTTGTACCGCCGAAGGTTTTTGTATACCAACTACATGCAGTCGATCCAAAAGCCAACTGGACAATTTGAGCTCCTTGAAAGATTGTATGTTGTTGTCGTCGGACACCGGCGCTGAGACTTCGTCTTCATCACCCATCCTGGAGTAAATACCAATACACACGAGCCATCTAATGTAAACTTTCTGCAACACAGGACATCCCCAACACTCTAAAGGAAGGCGTTTACATTGGTATGGTTTGATAAAACATTCTTATTCATATTTAAGAGATTAGGCATAAAGACATTACTTGGAACACATGTGTAAATGTTCAATAAAAATGCAGATTTTGATGTGAAGATGCTTGAATTACTGCTAGGTGTTTGGCGATAAACTAAAGCAAATCAGACTGTCAAGACTCTCGTTTCGCTCTGTATATGTGTATATATCTTGGCAAAATAGAGAAAGCCATCAGTTAGCAATGAAAGCAGCCTCACTAGTATACATGCAACCGAAACGACAGCGGGCATGCTCTAAACCGGTTGATGAATTCAAAAAATTAATTCATTAAACACAGCTACGTTCCAAGGACGAAACGATTCTTTTTAACACTTTTTACCTTTTAGGAGGAATTACCGATCTCGGTTCTTAGTAGTCAATGACGCCACTGAAGGTTGCCCCCATAGCAGAAAAATCACTCTGGAAGTTAAATTCGCGGTTCGACTATCGGTATTGCGTACACAAAAAACTGGTATTCACATTCGATATTTCAACCACGTGCTACTGTCGGAACTTCTTGGCGCGAAAATTTCAAACTGAGAAACCGCCCTTTAATTTGAAGAAATGCTTTGATTTGCTCATGCGAGAACCTAAATATACCTCACATCAAGTGAATTGTATTAAAATTACTTAACACTCTCAAAAAACTAGAATTCGACTTTCGGACCAAAGTCCTATCCAGCTGATGGATTCCGCACCGCCAAGACTAAATGCAGTCCGTGTCTACACAAACAAATAAAATTTTTTTTTTGTAAGCGTAATTGCTTTCTGTCGCCGACTCTGAAAATCCAGAAGAAATTAACTTCTAACTGTAGAATTTTTTTCTGACAAACCTAGGTCTGTCGAGTGATTTTTCTGACTCAGTTATTGTTTGAGGTCGCTGTGACTTACCTCAGAACTTACGTTCTGCAGGCTCTGGTGAAGCGCATAGCTAGACCAAAGTTTTACAGTGTAAGACTTGTCAATTATTGTTGAATTTCAGCATCAGCCTAAGACTTCGCAATGGATAATACAAAACCAGGTATGTAAGTCGCTGGCGTGAGTAACTTCGAACTGGGGTTTTAACCTTACTCTGTGATCTTTAGTCAGCAGGTTTGTAGATGCAGCTTTTGGTCTTTTATCTAGTCTTACATTTAAATCATCAAGTGATATAAAGACAAGCACTGAACAATCCCTAGATGCTTTCCAGTGTTTTCTTGGAGGCACATTGCTGTACATCACAATGTATATCCAGACGAAACTGTCATTTCTTTGTTAATGGTATTTTGTATCGCCAGCTTTCTAATCAAAAAGACACCAGTCCCTAATCCACATGGTTATATCAAAAAATACGAGCGTTGTCTAGGTTTTTATTCATGCGAATCTATTATTCACTTGTGCGTTGGCCTTTCTCTAACAATTGAAAGTACTATATTTCGTCGCTTTTTTTACTTCCTGACTTTGTAGGCTGCGTCTTTACTTTCGCTAGTATCTTATATTGCCACTAGGCTATCGACTTAACTGAAATTTTCTTTAAACAATTAGTTGATTACTATTATATAGTGATAATACTGTCCGACCGTTTTTCCGTTGATCCGATTAATTACATTCGACATTGTTCGAGACTTTTTTAGACCTTTAAGTTACTTGCTCCTCAATGGCATATCTGTCAAACAGAGTGGGCGTTTCTAGGTGTTCCAGATACCCTGTTCCTTGATCGGTTCAGGTTCTCCTCGCTTAAATACGCTGCAGGCGACATGCCTTTCTGAATTCGGCTTCTTTGAATAAAAAGCTGCACGAATGAGTTACATATGTGTTTATGTGGTTATGTGAGTTCGACTATCTGTATTGCAGTGCTGAAGCTTGTTTCGTGCCAGAAGTGCTTATCGCTTCCTCACCCGAGCTTTCCTTTAACGTCTTCGCACATAACCCTGCATATTAGGAGCTGATGACCATGACGACCCAATTGATAGCTATCATTTAGTTGATCTCCGTTTTTAACCGTGATTATGTGATTACTATAGTTTTCTTATTCTGCCAGGCCTTTACATTAGCTTTAGCTTTCGTTTAGGTAATTCAGAAAAATGTTTTCACATTCATTAATATGATGATTACTAAATAGGGCTCAGAGTAAACAGAGTAATGTTAATAATGATAATAAGTAATAAAGAGTTTGGTTAAGTACTCAAACTCTTGAATAGCACTTACATTCGAAATGTTTTGACCTGACTAATAAGAACATGAAATGAAAGAAATAAATACATAAGGCTAAGAAGCACAAGAATAAGAATGGATATTTTCTAAGGTCATTATATAAGTGTCGAATAACTTAAACTACATAATATAATTTTGTTTAAGTAAATTGGGTAAGTCATCAATGCTAAAAGAAATGAGTCCTTAGTAAGTTAAACTGATAGAGATATCTACGGCTGGGAGTTCAGCAACGACGAACTACTGGGAAATGCTGAACGAAATATTAATTTTTTTATGTATGTTGTTGAAGTACGCTAAACAGTTTTTTTTTTTTAATCTAATTGACCATTGTATTTTAGTTAATTTCTAATTAGGTGGCCAAATGGCATGTTTTCTAACAGGAACAGAAACTACTTTGCGCCATTACACAATATAGTATTAAATTAAATAATATAATACCGTACGTTAAAAATAAGAGGTTAATGTTTATCGAGTCTAACCGAAAGGTGATTTTATTTTCCCTTCTTAGAGCATTTTATAACTTACGCATATTCCTTTCCTATAATATTCAATTTACTGATTACAGTTGCGCTTATATTACTATTGCGTAACGGTGGAACTTCTTGTGACAAACTCAACAGGTTGCTCGAACACTTCAGCAATGGTGGTTGATGAGATGTTCCCTGAAGGAGCGGGTGCGTATGCCGACATGGAGGAAGCCGGCGGATCCTCAAATCTTCTTATGGACCTCGCCGCTTACGAGAAAAGCGTTCATCAAGACTTTTTCAATACGTTTGACAGTGACCTGTTTGATGATGACGATCTAAAATAGACAACAGTAGAAAACGAGTTAAACTACTTCCAACGGGAGTGGGTTCAAAGTTCTATATTATTTAAAATTATTACTTTGCAAATTGGAATAAAACTCGTGCTCATGTTTTGACCGGGCGGGCAGACACTGTGCAAACAAGTATAGTCTGTATACTGTATAGCATGTGCTGTAAAAAGATTAAGGAAGTACTAATAGTCCAATAAATCGGCATGCATATGCATCAAACAATCCGATTCTCATTTTCAACTTCTATTCAGAATATTTCCCACGATCTATTTACATTGAAAAGGAAAATTATTGGAGGATGATTTCCATTAGCTTACGCGGGCTTTTCTCAAGCACAGATATGAAGTTCTCTATTTACGCTGAGATGAAAGAGTGCGTTCTTGATCCTGCCGTTTACATTTTTCAATTGGAACTAGGGTGCGTTAGTTCACTTTATCCGGGCAATTGATTAAGCAATTAACTATTTGTGCGCATATTTTATATAAATTATGAAATGGGTTTGAGAAACCAACACATGGAAACTAAGAGATTATAATACTCACTTAAGGTAGTATACACAGTAATTTAAAAAGTACGTCGTTTTTCATTGCTCTCGAGTAGATTTGCATATCTTCTACTTTTAGAAACGCGTGATTAGTGGCCACGCAGGGTATTTAAGTAGTCTTGCCTGCCTAACAAAATTTACCAACAACGCTGATACTGGCTAACTCGAATTCCAGCTATATATAAGTTTTGTGTCTCGGTTATTTTATTGGGTTTGCTTGCTGTAAGATAAGAACTAGTAACATCCGACTGTAATTAATTTAGCGTCAACTGTAACCGTTGTTTTTTTGATTTTTCCGTATCCTGTGCGCAATCGCAAGCCCACTATGCTCGTTGACCTGGTAACAAAAACTGCAGCAGTTGAAAAAGTCCGGCAACGACTGCTTCAGTACTACACTACATAGTAGATGTTTATCAACACTTGTAAATATGGCTCCTTTTTCGTCTAAACACGCCCAGAGAAGAAATCGAAAAGAAGTCAGAAAATCTCGTGAATTTCGAGTTACTAGTGTTATTAATACTACCATTATTAACTGTCTATTGATCCCGCCAGGGACCCGTCGATATGCTCTACTATTTTGCTGCGCCTTGAGCACGCAGAGAAGCGAACGAGTTTCCGTCTTTCCTCTGACATTAATCGCCGCAAATGCTGTGCTAGGTCTAGAAGCCTCGTAAGAGAATTACGTAGTGTCTATTAACAATCTGTATGACAAAAAAACAAAAGCACTTGCAGCTTCTCTTAAAATTGACTCGATCATTCTTCCATTGGATGTAGCTTTCAAGAGCGTATAACAGAACTATTGTTTGTATTTGAACAAATACTATGCCTGAAGTGCATCAACCGTTAGCTTAAAATCTGCTTTATCTAGTCGCACATGCAGTGGAATAGCTGTTCCTTAATATTATGAACATCTAGGTAAAATTTCAACACGCGCAACGCGTTCGTATTGATGCAAATTGCTTCAAAACATAAGAGTCATTTTGCAGGATCTGCAAATATCAGTAGGCAGGTTTGGCAGGCCATTTCTTGCATGGGATATGTTTAGGCAGCCGCTGATCGGCCGTAACGATCTATTTCAGATTTATGGATATAGCAAAATTCGTGGACAAACACTTCAACTTTCAGTTAGATCAGAAATGTTATAGAAAATTGAAATGAGGCAATATCTCTATATACAGCTTAACTTACTATAATCAAAATCGCCACCCATATGAATAAAGCCTTTTGCAAATGTTCAACACGATATGTATTAATAAGAGTAATCGACATGTGCATGATAGCACTCTATGAATCACAAATAATATAATGCTGTTGGCATGACCGGACATCTGGCTGCTAAAACCAAATGAGAAGTTCTATAAAACTATTTATTGTTCGAAACATTTGTTAATAACCTTACTGATCGTTTATTTAAACAATTAGATATATTGTGCGTTGCTAACGATATCATGCAATTCCGACGATGGATAGGATGGGCTATCCTAAATGAATTGATCTCGTTTGTTGCGCAAAAGGAAGAAATGTCTGAACTGAACGAGATTTTTAACCAGGCCAAGCTAACTAAAGACTTTCAAAAGACTATACTTCTTGTGTGCCACTGTCTGTCCTGACGGTAAGCTAGTAGTTTAAAAATCCCAGTATTCTTAAAACCGCCAATTAATAAGGCCAGACCAATCGCACAATTTGTTGGTAAAGTTTTTTTTTTTTATAATAGTAATAAAATAATAGGAAAACAAGTTTTATGACGGCAAACGATTTTAAAAATGTTGCAAGCATATGTTAGGGACATGTTTTTATTTTTAAAAGTCTGTAAAAACCTATAATCTATCGAAAAAAAACGCCTATTACTACGCTTGGTCTTAGCATAAACATAAGAGGCCAACCTTAAATAATCGTACGTAGAGACTATATAATCCAGCTCTGGAATCACTGAAAAATGTCGTTGTTTTTTTGACATATACAAATATAAGCGAGTGGTCCTATTCATTTAAATCGGGCCGATTTACAGTGTGACATCGAAAGTCTAGTAGATCAGACGGATCTGATGCAATCAAGAACCTCGTTCTTGTCACAGGTAGCAGAGCTCATACCAGAAAAATCTAAAGCAGAACCAACTTATTTTCCCTCTCCAGACAAGCTAATGTTCTTCAAGTCACCCTCATCTTGACTTCGGAGAAAGAACAGACGGAAAGATACAGTGGAAAGAAGTATGGAGCCAAAATCCTTGGCGGCTGCTGTTTTGGCGGGTTCCGGTGGAACCGTCTGATCATTAGCCCTTTACTGAGCGGTGTGTGACATGCTCCGTTTAATATTTGCCCTTCTAATTGCCATTCCCTTGACGGCAACAACGCCGACGGCAAACCTGACTTCCGGATTATGGAACGGAATTGAGATTGACATACCCGATGTTCCTCGAAAGGTTGAAGCTTTTCTGGGGGTGCGCTACGCCAAACCACCGCTCGGAAATCTGCGTTTCAAACATCCGAAGCCCCATGCGTACAGTGGTGAGCAGGACGGCACCAAGTTGGCTGATGCGTGTATTCAGGGTAACACATTCTATATCCGCAAGGGAATCAATTTCCACTTCGAGTCGACGTCAGAGGATTGCTTACACGTGAACATCTATAGGCCGAAGGGTGTAACAGATGCCCCTGTCGTTGTGTACGTATATGGAGGAAGCTTCCTTGGAGGCTTCAACGGCTTATTCCTCTACGATCCTGAGGAATTAGTTGCTCGCCACGATATCATTGTGGTAATAATAAACTACCGCCTGTCTGTAATGGGTTTCCTTTTTTTAAACAATACGGAAGCTCCGGGCAATCAGGGACTGCATGATATTCTTTTAGCCGTAAAATTCGTAAAGGAGAATGCGCGAGCTTTAAATGGAGATCCAGATAAGTTCACCCTATGGGGCCAGTCTGCTGGGGCGTTTGCCGTCGGCTTCCTTATGGGAAGTCCTCTTGCCAAAGGGCTATTTTCGCGAGTGATACTTCAGAGCGGTACACCTGTCAGTGCTGCTCCATCTTTTTCGATGAATAGCATAAACGGCGCAGTAAGTGCCGCCAGTGTTGTCAATTGCATCGATTCGAGTCGAAAACCTGAAGACCAACTAGAAGATATTGGCCGTTGTATAAAGAATGTTGACGCTAAGACGCTGTTTGACGCAGTGAACCGAGGTTTAGGAGAGCATTATACGATAACCTTCCAACCACAATATGGTATCGACAACCTCCTGCCCGATTTTCCATTCCCTACTGATCAGTCAAAGGTGCCCCTCAACGACGACATTAAGGAGGTGTTTACAAGTACCGTAAGCAACGAGGGAGGCTTGTTCATCGAAGGAATACTGGAACGTTTTCAATTCAACGATACGTCTTCGGCTGATGATTACATCGATCTTGCGCGAATCGTTATGAAGGTCATTCTCAATTTACCTGTGGAGCTCGTACGAGACAGTTCGATTGCATACATCCCGCAGACGTTGCAGGTTGGCCATAATCTACGCTCTGCCATGGGGCGTCTATTTGGAGATCTTATTTTCGAGTGCCCAACCGATCTTTATTCCGCTTTCCTCGCCAATAGGGGTGTCAAGGTACATATTTTCTGTTTATCATTATTACCAGTGTAACTCGGACAACTTATAATAACAACATAACTTGCGTTGTACAGCATTGCTATCAGCTTGTATGATATGCGATACTAAGTAAACTACGTAATGCGCATAAGAACAATCATTTGTTTATCCAAATTTTGATGCTTCGAACGTTGTATGTCGCCGTGCGTAAATTGGGTATAAATTACATTGGTTGGACGCGGCAGAAGGCTTCATGACTGTAATAAATTGTCATTGACCAGTCATCAATATCGCAAGACATTTTAAACCCAACGATATATCGAAACCTATGTGCCAAAGCCCGAACGACTTTAAAAATTTAACGTAGAACTTTAAAGCATAAAATAACGTTTGTGAATGCAAGAAATCCTGTGCGTACTGCCGTGGCTTTTCGAATGGCCAAACTTCTACAGATAGTGAAACTATAAAAGTAGTATAACAGAGTAGGAACTAATACGATTACACTGAGGATCCATACTCTTCTTTCTAGGTTTACCGCTACGTGTGGAACCAGCGACCTTTGACAAGCTATTGGCCCGAATGGACAGGTGCGACTCACTGTGACGATGTTCCCTATACAATGGGCGGACAACTGCACCTAGGTGAAAAGGCTGAGCGCTCCAATCAAGCCAGTCCAGAACTAGCACGCTATATGCGAGTGCCAATCGACGGTGACCACAAGACCTTGGTACTGAACTCTTTGAAAATGATAGCAGATTTCATAAAAAACGGGTAAGCACCATTCGTACACATTGTTCTAAAAAGATTCCAGAAGAACAGATTTAAAACATTTTTCAATCAAGAACCAATATCTTTATGTTATGTTCCTACCCCACTTACTGCCTTAGCACATTGACGTTCGTTATCAGCGGCGAGCGATCTGCGTTTATTTCGAATATATTTCGTGATATTTTTCGCTGTGTTTTCCATCGGATTTATTTACAACTCGTCTCGTTTTGCAACGGAAAGTTATTTTATTATTGGAGTTCACCAACATAACTACCGATTATTCCTGCTGTAATATTGCGGGTTCAAGATCTATATTATTGAAGCTCGACAATTGTGTATAGAACGGTAGCTAATTTTGTAATCTTAAGCACATGTCGGGACAAGCTTCATTAGACACTCTCACACACATAGGCGCGAGGCACTTTTCTTCCTGAAAGCTACGAAATAGAGAATGGAAAGTTTCAGAACTTTTTTTTTTGTATCTCTAATGAGGCTGATTGCGAAAGCGCTAACCCGGGTAATATGAAATATTCTGTAGCACTAAAGGCGCCCATGCCTGGACGCCTAGGTTGGGGAATGGAGCCTTGACACTGCTTTGGCATTACGTCAAAACGTCTATTCTTTTCCGCCGGCATCCGTCATAGTGGCTTACTACTGCAGCTTTGAATTCGCAGCTGCTTAGCATCGCCACGAACCGAGTCTGGTTTTGGTCCGCGCCGGAAACTTTGACATAAATTATGTCTTTTAGTATCCCTAATAGACATCTCTTTATCCGCCAGATAGCAACGCATCCGGTAGGGGTCCAGGAACTCCTACCCTTACGCCGTACACGCTCTTCGCCTCATCCATTGGTCGGGACCCTCCGGAAAGCTTTAAAACACAGTGGTATAGCACTACGGATCTAGAGAAAGCATGGCAAAATAACATAGCAGTACTAATGCGAACATATGCGATCAGTTCAAGTACGTTTGGTAAATGTGAAGTGCCTATTATCAAGCATTTGAGCGCCTGCTATTAGCATGTAATGTCATGCTTTCAAATCATACAATTTGTCATCAACCCGTTCGCGTCCATTGAATAGTTTCAAAAGATAGCAGCAGTCAGCACTCCACTGACATAATTACGTGTCGTTTTTTTCTAATCTATGTAGTAAAAAAATATACCACCTTTGAAATGCTCCTGGTGTACAATACTGTTGCAAGCATAGCCAAACGTTGTGCAGACCTTTCTTGCGATCCAATATATATTCAAAAATTATTATTAGAATACCGCTGGAAATTTCTGAAGACAGAATTGATATCGTTACACTGGGAATGTGCAAAGAAAAAGCTTGTATTATTCAAATGTACACTGCGCACGAATATGATCCAAGGGTGAGGATGATTGCCGGTTTATCTTGTTGGTACTCCTTTATTTTTTGAACAGATATCAACATGCGTACTATTAAAACTAAGCAGCTCAATAAGCATATTACGGTGAACTTTTGTAGTAGACTCGGGGCTAGTAGGCATCCAACGACAGGGCCGATACAGTTAACTAAATTAAGGCTCTAATATGACAAAAACCGTTCCATAGATCTGAAATTATACAAGAATCATACATGTAGGTCTCACTAGTCGTTTGATTAATTTTTAGTAATTAATATTTACAAACAGGACTTTTGCATATATTCTGGGAGAACGTCACGTCAACTGTCCACACCTACTCTGTCCAAGTAAAATCATTACGTTATATTTCTGTAAACAATCTATCTAGTCCCGGAAGAGAGGGCAAAAATCCTGTAGCGTTTACAATTATTATTATTGCGTCTTTGGCGCGCAACATCAGCAAGTCAAGGGTAGCGCCTTTCTTCAGAATCACCAGAAGCTCTTTCCACAATGGATGCAAGTCGCTACCGTTGCGATCCCCAATGTTATTACCGGTGAAGCAATTAAGTCTTAGTCAGCGTTATTAGCGGCCTCTATAGCGGTCGATATTTAACAAATAGCTTCGCCAAACTCCTTACGCACTCACTGATTGTCGCTATTAAGTTTGTGTTATCTGAGGACATCAAAGGTTCTTGAACCAACTACCAGTGAAATCACTTATCATTCAGCCCAAGTCAACTAGGCGAGGACGATGGTTATCTTCTCCGTATTAGATATGGAAATACCTTGATGTATTTACATGAATGTCGGGATAAGTTGTAGCAGGAGATTTAAGGGATAGCAATTGCCGAAAGAAAAGGTTGAAGTGATTAGGCTTGTTGAGTGCAATCTTAAAATAAATATTTACGGCGACATGTTTGTGTTCGCAATAGATTGGCGGCAAAAATACCAGTACCAATATTTCGCCATAAGTCGAAACATAAGAAATCGCCATAGTATCGCAGTGGTAATGTCTTTGCCTACGAAGCTTGGGACCATGTGAGGTGGTATAGGTTGCAAACCGGACGTAAAACACGAAAACATAACAAAAAACTTATCAACGTACAATAAGGTTACTCCATATAAAGGAAAAGTTTTTCCTTTATAATTTCTTCGTTAGCTTTCTTTCTACTCTTCAAAGACAGAAAAGTGATCGTTTATTGAGGTTTTGATAGACAGACATACCTGAATTCATTATTTTGAACATACAAAATATTTTTGTCTGGGGCACGGGTAACCTTGGTTGTGCAGTGGGCTGGCAATGAGTTGATATAGCGAATGTTAATAGGATTAGCAACATAATTCATAAGGACGAAGCATTAATTTTCTGATGCCACGACGTTAATCGACGAGAGACGTAAACCTTCAAGCGTGTGTTTATATTATAACAGCGGCTGTAGCGGTGGTAGTGCAAAGAAAGAAAATCGAGGCTCTATACTTAGGAAAATTTTTCACGCAAACGTTAAAACAAGCTCGCCAATGACTCAAAAAATTATTTAGTCTTCCTGGTAGGGTTTATTTTTGTTGCTTAGTTATATAACAAATTGTACTAGCTCGTCGGGGGCTCATCACACACATGATGGCTCATAATTCAAAGTAAAAGCATACTAATATATGTATATATTAGCATACTATAATTACTAACCACTGGTATACTAACTACATGAATATGGAATCCAGCATTCGTCAAAAAATTGGTTTATTCATTCCTTTCAAAAAATAATCCTCATCTTTGAAGTTAATGAAACATTAATCGCTTAATTTTCATTGCGAAACCTACTTGGTACCTTTCCAGTATCTTCCAGGTTCTCACAATGCAAAATACCTGTTAATCCTTTAAAGCTGGACGATCTGCCACAAATCCAGCAACGTTGCCAGTACAACGACACTAGTAAATCAACTTGCTAGTAAATGCTATTGATTATTGCCTAAGCGCAAACGCTCCGTATCTCATAGCTGGGTGCGAGTACCACACAAGTTGGGCACTGAAAAAGAGCCGATGTTCGCGACTTAATTTTCTAACGGACGTTACTTATATGGGTCTATGTGCAGTTCTCAGCGAAGTAGTTCAAACTTAACAGGGCTTAACAGTGTAACAAATATATTACCTAAAACAGACTGATAATCAGCGTCAGATGATAACAGAGGATAACGTCACGGCGTTTTGCAATATCCATAACACAGATACAATTGCGCCACAGTCCAAGTACTGTTTTGAGACATACTTGATTAAAGCTGAAAACTCCCTGAAGCTGAAATCTATAATGCACCCATCTCAAGTATTACCTTTATAGATAAGAAAATGCTTATTTATGGTGTGTTATCGATGCCACGTTTATGAATTTCGCCCTAACGGTTAGAATATGGCGAGTTGAAGCGGTCTATAATTACGATACGTAATTGCTCTATATTGTCCTATGGAAGCATACACTGAACGGGTATGCTTTTTCTGTCGAAACTGTTTTTGAAAATTAATCAAAGACAGATGCAAAGGTTATTTATTTAGGACAAAATTGAATTAGTTACCCGCAGAACTTTCGATTTGGTTTGTTAATATACACTCTAACCTGAACAGATACACTGACGGCATTTCGTGCTTAATCCAAGAACAGAGGCAAAAACGAAAGGACGGACTTGGTAAGTCAGTTGCAAGAGAAATCACGGGATTACTTCAATACCTTTTTCTTTTTCCGGATCTGGAATAGAGGAGGATTGGTTTTCCAAACGAAGACGGTCCTGTTTAGCGAAAAATAATTCAGCTGTAACATACCATTTCTGACGGTGTTTAGCGGCATGGGTGGAACACACCGGGGAAATACAAAAGATGTAATGCTCTTATATGGGCTTATAGACTTTGTTGTGAGAATTACTTAAACCATAAATAGATGCAGCGAAGAAATCATCTTTTTATTCAGCCCCCTCTTAGTTAACTTTTTGGAAAGATGCCGCGGCAATGCCTGATCTATTTTATTGCCTTGTATTTTTCCGATAAAGTGATATTCAGTAGGCAGATTATGTTACTGATTTCATTTCAGAAAATGATTGCCAAATTTCGCTCCTATTTTAAAAGACAGATAGAAAAGTATCGCGTATGCACTTCACACGTGGCACACAGTTTCACGGTGAATTGCTTGCGCTGGAGGTCATTGCTTCTTAGGTCATTGATTTGCTCGCGGTTTCTTCTTGCATCCATTCAGAAGCACAGTAACACAGAGCTGAAGTTGCCCTCAGTAAGCCAAAAGAGTCATCATACATACGTTACGTCATGCCGGATTGATGTAACAGTTCGTTCTTATCTCAAAATTGCTACGCCACTTTGAACAACAGATGAGCAGTGAAGTCTAGTTGTGCTCTGTTTAATGTACAAATTTGCCCAGCCTTGGATTGTACATTTATGAAGAAGCAGAAGAAAGTAAGACAACAGGTTAAAGATTTTGGAAACTTATTCTATGAATGAAGGGGAAACGGAATTAAGGTGGTATGTCCGAGCATGGTGACGAACTGACCGCGTGTAGACAATACAATACAATACAGGTTTATAATTGAAATATGCGGCGATTTGCAGGCGCTTAGAGCAACAGCTTTCACGATTTCAACAAACAAAGGTCCTTAAATTAGCACTGATTACCAAAAAATCACGGATTGGTGCCGCTCGAGTACCAGTATCTGATCTTTTAATATAATATAAAGATAAGCCTCCCATTATTCGCCTGAAAATCGTTTTTCCGCTGAAATCCCTAAGTGCAAGTTTTTCTACTCACCCATCTCTGCGGTAGTTGGCAGTAATGTCGGAAGCCAAAAATCCTAAAGCTGTGTATTCCATAATAGCAGATTTGGTGATTACGGGAGAGGTCCACAAAAATATTATGATAATGGCTCGATCAATGCCATGCGATGGTATAGATTAAAGGCAACCTTGCTAATCAGATGGAAACAAGTTTGTTTGAACTATACGAAAATAACTTAATATTAAACTGCTCTTCGTTGAGCTTACTGATATACGATCAACGTGCACAACGAGCAGAAATTGGATATGTTAGCACTTTAGCTAGAAAGTGTTGCTTCGACACGTGGAAAAATACTAAACCGCGCGTTTGAATTTAATTATGGATCCCATTAAATGCACATAGACAGTGTCGCAGTACCCATTTTGAACATCGAGCCAATTCAAAATTTCCAGAATATACGATGTTCTTTTTCAAAGTTATTTTTATAGAGATAAGGACGTAATGAATACATAATAACAACGAAATAAAAATAAAACCAAGTATTTTTGGATTTTCGTTCAGTCTTAAATCTTAATTAAAGGGCAATCTTACAAAACGCAATCATAACCTTCTAGACTTCGTCCTAATCCGTTATAGTAATGTCGAATAGAAAAAAACCGCTACTTGATATATTTCTTCAGGAATCAATACGATATAACCGTAATTGGTTCCCAATGCCTGCCTGTCAGCCAGAAAGTAGCGTTTGCACTGATCATCTATTTTGTCTTCGGCGCTGAAATGCTTCCGAGTAGACCTTGATATAATTGATGGTGAGTGAAATAATCTGTTGGCTCATATCGAAAACACGTGGATCCGATAAGGCTAAGACATAAACAAATTATTGCAGATACATATATATTAAAAATACATAATAAGAAAAAAATAGACACAAACAAATAAAGAACTTTCTGAAGTCTAAATAAGGTAGCGGAGCTCTGCACGAAGTAAGGGACCTTTTTGAGTTTAAGCAGACTATCACAAAATTTTTATGAATCATTGCTGCTGATATTTTTCTTTGTAAATACAGTGCCACGCATAATGATAGATGCAGCTAGTTGAATTAGCATGCGGAAATGCTATTAGCGAGATTGCAGGCAGTTTATGCACATCTATCTGTAAACAAGCACATATTCTTGAATATTTTTCTTTAATTATTTATTACTATGAATCATTTCATCAGGCTAAACTAATTGTGAACATAATAAGTAATGAAAAACGAAAAGTATTATCACCGAAATATTGCTCCAAATTATACTCCAAATCCAAACTTCACTTATGTTGAAAAAAGAAAATGTTTAATTTTACGCGCGCGGATAATAATGCTTGTGAGATTTTATTTGCTCTTTTAAGAATACCTTCGAGACCCGACGGCACCGATTGGCCTCTGTACACTCCAACCGAACCGCGCATGCTCCGGATAGAGGCTTCCGGTTTCACCGAGATTACGGGGCCGCGATCGGACAAGTGTTCGGTATGGGATGATTACCTTCATAACATGTAGGTGTACTTTTTTTTTTTGTTTACCAATTTATGCAAAGTATATGCGGATACTTGAATATACAAATTTATATGTAAAAAAAAGAAGAAAAGATGAAAAAGGTTGAATATTATTCACTGTTGAATGGGTGCCCTTAAAGTTTCGCTCGTTTTGTCATAGTCGGTGTTCAAGGAAGAGCATGACTATCGAACGTGAGTGACCATGTGAGGGCTCTGTAATGTGTCTGCAACTTGCTACTAAGAGATCATGTGGCAGTGGCATGGCGAAATAAATCGACATTATTAAATAATGTACAATAATAATATCTGAGATTACGGTAATGCGATTTTACTGCGTTAGGACAAACCTATTTGAGCAAATCGTAATGAAAATCGAAATTGTTTGACGACTATATTATAACAGCGAAGAGCGGTATACATTGGTGCACCGAGGAAGAGATGATCCTGTTGCTTAATAAGCTCGAGAAATCAAACTTACAGAAACTGTTCTTGCATTTAATCCTATTGAAACAGGAAATCTATAGAGATCGTATCACAACTTAGGTTCTTTTAGATGGCATATGTTAACTGAGGGACCTTCAATGTATTGTGTACTATAAAAAGATTTCGCAACAAGTTTTACGAACTGCCGTGTGAGGATGCCCGGGCACTAACGGCTAGTTTAATTATCTGCTCTGGCCATTCATATTTTCCAAGAGAAGATTTTAAGCTAGCGTAAGAAATGTAAGTTAACAAAAAATGTTAGCAACGTTTTCCATCAATCTGCACTTTTTAATTCACAAATATGTCTATTCACCTCACGTACAGCACCGCAATATGATAACTGTATAATCAAACTTTTGTGTCACTGAATGTTGCAAGCCGAATACAGAGATTAAATCAATACGAACGTTTACTACTCACATCAGTGTGTAGTTCGAGGCAATTAAAACACTTGAAGTGCTAAAACCATAGCAGAGTAGCGCATAAGTCCCTACAGAGACTTGGATCTGTCAGACTTATAATTCAAATCTTAGTTTAAACGCGTATACAAGCCTCAGTTTTTGTTTACTCCTTCTCGCTATTCGTTTGTAGAGTCGCAGTTAAGAAACCCGGATCAACATTTGACTTCAGTGGCAATAATGCCATACCTCAAAAAAATACTGTTTCACGTCGACCTCAAAAATTCAAGAAGCTCCGTACTACATCGGCGGCTACACCTGCCCAAATCGTACCTTCTGCAATGGTCATCCATTCGGTGTCGCTGATAGGTCTAATACTTCTTTTAAAGCAAAAGGTCTTATGGTAGAACAAGGCACAGCGATGGTCAATTTGTAAATTTTACTACTGTATATGTCCTATATTTATTTGCGTAATAACGACATGGCTACAGTTTCGTGCAATGAATATATAATTATAAAGATGGAATCATTTGTTCTGTAGTGAATTTCAGTTGATAAAAGTTAACCAACAGATACTACAATGTTATAAGGTAAAATGCTGATATTTCCGCTATTTTTTTTTAAGACAGAAGACACTACGAGGATCGACGAAGAATAATATATCTAATAAAGTAAAGAAAGAAAAAGGTGAAAAATGTAGGTATACGTAAAATCCTCTTAAAGACTAGCTGTGACTGTACGAAAATGATAATGAAAAGGAATAGTTTCGTCCGCTATAATTATAATTTAAGGTTTACCTGAACTTCCATAATTGAATGCGAATACCGCAAATTATTTAGGCTCTTTTGAGTAAGCGTCTAATTCGAAATGTCTAACGGAAACAATTGGCACGAGCATCAGACTGATGAAATGGAACGGAATCGTACACATTTTTCCATTCTTAATGCCCTACGTAGGTTTTAGGCGAGGAATCAAGGCTATATCATTTGAAATTTCACACATTGTGACTTCTGGCAAGAAAATCACAAAGCTTGTTCTCAGATTACAATTCTTACTTAATTACAATTTCTTTGGTGCACCTGAGTGAGAGTAGTCCTTTATTTGAAAGAACTTGGCACCACACATCCACTTTAATCTAATAAGTAAATTATACAAAGAATAAATACAGCCTAAGATAAATCAGGCTATTGATTTCATATCTGCGATGAAGATAAGTGGGGAAATATACCAAGTATGGTGTGCAGAACACATTACGCTCAACCCTGTTTTAAACCAGTTTGAAAACTGAAACGGAGATTTTTTTATAACGCGAAACAGTGTATTTAAAAGTATCAAAGAGTGCTTCATTCATGTACCTGGCTTAAGCTTATAATTTATTTGGCGAGTTTTAGATATATATATATATAAGCGTCAACTTATCTTTAAACAGATTGGGCGAAGATTTTAAATGTTGCATCGCCGAAGCTCATTGATCTTTCAAATTAGCTTAGACCAGGGCTCACTTTGAAACCAATTCAAACAACACCTAACAAACATAAATCTCTATTGATACAAAAAAAAAGATTCTACTACAAAAGCACGCTTTGCTCTTTATTTCTCTTCCGATGTCTATTTACAACTTCGAAACAGCTGTGCTTCTAGGCTTCCTGCATGCCACTAAAGCTTCGTAATTCAATCTTCAATTTCACATGAACATACTTATTGATGCTAACGCATAACACACGCGTAATAATATCATGTGAAGGCTCTAGGAACCAAACATATATTTTCTTCACTTTTTCAGTATTTCTTATTTGTTCCTTCACGTTTATATAACATTCTGTTTGTCACCTTTTTAAACCATTTAAACAAACAATTGGTCGTTTCAGTAAAATGATACCTATGGATCAGTATTTCAATCCTTTTGCGGCATTTAATCTTAGATATAATATTATACTATAACGAAATACCGATGCATGTGGGATGTTGTTTCGTAGCCTTTGAAACTATCTACTGCTTTTATCAGGGAAATTCTTCGCTCAATTAATATACAAGAGCATCAATATCAGGCTGCTGAACCGGTATCTGTCGATCTGGGGACGATAGTAATAAAATTCGAAGCCGATCCTGTCATTTTGTATACCTCCGTCACATTACATTATGTACACGTTATTATAAATGTCGCTGTCATCAAATGAGCAAGACTAAATCACGTTAGTCTATGAGCGCTGAACAAAGAATGAGGAGCCTTTCGTTACCTCTGCACTGACGGCCGTCGCGCCTCACTCGTAGCTATGCAAAACTTAACGCGTTCAGTCATCTAAAATTACAACGCAATCGTCGTTCTCCATCGATTCTTGATTTTGAAGCATTGCTCTGTTTTGATTATCGTCAACATTTGCAATGTTTATTTTTCTCGATTTATCGTTATTGAGGAGCTTCACGACCATGTCTCGAAAGGAAGCCCGTTTTCGTTTCTCCGGTTCGAAGGCTGTTTTTTCGAAAACCTCTTGTTTTCGTTTTCGCGATTTAATCGCTTTATTCTGAAAATGGTTGCAAAAAAGCGAACTAAATCATCTTTTTTTATATATGCTAAATAACGTCATCGTTTCAAGCTTACCCTTATTATTCTGAAAAAAAAAACCCTCATTAATCGATAATTATGAGTGGCCACAGCCGTTTCAAATCTAGATCTCCTTGAGATCTACACTGGTAGAACGAAATTCACTACTATTCGTTCGTTACATTTTAAATGGATCGTTTTGCCATGCTGCGGTGACTGCAGCACCACGAAAAATTGCTGATATGACGATAGTGGATCATGTGTAAATGTGGGATTCAAAAGTATTTTGTTTTGATTGTATTGGTTAACACCATATACATGTGAATTGCAAATTACGCTTAGTACATGTAAATATGATATACGAAGCCGGAAGATTTATTGTTTGATAAAAGCTAAAGAAAGGTTTAGCGTTGATAACTTACCTTTTCCTCATTCGAAATTGGCCGGATACTGTTTGTCGAAATTCGATAACTTTCGCAATTAGGATTCTCTTCGAGCATGTTTTTTGTGAAGTTGCATTGTGTCAAAGTACGAAGTTCCACAAGCCGGTTACACACAGGGCATCGGCCCTTTGGGCGTCTCATTTCCATAGCGATAAAAGCATCCAGATCAAAGCACTCCAAATGCTGACACATTTCAAAACGCACTGGCGTATTTATGCGAACAGCTAGCACTAGAAGTGTATAAAGCACAGTTAGTAGGGTTACTCTTCCAATCCATCTCAACGCGCTACATTGTAACTTCTCGCGTTTACTGTCATGGCACCTTCAGCGAAACTCACGATTACGGTGATTAATAACGTACGAACAGATAACAATCAAAGGCTTGCATGTTCTACTAGATCGGTGCAGTGGTTTGGACGGCTAAACCTCTATCTAACAAGGCCAGAAGTCGCTAGTTGAAGGCCCGGCAACGTCATATATTACACCACATGGGTGATTAGATAAAAGGAACGTTTTATTGACGACTAGATGACACGTTATATAAGAATATATAGCTCTGCAACGTCATAATCACATTCGGTTTATTCAATGTGGTAGCCTATCTGCTGATGGTTTCGAATAATGTATTGAACCATATGAACTAATCAGAAATATTGAATTTAAAAGGAGCATTACGATCATACTCACGTGGGCATTTTAACGAGACAATCCATGAGTCTATTCCGGATCCGACAAGACTCGATTGCATCTTTTTAACAACGTCTTTACCAAACGGTTGTGTGGCAAGAATTGATCTGGCAAATAACCATGACAATATTAAGCAAATTTAACATCGATGGTCTAGAGATACTGTATAGCTATAATGAAATATAGATGAATGATTTGGATAGGTCATACATACCGAGAAAACTAAATTGCACGTTGGTTCAAAACTGTCGTCCTGGCCCGGGAGTGTGAAATTAAATTTTTACTATGTTTCGTACCGATGAAGAAAGCAAAAACATACCTGCGCAGAGTAGGCGCCTCGACATGACGAGATATAAAGAGCTCCGCAACACCCGACGCTCGTGAATCCTTGAGAAATTCTAGTTCTATTTCTATCTCGCACATGAGGGGCCCTTTTTCGGGCGCGTTTTCTAACACCATGGCTGTTATGTCAAGTGGAACTTCGTTGAAAAAGCAATCTGTGAAGGTACCATTAACATTAGTTATTACCACGCATATAGATAGCACAGTATATATTGAAATTCGTTTTGTAGATAGGTAACGGACTTGATATTTTTAAAGAATTTTTGATGGCGATGAAGGTTGCTGTCCCATGGGCGTTCCGCTAAATATATTGATATTGTTCAGGCTATCGAAGTAATTTCTTTGGCCTTAACTCGACAGTGTTCGCTCTCGACCCGACATAGCTTTTTAAAAAATTTTTTACGCGAACATCATCGAACACTAACATATATACGTTTAGATTAATGAATAATTCAAGTCTGTTTTTGTTTATTGCCCTTCATTAACTTTTTATTTTTAATTTTTCAGTTGGTGATGGCCAAATCATATATATAAAGTACGGCACCTAAATAGAGGCAAACTAACGATTTGCATACGTTCAACTGCTCATTCCAGTGCCAGACAAAAAAAGCCAGGTTTTTTTACAGCAAAATAACCAACTTATTATAGCAAACAACAGTGCGTTTTTTTTTACGAAAATTTTATCAAATCTTTCCGCGCTAGAGGTACCCCACCAAGATCAACAACTTTATTTTTTGTCGGAAATGGACGGTTTTCGTTATCGCTAGGTCTCATGTAGCCTCTAAAAAATTCGAGAGATGAAACGAAAGATCCTCAGTAGGTTTAGATTTAGAATGCTCGAACAACAATCGAAGTGTTTTCGAAAAACCCTTTTTGATATACCAAGGTTTTTCCTACAGGAATTAACAGTCGTCTCATAGAAAAGAATATCAATTGCCAATTGAATCATCCAGATAAGCTTAAATTCTTCAATCTTTGTGCGCCTTTTTAAGGGGTGGGCCATTATGAGGCATTGCATTTTTATGATACTTAGCCTGTTGTTGACATAACAAAATTCCCTAGAATAATTTATTTGAACGATACTTTAACGAGTTTACATCTATCAATGTCGCCTGACGAATATATAAAAATTATTTGTAGATTTAATAAAGAATGTGTTTAAAATGATTAATTAGTTGCTTAGGTCTCAAGTTGTAGCTGTAATTGCAGTGGATGTGACCCTAATTACCTAAACATGACCGTCAGTAATGACGCTTTAGCATTGACCTTATGATGGAAATCACTGTTCGTTTATTAAACTCAAAAACAGAATCTTTCTTTAGAAAGCACTCCTTTTTTTTGAGCTACTTAGGGATCATTGTGAAATATTAATCGTGTAATGTAAAATCGAAATTAATTAATAAAAGTCGTAAGTGTTATTTTAGCTACCCAACAAGACCATGTACGTTGCATATTATTATATATATCCATATATATAAATTTTGTGATCTAGAAAAATACAAGATAGCAACAGGTTTGCAAAGCAAAAAACGTTTTCCTATGATATATACCATTAAACCACTATTAAAGAAAAACTTGGAACTCCTTACTAATGCACCAGTCTAATATATTTCAAAACTAATATATAAAGCTTCTATTGTCCTATTACGTAAAAATAAGAAGCGAAAGGCTTCTTTTACTTCCACAAGCGTGATGTGCTGTTTTCATATCTCTATCATTATTTTATTATTATTCGTAGTTCTTGATGCCACGGGGTCTTACATTAAACGCATTGTATTACCTCACCTTTATATTTCACCCATGTTGGCTTGAGACGTGCTTCCAAAACCACTGAATTAAACCTTCTTCGCGCGACAATCTCCCCGGGGACTGGTTGTACATCATTGGATCGATACTGCGAATTGTTGAAATTGATAAGAAGACGCAAGTCGACGATGGCTTTCTCCGTCAGTTCTTTTCGCTGACAAATAATTAAATACAAGTTGGGTTTTTTTAAATACATACATTACACGAGTAAGATGACAAGTATACTGCTATTGAGTGAAACACATTTGTCACTCATAATAATTATTTTTCAGCGTATCTCTTTAATAAAGTTGAGTGTGCGTTTCTGACCCGCGTTTCCGACACTAGAGGTAAGTAGTACAACTTTATGACACCTGGCTTATTTGGTTATGGTTGTGTAATTTGAAAATAGAGCTGTTTTCAGTTTATGAAATGACGAAATGAATGCAAAAATTCATTAGCTTCACCTACAAGTTTCGTTTTTTAACTGATGAACCGATTGGTTACAATTTCTATAATTTATTTTCGTGTCGGCTCTATAGGTTAGTACTGTTAATTGATCAACTAAAGAATCGTTCAACAATAACTTTTAAGTTCCTTAAGAATGTGGTTGCTGCTAGTTACTGTTGTTATACTATATATCTTATAGTACTGATGTTAGTTGCTCTAAAGGACTGCGCTCTTGGAAGTACCTTTCTAATATACTGCTTACAAACTTGACCTACAAATTTAGTTGAAATTTTAATCATTGAATTTGTCCGAACTTCTCGAAGTAACACGGATCGTGAAACGGGGCCACCTGAAAACAATAATAAACCGTGAATCAGAGTGGCTGAGAGGAACCAGGCATGATAGTCCAGATGAAAAACAAAAGCAAGTATATAAAACACGATTGAAGTAGCTATTACGAGAATTAGAAAATGTGCTCCGTGCTAAGATTACATTTGAGTACCACATGCATTAATTAGTTTGATCGCTTTTTATGATAGGGTACGATGCTGCATGGTAAACTGTAGTATGTTGAATAACCCACATATTTCTGTTAGCGTCACTTACATAGTCGTAGATAGGGAAGAAAATCTGGAATTTTAGGCTCCATCTCGTGTTGACGTAGTGGTGGTGCCTGAAATGTTTTCAATGATTTCATTGTTATTTCATCTATTTTATTGTAATATTTTATATATAGGAGCAAACATAGTGAGTGGTATACGGCTATGCGTAGTTATGCTGATTTTCAATATATTCTCTCATAGGTCGGTAGGGAAACGCACACTGCAATATTTCGTCACAAAAAGATTAACAAGTGATTAAAAACAATAACACCGAAAAACGCTTCTGCTATCGCCATTTCGTTCTAGTGACTTTAAACATTTTAAGTGCTAACACTAAATTGTCTAATGTAAATTACAACCTACAAACCATGCACACAAAATGCATACTAATAACTACACCGGCCTATAAATCTTTTTGGGATCACTATTTGAAATCTTGCTAACGACGTAACTACACAAATCGTGTGAATAATAATATCTTTATTCACACGGTTTACATATAATAATGTCGGTTGCAATTCTAGCTGTAACTGGGTGCTAACTCTCGATTGAATCGCAGAGACACTTTTGCTAAAGAAAGATTTCCACCCGAAATATTACAATTTATCTCTATGAGCTTCGCTATGTATGTTCTCTTGGTGAACATACATTGAAAATATTTCTTATACACTCAAATCGTGTCTTCGTGAGCGATCTGGCAGAGCAGAAACTACGATCAAAATGAGATAGTTTTCGGGTCGTTGCTAACTAAAGATTAGGGTTCAATGAAAATATTTTTCGGATTCATGCTTCAAAACAACCCGTCCGAATCAGATGTTAACCGTTATATTCATATGTAGGGCATTTTTTTCTTTTAGATGTACATTGTACGAGACATCGACTTTTTCCAATCCACGCCACTCTACATTTCATGGTTATCGCACTTGAACTCTCATATCATTTTTGTGCACACCGCATATTGCGGCAAATCCAAATACTGTCACTCGAATGCAGAAATGGCGGCATAACTATAACAACGTACAGTCTATTGATAACTGGACGAATTCAACAATCAAAACCACATGTTCTAGCACCTAAATAAAAAAAAAGCGGAGTCCAAGACGAACCGCTCGCACCCGTCTTTTACCTTAGATACTCGTTCCTTAAATACGTTTACTTTAAAAATTATTCACTTCAATATTCACTCTAACAGAGTGAGATACTCTGGTCATCAATTCCATATATAAAAAGTCAAAAGCGTGTTTTTCTCGGCTCTAGCGTTGACTTAATTTACTTTCGGTTAAAAATATACCTCTTGATATAGTAACAAAGGTTTACAATGTAATCAAATCTACTCAGTAGCACACTTGCGCATTGCCGAGCTGTGAGTTACTACGGTTCATTTTGTTGTGCAATATAGACTTGTTTCGACAGAATAAAATACGTGATCAAGGATGCCTTCACTATAATTTATTATCCCAAAGGACAATCACTTGACAAAGTTAGGAAGCATACAAGTCGCTACGTTATATAGTCGTTTTTGATGCGATAAACACTTGTAATTTAATTATGTAAAAGCCATTGTATATAGAACACGCAACGCTTTTATATATATCTTGAAGTATTCATCTTTGTGTTGGATTTTATCTCTCTCATTGATTTCGTCCTATTCCATAGACAAAGTTAAAAAGAATTTATGTGAGCTTAATAGGCGAAATAAATTATCATGAAAATATTTTTTTTTCAATGACTAGCTTTGATATTTTTACACAGCTTTTTAGTACATAGCCCAATTGCCCGGCTGCAGAATCAATCATACCTGATTTTTTTTTTAATTAAATAGCGAAGAAGTAGACTTGAAACTACATAAACGTATCAAGAATCAGGAAACCACCAAACGCACATTCATAACTATTAAACATTAACCAATATACTCACTAACTTTCGTATCACAACTGCGACCATGTTCATGCAAGTTGCAAACACTTTCATCTCATGGTGGATAAATAAAATCATGTACCATAGACCCGATATCAAGCAACTGGTCGCCCGCCATGCTTTAGCAGGTAAACAAACATTTCGAAATCAATTGGTCAGTTTGAATGGTAAAAATGGCGCGAAGTCAGCATGTTAATCTGGGCTGGTATTTTCGCCTTGAAGACGCTAACGATTAGTGGATTACAATATGCGCAGCTGACTTAATTACGTAAAATTGCGATACATTGTCATTATAGGTCAGCTAGGTTAACTAGCAAGCTGACAATGAAGTTATAAAGGAGTATACTAAAATATTTTTCAAGGATTTATTTCAAATGTTCGTGAGTTTGATTATTTTTATGTACTTTTTTTTAAAATTTGCATATCTTAGATCAATTTATCTCTTAAAATGATAAATCTACTTAATATATTTGCGAATTTTTATCGCATCGAAATATTATAATGCTTGCAATTCTATTGGATTATTAATTATTACTTGAACTTATGATTTATAATATCTAATTGCTAGCTTAAATATTAACTACTCTTCATAAATTGCTCCAGTGCGCCGTATAACTTATTGCTGTAGAAAGATTATCAACTCCAGGCAGAAAAACTCCAACAAGAACGGCACCTGTAATCACTAACACAAATTGATTGTCTGTGTCGCCTGAAATTGATAGCCGCTATAGTGTTGCTAAAATGTATTATACGTGAAGTTGCATCTTTGACATCACTAAATTCGACGTGGAGTATGTCACACCGCGCGCTTACAAGCAGTCGAAGGTGTGTATTCGCATATCATGCCATAACATTATATACACACACCAATGATATCCCAGTTTATTTAATATACATGCATGGTTATTTGCTGCCTTACTGTGATCAGATCGGAAAATGTATGGGAAAAATAATGAAAATCTACGAAAGAGGCTTTTAAAGCGTTGGTTTGTAAAAGTCTGCAAAACTTGTCCGTTACATTAATAGGCGAAGTAGAAACCGATTCTTTAAAAAGCCCACACAATGATCCATGAAAACGTTCTGTATGCTCCAAGGATGATTTCAGTGTTGCTGGAACATACAGGGCATTGATGGATTTATGCGTATCCTTCATCAGTTGAAACCTAAACTTAAATTCTTAATTTTTGTTAACGGTGACCTCTACCTGCTTCTACTTACTTTTACTACTAAAATCGCATAATATTGTTAACACTTGCGTTAAGTTTAGGTTTCAACTGTGTCGTAGATGGATCAAAGGATGGAAGGATAGGCACAAGTCTATCAGCTAGAGATCAACTTTAACAAAAATTAAGAATTTCCTTACTGAAGAAAATATGTCTCGAACGAGCAAATGATGGAAGGTTATGTTTAATTAGGGAAAACAAAGGTATATAATCCTTTTGCGAGGTTTTCGTGGAAAAACATAGATACAAACCTCGTATATTCCAAGAACTAAAAACTTACTTAGATATTATACATGGAGAGATCACAAACTTGAAGGAAAAGACTTTTTAATAGATTCGTATTTGCAGCTAAGCACACCGGAAGCACTGCGTTTCGTCGTTTGAGATGTACTGCGAATGTAGTTTTCATTGTTAGTGTCATTTGAATGGGTAACGCTGCTTACCAGAATTCTCTGATTGTTTCATGCCTAGCGATATTTTCCAATATAGCACCAATATGACACAAAAAATATCTTAGAGAAATGATTTATTACGTGAGTGCCTTCTTACAAAAAATATACAACTCAACCTGCTGTTGGGAGCACAGCGTTAACACGAAAAATATTCTATAATGTTCATGACATTGTAAAATATCTTTCGGACTTTCCGCCTATTTATGGTCTATTTCAGTGAGCTTTATTTCAGTGTCTTTTTAGTGTATTGCCGCCTTCCTGTATAACGGTGATAAGAAATCATGCCCAATAATAGTTAGCAATATAATAATTAGTTTAATATCAAAGAACCTAACGTTTTTTGAATGACACAAAGCTTAATTTTCTTAGACTGTCCATCAAAACTTGATTGAACTATTTATAAGGTTGATCACAAGATTTGCTATATACAGCACGTTTGCCCATTGAATCACAGACGCCAGTTTCTCCTATTTTCTTATAGATTAGCCCTTTCTTTGAAGATTGCATGGCACAACGAGTACAGCGTACTCATTGTGTGTTTTTGCATATTCTTTTTGTTCTTTTATTTTTCTCTTTAGCAAGAAAGCTCTTAAACGACTCATATTCTTTTTGCTCATCGTTACTTTCTTCCTGCTCGTGGGCAATATCTTCTTCAGAATCGGGTTCTTCAAGGTCCAGGCCATAGCTCGGACGAATTAGTATCTCACTACCAGGTTCCTTCTCCGGGATGGCATCTACGTTACTCAGGACTGAGTCGCCAGAGGATATTTTGTTCAGAAAATCCTTTTTCTCTTGCTCAAGTCGTTGGTTCTCTTCCTTCATCATCCGGTCATATTCAGGTTTGTATTCAGTCTCATATTCAATTTGAGCTTCGTCAACCGCATGGAAGAACTCATCACAGCCAAATCCCGACACAGCCGAGCATCCGACGGATTTAATATTTTTGTAGAATTCATCGAGAACAAGGCCAAGTGATGAGGCCAATGTAGAGATGTATGAAGTTTCTTGACGAAGTGACGTTTCAAACGCCTCACCATCACGCATCCATTCTTGAGCATAGCTATGTGAGACGACATCGACCTGAAAATAAAAAAAAAAAATATATATATATATATATATATAGCATGTTCGTATATTTATGTGCATCTGGATCTCGAAAACGCAAAGATAGATTTAAACCATTAGCTCTTATCCTGAGCAAAAACACTGATACAATATTTCCTTATCTAGATTACGCCCTAGGATTTCGTTGAATATCATACCTTGTTCATTGCAATAATGAACGGTAACCGAGTCTTATATAGAATGGAGCAAGCGTAAAGCATGTTCGACATGAAAGTCACTGGCTTTGTTGATCGGACTACATCCATGACATATATCAGAACGGTGGGAAAAGCCGAAGCTAAGGCTCGCGTAATGATATCTCCCGAAGCGCTCCATGTGAAGACCTCGATCTGTCCTGGCGTATCAACAAGGACGATGTCATGCTCTGATGAACGTTTCTGCAATAGCTCGATGACCTGCGTATGCGAATAATAATCAAGCCGTTGTATGAGTCGTTTTGTGTATTTATTCACTAAGTATGTTACATTTCATTGGAAAAGTTTTTTAAAACGTGTTTCTATAGAGTGCACCAAATAATCTCAAGTCTACATAGATAATGGATGGCGCACAAAATACAAGTAATCGGTAATGTATAACACTGACACAAGTAACGTTCGAGCCCTTATTCGGTTGGAGAAAAGGGTAAGTCTTTGATCTGTGTGTAGTTTTGTTCGAATTTCATATCCATTTTAGGTCATTTACTAATGCGTCTTTGCGTAGCGACTGCGCCAACCTAAGCGCATGTATATGTATATAAAATAACGTTTGATGAATGTGCATTTCAGTTTGCTAAGTAAAAGCCATGCAGATTTAATCATCAGAAGTACCTGGTCGAATCTTGTCGAGAATAAATTCAGAGATGTGACAATTGCACCGTTGGGCCCGAGTTTATACTGTTTCATCACTTCTTTATATTTAACAGTGTCCCGGATGTCAACATTGACTGGATACGGCACCTCATGACAAGCCGGGTCAAGGTTTATCACGTACGGACGTCGCTTTTGGGCATAAAGATGAGCTGTCACCCGTTGAACCCAGCTCGTTTTGCCGCTCCCGGCCATCCCCAACACAATGAGCACTGTTGGCAACTTCGCACCGTCGTTCCTACTGTCGCAGGAATTTGGCAGAGTTACAGCTCCTGCCATGATAACTTCCTTGGCTAAACCACAACTTATCTGGAAGGAGCTCAATGGTTGGGGTACTTTTACCTCACGCAAAGTTTTTTGACATGAATTGTCAATTTTTCCACCGGCAATGTTTCTTGTGTATAACACCACAAGCAATAGTCGTTCTCGAGCACACTGAGAAACAAACAAATACAGTTGCAGACGATACAACATTGGAGAGGGAATTTTTGTTTATGAAGGAAAAAGCAAACAGTCAGAAATGGGGGCACGGCAAGATCAAGCTACAAAAAAGGTCGTAGAATTCACCTTCATGTCAGCTGCATAGAAGAATTAGCTTATCAGTATGTCTTACATAGACTGCACGTTCTCAATGGCAAAAGGTATCGGAAGACAAAAAGAGCGCGGTTGAATTTAAATATCAACAAATTGCCAAACCTCGCAAACTTTTTCTTTTGATTTATTAATTTTTTTTATATTGTTACCTTTACTTTATCTTATTAATGAAGATTAGAAATTAGGTCTAAATGCTATCGTAGCTTTTATAATGACTAAGATTTAATCTAAATTTACATAAAATGCAATTTAGCGTAAAGCTAAAGCCAGAAAAAGGTCTGGTAATAAAATAGATATTCGTAGTTCATAGGTTTTATATGTAAGGTATTTAATTAAAGGTTAGTATGGCTCTTGCTCTTACACAGCTCTTATAAAATCGTTATAAATTAAACAAGGCATTAAGTAATTTAGTAATAGCCCAATCGAAATTATAAAAAAAATCGAGACTGCACCTGCTAAACCTTTTTTTTCTCTTGCATCGCTTCCAGCCTCCACTGTGGCGTCACGATTGAAGACAAGTAATTCGATTTTTACGTTACTGCTTCGTGGTGGCTACTTTCAAAGGCGAAAAGAAATGTGTCAACGTCGAATTTTGAATTTAAACCATAACAGTTCTTAAATGTTTTTGGGAAACATGTTACTGTTGTAGCATCACGAGGATAGGAAGCATCACGGCTTAGGAGACGGTAACCATACTCTAATTTGTGGTCGGACACGTTATTCGTTATGCTGCGAGTCCTTAAGAGGATTAAGTAGGTAAAAATATGCTGGTATAAGAACGTCCCAGTCCACATAGGAGACCTATAATAAAGAACACCTCACTGTATATTTGCTTCAGTGGGATGGCGTAGGGACAACGCAGAAGACTCGAAATCATAGAGCTTTCTGTTCTAATCCCATAGGGTACATACAAATGAATGCAGTCATGTACTTGCAATAAAGTTATCATTATGGGAGTCCCGAGAGAAATCGGCATTAAATTGTATAGAGAGGGGAACTCTAGCGTAACTATACTGTAGATATTCTAGAGACAGAATTTCAAGCCGTATGATTATCTAGGGCCAGATAGTTTTATAATAACTCAGATAATATAGCCATATATTCACATGATTATCTAGGGCCGGATAGTTTTATAATAACTTAGATAATATAGCCGTATATTCACAGATATATATCTGGTCCAGTAGTGTCTAGATGGTCCTAAGCCACACACGTATGCCGCTTTTGGCCAGAGTAATTCAGCACAGTCCATTGCTTGAATTTACTCCGTCAGTGTCACGGGTATTACTAAACTCTGTTCGCATCTATAATGAGATCAAAGTCAAATGAAACCGAGTATTACTTGAAGAATTTATGTCTGTTCAGCAAATAATAGGAGTTTTCATAATTTTCTGCTTATATATATACATGTGTCTGATTAAGGCGAATAATACCAAAAACCTAACTCAATATTTATATGGTTTTAGCCCAAATTTCGTGTTGACCCCAGGAAACGTCAGGATTTGCCTTAAAAGATAGCTGATAGTATTTTCAAACGCCTGTTTCATTGAAGAGATGCCAACGGTTAATGTTTAAAAAAATTCTCGACAGTTACATTGCATCTGGGTAGATATTGTACTATAGCTATAGTATATATTTTTCGGGAATTTCAGCCTTTTGGCATACGTGTTAAGAAAGGTGGATTAACAGGTTTATTTTAAAACCTGGGCTTGGGTTGAGGCTGTTTTTATCCACAGGCTAGCTTGTGCTAAAATGATCGCTTAGCATATTCTGATGCTGTTCAGTAATGTAAAAAGGATTCCTTCTTAGTTTCAAGGAAAGCAGTATTTCATATCGTAATTTTTAGAGTATCTAAGTGTCACAATAACCAATGATGTAGCAAAAAGGTTTTAGTGTGGTTTATTCCCATGGAAAGGTTGCAACATTGAATAATTTTCCACATATCTACGATGGTTTACTAAGATCACACTCTAATCACTTGTAGATTCCAACGCCAGAACGAATGTCTAGGTTGCGTTTTAAAGATAAATACGTCTTTTGCACGAATCAATCAGTTGAAGTATCATCTTTAGCTTCCTACGTAAATAAAATCGTTTTTCGTCGAGATTGCGGACTCTGACATAGACATTGTTCCAGTTCTTCAGCTCTTCAGTCGAATTTTAGTTGTATTAGATATCCACTATCATTCCCAAACGATGACGATTCAGGCAAACCAACTTATTGTGGTTTGCCTGAATCGTCAGGTCTAGTGTTAAAGAGCTCATACAGCTCATTTTTAAGACCCTTTCTATTTGAAATGGATTGTCACGAATTTTATTTTTCTGTCGTCGGAAAAAAAACTTCGTCCTTTAGCTTTTATTAGGCCACCTGCCACTTTTGCCACGCGTGGCCTGACGCGGAAAAGGATTACTTTGGTTTGCTCACTGGCCTTCTTTATTGCATAGCCTCGTTCGCCAATACAATTAGGCCATATACGGATTCCTGTCAATCGTTCTGTTTTATCAGGCATTTCTTAGTGTATAATACTGTTTCAGCGCTATCAAACGTAAATCGTTATCCATATCCATATAATGATATATCTGAGCACCTGACCTAGGCGTATCTTTCGGAGCTACCTCATATCTTTTCCGTACCATATTGATGCAGAGCCACCATTTTGGTCACACGTAACAACGCCTTGCTATGAACGTGTGTTGCCTGACTCTGAACGAAACGCTAAAAACAATGGGAAGTCGTTTGCTTATGCTCTTTACTCACGTATTAGGGGGCGCTTTCAATGAGATCCCATCGGCTCAAGATCTCTGACGACAGTATAATATTCGCAGCCCGTCTTTTCGTTAACAAACTGCTTGCCATCCAAGGTAATTTAACAGACCACTTTCGAGCAGTCTCTTCAATTTAGTGGTTGTTCTCTATATCGTGTATAACTTCGTCAGCTTTCTCGACCTTCGTCATAAACTTATGCAGTGTAGGTGTCGATAATGTGTTAAGGCTATTCATGCATTACAGCCTCAGCCCTCCAGATAGGATTCTACTAACCACACAACGAAATTATAAAGTGGTTTGTTAAGGGGATTCAATGCTTTCGTGGTATGTGGTAGGGAGAAACAAACGGTGAATAGGGAAATAAAAACTTGAAAAAAGACTTCACTTTTTGACCAATCTAATCTAAAATATATAACCCTGGTATGACCAGTATGACTTCACCAGCATGGTTCTCTGTAAACTGTAAAAATCGATGTGGTATACATAATTTTTTTCATATGAAATTTATATGCCACTGTGAAAAGTATTTTGTTGTTATGTCATATGGATTACTGGGTTCCAACCTTGCAAAACGCCGATTAAACTTTTTTTATTAGGGACATGTTACGTGGAACATCCGATGCCACAAATACAAAAAAGCCCATATGTGGAATTTTTGTGAGTACGACAGTTGATTTCTATGTCTGACAGGGTACCCGCCAAACTTCTAGGGCAAACTAAGGCCCGGAAGGCCGAGCGTAGGTCAGGTGTAGATGGAAATTGAAGTTTGTAGGCGCCCATTTTTATATAAAGGAAGAACAAATTAGTTTTGTTTTGCCAAACTACTGGGCATACGGGTCTTGCAGTGTCTTTATGCTCATGAAGACGTGGATGCTCGATAGCATTTCCTGAAATGATTAATTTGATCTTCTTCAAGCGAACGCGGGCCCAGTAATATTCTACCCACCAGCTGCTCAAAATGCGAAATATTACTATGTTTAACAGGTCACTACAGACCTGTTAATGGTCTAGTGATACACAGGACGGGGTTCATCTCTTAATGATAAACTAGGGAACCACTGCGCGTACATGAGAAAAAGCCAGCTGGAGTGTTAGTTAGTATTGTTGCTTCACATATAGGGAGCACAAGAGGTTATATTTCTCGTTATTATAAACGCTAATAAATTAGCGGTATTTAATCAATTCCATTATTTATCGAGTGTTACAGAAAATGGTTAGATCCAGAAAAGGTTGTATTTTTAACAATGAATTAGATGTACTTTTATTTTTTAGTTGCGCAAGATAACTCCACGTTTTTGGAATTTGTAATGCCCAAGATCCGTCCTACCTAATATGCACTCATAGTGGGTCAATGCACCGTACTGTGGATAGACGATTAGTCTTGTATAGCCTGTGCGATAGTATATATCCTTATGCTAATATAGAAGTTCAGCTCCAATTAACTATTTAATGGCCTGGTGTCCTGGCAGATCGGTGTTTTCTGAAGTTTTGTGTCGCCAGTCTCTGCGACTAGCGCGTGTTAGCCACGGACATGATGTCCATTGGGATAATCACAAAAACAAGCCATCTCAGTAAATTTTTCGTTTGCCTATATTTCCTTGCCGCTATGGTCCCCTTCCTCCCCTAATACTGGAACAGTTATTTTCTCAACCCTTATTAGGACCACCTCTGGTGGGATTAGTGGCCCATTTTAACATAGCAAAGCAAGTTAGCACTACAAAGAATCATGCTAGCTACGTTTTCATAATTAAACTGCAAGCCTATTTAGAAGCTGTCGAACACTATTCAGTCTGTATATTCAAACATCCATAATATACAAAGATCATTCATGCTCTTGTGAGTGATGTAATGTATTTACATACGATACTTGTTTCATGGGATCCAATATGACCGGCTCATCACGTTTCATATGTACTTGGAAATGCGAATATTGATAAACAACGTTTGATGTGCCTAGCCAGCTAAAACTCAGACTCCGGATGGCAGATACAGGAAGTCGCTAATTAAGACCGCCGACGCATATATATATATATATATAGTGTGCGCGTATAACATGTACCGATGATGTCAGATTGTTTTTATGTACTCGTTATTGTGTATTCCTCAAGTGCTGTGTGCATGGTATTAGACAAAACGGACGCTATCAACAAGCAGTACAATACAAGTGTCTAGGGAAGATTTGCTGGTTTCCAGGATATTCAG